AATATTTGGAGTGTGCGTTAACAAGTCTAAGGGGCATATGAGAATGATAGCCAATCATTCTGTGTACTATTCCCGTAAGAGTAGTTACCTATCAGGTAGATACACTAGTTAACAGTACATCCGGCGTTAACGCCAAAGCGCCAGCGGCTGGATTCATTGGCGGATATTGGAGAAAGCATCCTGGCATGGCACCCTTCACGGGATCTGCACACCAATGTATTCACCAATGCGAGTTGAGCTTTAACCCAGCTCCACTTGCTTTGCTCGTGTCTACGTCGTATTAGGTTTACGAGAGATACAACCTGCGCCAGCCTCAACGTCAGCGCACCCGCTGTCTCTGCAGAGACGATAGGTGATGGATCGTAGCTTTAAGGAATTTACGGGGCTTGGTTCACTGTGGAACCCTAAGATTGACTGGTAACAATGCCCCGGTCTTTGATTCTCCTTAAGGTCTACAGCAGCGCGATGTCACTCTACTGTATGGATATTAAAGAGCGCCTCGCAGCCCAGATCTTTTCGTCTCCTCATCGGCTTCTGGCTTGCTCAACTGTATAAACAGCCAAGTTCACTCGCTTAAACTTGTGCACCACAGTCGCTTCAGAAAACGCTTGTTTTCTTGTCTCTCGCTTGGAATATATTTTTATATAATACCTAATTTAATACTAGTCTGAGCACTGCCAAGTACGAAATGCAAGGTCTATTACTGAGCCTGGGGGCTCTCGCCCTCGCTGGCTCTGCCAGTGCTGATTATCCAGTTGTGCCTCCACCCGAGCCTTCGCCAGGATACCCAACTTCCCCCGGTTACCCGTCGTATCCTGAGAGCTCGACCTCGAGCCTCAAACCCAGCACTCCGCCTGTGAGCTCGAGCGTTCCCTCTTACCCGGAGTACCCCCAGCCAAGCAGCTCTACTTCCAGCTTCGAAGTGACGAGCTCGGCTTCAACCTCGTACCCCGTCAGCTCCCCGAGCTCCAGCGAGGCGACATTCTCTACGTCCGTCCCCTCGTTCCCCACCTACCCGGGTGGCTCAATCTCCGTATCGAGCTCTAGCTCCAGCCCGGCTTCTTCCGACGTCGTGTCCAGTTCGAGCTCCGTCCCGGCCACAAGCTCTAGTGAGGCCATCTCATCTACCACTGTCCCTTCGTACCCCACCTACCCGGGCAGCTCGGTTTCTAGCCTCAGCTCTAGCGAATTCACCAGCTCTACTGTGGCTACCTCGTCCACCCCGGTTTCTTCCGTGGTCTCCAGCTCTAGCTTCAGCTTCACCAGCTCTACGGAGGCGGCGTCTTCTACGACTGTTCCCTCATACCCGACCTACCCTGGTGAATCAAGCTCGGTCCTGACCTCTAGTTCTGAGAGCAGCACTGCCTCTACTGTTGCTACCACCTCAAGCGCCAGCACTCTGTCAAGCGCTACGACTCCCTCATACCCCACTTACCCTGGTGAGTCGAGCTCGGCCTCAAGCTCAGTCCCAACCTCCAGCGTTGAGAGTAGCACTGCTTCCACTATTGCTACCACCTCGAGCGCTACCACTCCGTCGTACCCTGGTGAATCGAGCTCGGCTTCCAGCTTTGTCTCGACTTCCAGTGCTGAGAGCAGCACAGCCTCGACTATTGCTACCACTTCAAGTGCTAGCACCTTGTCGAGCGCTACTACTCCTTCGTATCCTACCTACCCTGGTGAGTCGAGCTCATCTAAGATCAGCTCTACTTCGAGCTTCGAGGCTAGCAGCAGCTCCTCTACCTTCGTCCCCAGCAGCTCCAGCACTGAGGTAATTTCGTACACCACCAGTGTCCCGAGCATCTCTGCTACCAGCTCTACTGCGGCCACTGGCTCCACTGAGCTGAGCAGCTCTTGCACCAAGTCCACTGGTATTACTACGTCGGTCCCCGTTGGTTCTACTGTCTCGACCACTGCTTCGACTGGCGCCACTACTGTCCCTACTGGCTCTATCTCCGTCTCGTCTGGTACCTCTGAGACCTCGGTGCCTACCATCTCGACGTCTTTCTATACTTCTACCGGAGTCCTCCCGACGACGAGCGTTCCCGCCAGCTCCCCGTCGACTACTGAGTACACTACCTCCACCATCTACACGACAACCAGGTACACCGTTACTTCTTGCCACCCTACTGTCACTAACTGCCCCGGTACTCCTCACGTCACCACCGAGACCGTTCCCCTCACCACCACGGTCTGCCCTGTGACCTCGATCTCGGAGACTCCCAGCTACCCCACTGGTCCCGTTGGAACTCCTAGCAACACTCCTGGCCACCCCACCGGTCCCGTTGAGACTCCCAGCAACACGCCTGGTCACCCTACTGGTCCTGTTGAGACTCCTAGCACATCCCAGGAGCAGCCTCACTCTTCGACTGTAAAGACCGTTCCCACTCCCGGCTATCCTACTGGTCCCGCTGAGACTCCCAGCACATCCCAGGAGCAGCCTCACTCTTCGACCGTCAAGACCATCCCCACTCCCGGCTTCCCTACTACGAAGTACTCGACCACTACTCTGTACTCGACCGCCATCCGCACCATCACTTCTTGCGCGCCTGAGATCACCAACTGCCCTGGCAGCCCTAACTACCCTCATACTACCACTGAGACCGTATCCGTCGGTACCAGCGTTGGCACTGTAACCTCTTCTGCCCCGGTTGAGACCGTCTCTGTCGGTACTAGCGTCGGCACTGTGACCCCTTCTGCCCCAGTTGAAACTCCTGGCTACCCTACTGGCCCCGTCGAGACCCCCGGTGAGACCCCCAGCAAGACTCCCGGCTACCCCACCGGTCCTATCGAGACCCCTACTGCTCCTACTGGACCCGTCGAGACTCCCAGCTACCCTACCGGTCCGGTTGAGACTCCTACTGCTCCCACTGGCCCTGTCGAAACCCCCAGCGAGACTCCTGGTTACCCTACCGGCCCAGTCGAGACTCCCGGTGAGACCCCCGGCTACCCCGTCGAGACCCCTGGATACCCTACTGTTCCCAGCGACACCTTCACGCCTTACCCGACCCACAGCCAGACCCCGTACCCGACTCAGTCTTTCACTGGCTTCCCTACCTTCCCTACCGGATACCCTACCGGCGGCCCCAGCAGCCTGATCACCTCCATCAAGACCCCGCCGCCCTACCCTACCAACGTGCCTACCCCCAGCTCCGAGGTTCCCAAGCCTTCCAGCACCACTGGTAGCCCCATTCCCCCCCCGGCGCAGTCTTCTACCAGCGGCTACCCCACTATCCCCACTGCCGCCGCCGGCCACCTCGAGCGCGGCACTGGTCTCATGGTTGCCGCCGCCGCCGTTGTCGTCGCTCTTCTCTAAGCGACCTAGGTGTGCGCGTCTAAAAAAACAAAGGCTTGCATTCAAAGGGTGTTTTAAGGTTTGGCGAGAATTTCTTGGCTCTAAGCAGGTTTAGATGAGGATACACAATACCACGATAAGGGTCCAGGTCTAGAATGGCTTAGAAAAGAGGGGCGCGATTGTGTCCCCCTTGAAGCAATATTATATATAGGAGGTACCTAGCTATTTAATCTCGAGATTCTTTTGTAATCTTTCATGCATATAAAAAATTAAAAAAAATTACCATTTTTTTGGTACTTGTAGCTTGTATTCGGTGATTTGTGAGAGTTATGTTTTGACCTTCTAAAATTTCTAGAATTTCTACCTATATTTCTTGGTATTTGGCGTTTAAAGTTTGTCCGTTATTGAGCTATCTCTTAGGACTTTAGCAGAAACATTGTGATAAAATTTCAAGCACAAGATCTTATCTGCCAGTGATTCAAACATCTTTCTGAATCCATGTGCCGCTTTCTTTGTCAACAGCTACCTTTTGAATAACTAGATCTTGTATCTTGACTTTACCGTTGTGCTGCCCTAGAGGTTTTTTGACCTTACCAAAAAGCCCAAAGGTGATATCAGATAAATGGGTAAGAGATATCCAATGTTAGATCTAGGTTTAGGTGACGGTACTTACCTACTGTAAGTAAGTTACCCCTATGACCAAACAGCATATACATAGTTCAAAAGGTTAGTCGATTCCTTAGTTTCATCCTTTCCCGATCTGAGTGTTCCGAGCCCCTGACTATCATTACCATATTCTCTTTGGTACGTACGCCTTAAGGCAGTTCATAATCGGGAGAACCAAGTCGACACCCCCATTTAGAGTGCGCTAGTCTCTACAGGTTATCATTTCCATGAATTGAGATCTGGGGGCTTTTAATCTCACCAACTAGCACCGTCTCAACTAAGTTGTAGATTCATACTTATTTTGGCGCTAATACCCGTTCCTTTCATGCGCTATGAATTCTGTAATCTTGGTATAAATCTGTCGGGTAACGACATGATTAGAGAATTCAACTGCTGAAGATACTGTATAACACTTATCAGCAGTAGGTGCTTACAGATGGTTGAAAAGTTACTGGCTTAGAAATCTTGATAAATTTAAAGGGCTGCGCTACTTGGTGGAAGACTTCATTCATCTTAGATTGAGTGCGCCGATCTTTTTCGTAAGTGATATCAACACAAAGAAAATCTCCGTATTAGACATTGAACACTACTGCTGCGGTGTTCCCCTCGCTGCATGGTGCAATATATCAGTGCATCATGACTTTCATGAAGTGTAATGACATAAGAGACTCGCACATGGTGGTACGCTATTGGTGCTACGAACTCCAACTCTACTGTCACGATATGTAGGACGGGGTTCACGGAGGTTATCTTCCTAAACTCGTCATAATTATTGTTAGATTTGAGATGCCGAGCTGAAGTTTTAATCTGTCGGCATTGTTATGTGTTCCATGATTGGGTTCTCACCTCGGAGCTGTCAGAGTATCTTGAACCTGGGGTCGTACACGGTGACAAGCGGTTGATTCGCATTGGTGAATGAGCTGCGGCTTTCAACTTTGAGCCGGACCGTATGCTACGCAACGCGAAAATATCGTCAGGTTTGCATCAAGACAAATAGCAAAGTTAAGGCATTTAGTAGATGAGGGTTCAGTAACAATGATAGCGATTCTCGGCTATAAAGCGAAATATTATTCGCGGTTCAGTCCATCGAAAGTTTTTCAGGACATCTTGTAGCCACTACCCTATTTGCTTAGGATCGCATAATTTAGGTATTTATCATCCAGAATGGCTTCAAGCGCCCTCGCCGGTGAGGCGAATAGCAATCAGTGGAGTATCACCCAGCACCCATTGGAAGCTATTAAGACGGGCATTCAGAGTTCCACCGCTGGTGAATCCCGTGGCAACCGCGTTACACATATGATGAGCGCCAACGAAAGCCCCGCGGATATCGCAGCTAAAATATCGGGTTGTGTTGCAGGCGGAATCCGTACCGATGATGCCCCTTATTTCACTAACAACGAGGCGCTTCCATTTCCAGACGCGTATGTATCAATTCCTAGTAGGTGCTACATGAGGTTAACTTCTATCTTAGATGCCATAGCAAGACAATTGGCGGTATTCCCGTAGCTAGCGACGTGTTTCTTTTTCAGTAAGTGTGCCTAGGAAGATTAGCGAGTACGGATTTCTAATCTTGTTTATAGGAAGCAGCAAACCTTCAATCGTTCGAAGAATTTGGAGCGTAAGTTCCCGACATTTAAAGAAGAAATACGCAGAGTAGCACTGACATAATACTAGGTATGGTACATCCTTGCGGAAGTGGCGCATTTGGGTATTTCGAGTGTACCAAGAACGTATCCAACTTGACGGTAGGTAGTCAAAAGAATAACCAGTTCATAGAACGTTAGTGGATATGATAAGACTGACAATGGGGTAGAAAGCCAATTTCCTTCAGAAGCCTGGCGAGAAGACTCCCATTTTCATCCGCTTCTCTACAGTCACACTGGGCCGAGAGTTCCCTGACGAAGCGCGAAACCCGCGAGGTTTCGCGATTAAGTTCTACACTAAAGAGGGTAATTATGATATCGTGGGACTCAACTGGCCTATCTTCTTCTGCCGCGATCCCATCCAAGGGCCAGACGTGATCCGTTCGCAGTATCGCGATCCCAAGAACTTCCTTCTCGACCAGGATGCCACTTTTGATCTTCTTGCTAACACACCGGAGTCAAACCATGCTGGCCTGATGTTCTTCAGTGACTACGGGACTCCCGTCGGATGGAGATTTAACCACGGCTACGGGTGTCATACTTTCAAGTGGATCAACGACAACGGTCAATTTGTGTATATTAAATATCACTTTATCGCCAAGCATGGGCGGAAGCAGTTTACCTACGATGAGGCCCTGAGAAAGATGGGCGAGGATCCAGATTACTCGAAGCGCGACCTCTGGGAGACTATTGAGCACGGCGAGCAGGTCGAATGGACTGCCAAGGTCCAGATCATGAAGCCGGAAGACGCGGACCCAGATAAACTAGGTTTTGATCCGTTCGACGTGACCAAAGTCTGGCCGCGCGATAAATTTCCGATGGAAGAATTCGGTCGTCTTGTTCTGAACAAAAACCCGGAGAACTTCCATCGAGACGTGGAGCAAGCGGCCTTTTCGCCGGGAAGCATGGTACCCGGAATCGGCGACTCCCCTGATCCACTGCTCCAGTTCCGCATGTTCTTCTACAGAGACGCGCAGTACCACCGCATTGGTGTGAACTTACACCAGATCCCTGTCAATTGCCCGTTTATGGCCCAGTCCTACTCATCTGTTAATTTTGATGGGCCGATGCGCGTTGATGCCAATCACGGGGGAAATCCTCAGTACGTGCCCAACAGTTTCGTGCACAAGTTCCGTCCGGACGCTGCCGAGCCGGCTTTCCAAGTCTCGGATAACATTTGCAGCCGCAAGAGTCACTACGTAAGTGAACTTTTAGAGTTTTGGTAGTAATGGAGAATCTTGCTAATTTTGGCTTCCATAGTGGCACGAAGGTAAAAAGAACGACTATGCGCAAGCAACTGAGCTTTGGAGGCGGGTGATGACCGAGGAGGAGCGGAAGCATACCTGTTACAATACAGCTCAGAATCTGAAGCAGGTCAAGTACCCGTTGATACAGGTGAGTTTTGAACGTTGGATGAACCAAGGTTTTGCTAGCAATAACTGACTCTATCCTCAGAAAAAGTACTTGGCTCAAATCTACAACGTAGCGCCCGAGTGGTCAGAAGGTGTTTACGCAATGCTCCCTAAGAAGGATTTCGAATTTAAGGAAGTTGTGGAGCTATCGCAGACCGCTCAAGAGTGGTATAAGGAGAAGAAGTTCCAACCGAGCCAACCTACAGATCGTTTAGTGGGATATGCACCCTCTATGCCTGTGTATAACGTGTGAGGTGAAGGTTCAGCGACTTCAATCTACCAGGTTTATACATTTACATGTATTGTCTTATTCCTCCATTTTTATCATGTTGGTTTAGGTTAAGTCCATGTAATAATATCATCGCTCGCTGACCACGTCAGATCTGAAATACCAGCTACCATGTAATTTCTTATATTTCATCACTGTGGAATAGCTCGCGAAGCGCTTTCAATACAATAAAAAAGTTAAGCAATAACTTAACGAATGTAGCTCCTTCTTAGTTCGTGCTATAAGGCAGATTTTCCAATTTATCCTTCAAAATCCCCTCCACTAAACTCCAGCACCTCTCCTGAAGCCCCTCGTCCTTAGCCTGACTACTAACATCCGAAACCTTCCTGTCTGGTATGATATAATGGCCATCAATTTTCTCATCCACGATTGCATCGCTCGTCGCAGCGAATAATATGGGTCGGCAACCTTGGTCGACCGGTTCCTTCATGAACGGCCTTACGGCCTGAATAATCATACTGCGTATGGTTCCATATGCGTCTACAGCCTGATCTGGCTGGTCTGTATTCACTCCTCCAGGGTGCGTAGCGTTGATCCATGGTCCCATTCCGGGCACAAGTCCTAACTCGCCATGCTGCTTGCGTCGATAAAACGCCTTGCAGAGCAGTATTTGTGCAAGCTTGCTGCGGCAGTATAGCTGGTTAGGTCCGATATCCTGGTTGATCTCCGCGACGTCTTTAAACATGACATTGCTATCGCTCAAGCGATGCATTTCAGAAGATTGGAAGCATAGGCGGCTGTTGCGTGTTGCAATCAGCCTCGGAAGCAAAATCCGCGCGAGGTGATGCTGCGCAATCACGTTGACTTGCATGTGGCTGTCCAGGCCGTCTTTGGTTTCATTGTATTTCCCTACGCCGATTCCGGCATTGAGAACGAGGGCGTCGAGGTGTTCGAGTTTAGATGCCAATTCTTGCGAAACTTCGTCCGTTTGCTTAAGATCCTCAAGCTCGCACTTGATGAACTCGACACGCGAGACGTCACCGTACTTTTTGAGATTCTCCTTAGCCTCGTCTAGATGTTCCTCTTTTTTACCGAGAAGATATAGCTTTTCGGGACCGTGCTGGAGGATATGGGCTGAGATTCCGTATCCGATGCCGGCGCTGCCGCCCGTTACTACGAAGACCTTTCCGCTCAGGTCCGGGACGTCGGTGTTGGGGTCGAATGAGTTACTGGAACCAAACATTTTTTTTCAATATGCGATGAGATGATTGGAGAAGATGGAAAGCGCTTCAATATGCGCCGAATCATGCGAATTATCTAGTAGCATAACTCTCTATTTGACAATGTCATGAATCTATCTGGTTTGCCAAGTATACATCTATGACGTCAAGGCGACGTCGATGGCTAAGGTCCCAGGAACTCTAGTTACCTACAGCATAATGATTTCAGTAAGGATAAGCGATCTATGCCATGATGCTGAGATGCTGAGATGTCGAATGTTGACGTTTTTAGGTTGGAGATAATGTGCTTACCCAGCGATGATAATAGGGAAACTGAATAGGAGGTAATACTACTCTGAAGGTTAGACGAGCGAGTCCACCAACGCATCTAAAGAGAGATAGTCGATTAATGCTATTCATGTCCATCTCAATTTCAAGTATCGTTTATTTGTATTATATATATCTTATGTTATTGCATCTCTTACTTCTTGACCTTGCACTCTTTGGTGATAGAGATTGTCGGATCAGATTCAGAAGTAGCTGTTAATTTAACAACTGCTTTACCCGCAGCCTTTGCTGCTGCACCAACGGCTACACTGACTGTCTTGGAAGAACCAAACTCGACGGTAGCAAGCGCGTTTGGTACTTCAATGCGCCATCCGTCACCGTCTACCTCTGCGGTAAGTCGGTAGATATCCGAGGTTAGGTATGCAGATAGGTCTTGCGGATGCACTGCGTTACCATCAACGCGCGTACCAGAATTAGTTAGGTGGAACGCGCATGTTACGCCCTTGCCGCTGCTAGCCCTTGCTCTTAGCCCTTCCGCAACTTTACCTTTGCTCAGGGCAGCACCGTAAGTGTTAGACCCGCTACCGTCAAGCGACCGCACACCGACGGTGTAATACAGGATGCCAACATCATCCCGACGGATGTCAAGGATGTAGAAATGCAGCCGATTCGCTTCGTCGGTGTATTCGTATTGGCTGCCTGATCGCGTACCTGCATGGAAGAGCGCGTCGGCTAGTTGGCGGTAATCACCGATGGTCAGCTTAGAAGGCGTGCCGTCGGGTCGGTAGAAGTCAACGACATCGATGTCCTGCGGGTTGGCATCGATCGTCCACTGGAAAGGTGCATTGTCAACATCCTTCGTCTTGCTGATCATAACTCCCGAGTCAGGGGTAAAGGAGTCAGCACCCATTCGGTCGATAACTTCGATGTCGTAATTATTGTAACCACCGCCATCGCAGAGCGCGTCGGTGCTGACATTGCAGAACGGAGAAAGATCCTTGCCAAGAATGACATGTAACCCTAATAGTCCCCCTTCTCCTGGGTTGATGCATCGCGCGGTAATCTCAGCGACTACGGGGCCGGAGCTGGATAAAGCCTCACGAGAGACTATAAGCACGCTCGAGTTGTCCGCTAGGTTAATGCGCAGCTTATCCGAAACAGTGTGGAGGGAACCTAAACTCCCACCAAGGGTTGCTGGGATCTGCCATCGTGTGTGCGGACCACTTGGGCCATTAAAACTACCGCGAGACAGCATCGACCAAGGGCCCGTATAAGCGCGACGCGGCGGGTCACTGTACGGGTTGTTGTAGTTATCCCCTATTCCTAACAAGTGGGTTAATTCGTGAGCGTAAGTAGACATGCCCGAGCTTTCTGCCTGCGTAGACGAGCCACCGCCCGCATTCGGCCAGATGGCGCTCGCAGCCTGCCAGGATGTCCAATTTACGTATCTCGTTTGGGCGTAGTTAGGGAGGCTGTCATCATTCGGAGGTCCGAACTCCTCGGGTACATCCTCTGGCCTTAGAAATTTCATCTCGCCAAATTCTTGCCAGGTAGAAGACTCGTCCTGACCAGCCGAGAGGATGAATACCAACTCAAAGGAATCGGCGGTATCGTTGCCCACGTCGGCCCGCCAGGCCCCCAGAGCATCGGTCCGTAGGTCAACAGAACATGGCCCTTCCGACGGGCAAGCGCCCTGGTTGAATCCGCCCCGCTCATCATCAATGCCGTACTGATATGAACGACTGGGCAGCCTGTAAGCACCAAAAGCTGTCAAATCTACTCCAAATCGCCCGCCTGAATCCTCCATCCAGTACTCATGCAGAGTGTGATTGTGATTGAGGTCGCTAGGCTTGTTTAGAAAATCGCGATAAAACCCCGGGACCTCCGTGCGGTTGAGACGAGCTACAATCGGCTGCGGGTTGCCGAAAACAGTCGAGTTTGGCGCCTGCGTAATGACGAAGGGCTTGTCCGGGTAGTCAACAGCCACGAGGGCGATGTTGAAATTCCGAACGGAGCCCTTGCGGCTCGGATCGGACCAAGACGTCCCCGGAGGTGTTTTGTAGTCTGTCCACGTCATGTTGTCGGGATTTACCCAATTCTGCGGATCCAGCACCTTGAACGGATCGCTCTGCGGTACGGACGGCGCAGCCCAGGTTTGACCCGATAGTATTGCGCCGACCAAGACGGCCATTGCGACCGCTTGGTGGCTATTGCCATCGCCCCTAAGCTGCATTATCTATACGGCGCTGAACTAGATTCAGCCAGATATCTTCACGCCCTCAATCGCGAAGTGCGTGAGGGAATGAAGTAAAAGAAAGGCGTCTAATTTTGGGGGCATCAGAGTGCATTAGTACGACCGCCCGTGAGCACGACACACGGCACATTCCCGTGGATCGTATCTGTTGATTGTAAATAGCTTGGCATGTTGATGGAACCTCATATCACCTAGGTCAACTCTGGTGATTCGACCAGCAATCCAGTCTTGCTCCGTTACTGTGGTCGAATGCTAAAGATGTTTGCTGGAATTAGTTAGTGTGCATTGACCCTTATCACGGCCACCTGCTAGATTAGGTAGGTCGACAGGGCGTACCACGCTTGGCGGAGATAGGGGTATCTGGCTCCGAGCAGCGCTGCGACTTAACGCGGAGAACTTGGTTGAAAAGCGTTACACCTTGGACGCTGAGCTAAATCTATACCGCTCGAGCTTCTAATCCCTTTAAACAATCTTCGCGCTATGTTAGCTTCTTCATGAATACGATAATTTCCTATGGGAGCGAGGTAAATTGTTCTATAAACTATCGTGGAACTCCGTGCTCTAACAGTTCTACCAAGATTGAAATTGTCATATAAGTAGGTAGCCAGCACTAGCTAGTAGGAGAGTTACGGCTATTAGCCCATATTGAAACGTCGTTAATACCCAAATATTTGCGGCGATTGTCAGCGCAGGGCTCAATGATTGGTTTATAATTATAATTATTAAGTCGCTGGTATTGATGATAAAATTGGTAGTTTGAGTACTGCCGCTGGGAACGTCAGTCTCGGCGAACAAACCGACTCGGGTAGAGTATTAGCCCAGTTGATAGATAACCGGACACATTAGCGATCGCTTTTCAGCTGTTAGTATCAAGCTTCTCGAGGTTTCCCTCTCGATTGTCTAGACAATTGGACGCGGGATCAGGGTTAAGCTATATAACGATAGACAGAGTAGATGTGGCACAGGAGTTGGATCGGAGTAATAGTATACCTTCATACAACTCTCATATGGAGCAAGAGGTGTCGGTATCTAAACAATATTGCCATAAGGAGACCGTCATCAGAAACTTGACAGCGTTTACATTGATCTGTACCTACTTTCACAGTCTGCAGTTGATCACCGAGTCCGTCTCCGTATGATGCCTCACGGAGGTTTGAATGAGGGTCTAAGTTGTTCGTTGATGCTCCCGAGACCCGAGTAGCTTCTCTTAACTCTACGTCAAGTAACTGTATGGGGTAATTGTGATTAAGGGGACCGTATGAAGTCTATTCAGATGTGGGTTTTGTAGCTTTCCCTCTCCCCGGAGCCGATTTGAACTTATCACCCCATTTATCCTCTTGTTGGAACATGGCTAGGCAGACAAGTGCAGAAGGCGAGCCATGCTCCGGATCGGCGCCCCCTTCTAATAGTGCCTACATAATCAGCAAGTTAGATCATATAGGCTTTCGGACGGTTTACTGGATATGAATGGCAGACCTCAATTACGCTATCCTCTTTCTTGAAGATGGCACCGGCTAAGGGACTTTGACCCCTATCGTTGATACGGTTCGTGTCGGCCCCATGTTGAATAAGCAGCTTGACAAGATCGGCGTGTCCATGATAAGCCGCCAGCATGAGCTAGAAGTAGGCGAATTATTATCAGTATTATATGTCAACTTATCGGAGGTCTTATTAAAGAGAAGTTGCCAGTTAATTGTTTCATACAAGTGAGTCCCCTTTTTCGTTAGTCATATTAGGAGGCAAACCGGCTGGTAATGCTTGCTGGAATATATCAATCTCTCCTGTTCGTGCGGCATTATACATGCGACCTGCAAATTCGATAGCCTCCGGAGGAAGGGATGCTGGTGCCGATTCGCTGGCCATTTTCAAAGGCGAATACCCACGGGACTAGGAGTAAGGGGTTTCGGAGATCGGAGCGAAGTAACTAAAAGAGTAAATGACTTCTTAAAACAGGAGGCAAGGTAGGTAGCTACTTCCTGAGGCGTTTGTTTAAGTTCCGGGCCGGCATGAAGTGGAGATGGTTCTTGATGATATCATCCCACTTTCCTTCCGATTAACTCCGGCAAATAACCCCTTTTTTAGCTAATTGATTGGACGGACCTCCGAGACTGCCAAGTTTATTCGGTACCTGGTATAAGTCAAAATGGATAAATGCTTTGCATACCTCCGATGTACCTCTGGCCTCTCAGAGTACCCGCTGATAGCCGCTGTAAACCCCATTTATCGAGCCGAGATAGCGTCGGCTCTAACATCGAAAGCTCTTGTTCACTCCTTTGAAGGTACTTAACATAACCTAACCTACCTGATATACATCTACCAAACCTGTTATCAATTATTGCGGCGCTTCATTTACGAATAAAAAATTGTACAGCGCCATGCGACCACGACTGCACACTCGATTGGCACCTTCGGCCGTCCGTCTCCTTCGTCTTTACTCCACTGACGCCGGCCCTCTCATTCGCGTTACCAACCTCAAAGCTCCCAATTCTGGTCATATCCGTATTCTCGAATTGAATAGACCATCTGCGCGTAATGCTATATCAAAAGCGCTCCTGGCCGCCTTAAGAGCTGAAGTCGCCGATGTCCAGTCGCAATATACCATAGAAGGCCAAGAATTGCCTCCTCCCCCGCGATTCGGTGGAGCTGCTGGTATAGATCTAAAAGGGCCTACTAGAGCTTTGGTTTTGGCTAGCGCTATCGATGCGAGTTTCTGCGCGGGCGCAGATCTCAAGGAGCGACGCGGCTTCACGCAAGATGAGTCAGTATAATATGATATAAAATCACTGTTATTCCTAAATATTTTACATTTGAGCTAACGGCTGAGGTTTAATCCGCTTTAGGACAGCGCAATTTCTAGCAGATCTCCGCGGCACTTTTTCGTCCCTCGCGTCCCTCCCGATCCCTACGATTTCGGCTATCTCTTCCATCGCGTTAGGCGGCGGCCTTGAGCTCGCCCTTTGCACACATTTCCGAGTATTGGCCTCGACTGCGACAGTAGGTCTTCCCGAGACGCGATTAGGCATAATTCCTGGCGCCGGTGGTACCTACCGATTGCCCGCGTTGATTGGACTCTCGCGCGCCAGAGATATAATTCTCACGGGACGGCGCGTTTCCGCCCCCGAGGCGTACTTCTTAGGAATTGCCGATCGGTTGGTTGAGGTGCTACCCGAAGACGAGCGGGACGGTGTCGAGCAGACGAATAATGGAGCGGAAGACGGACTACCAGCTAGAGCACGGAATGCGGTTCTCTCGGAGGCAGTGAGGTTAGCAATCGAGATCTGCGAGGGCGGCCCGATTGCCGTTAGATCTGCCCTGCAGGCCGTCGGCTGGGCTACGGAGGAAGTAGAGAATACCATGTACGAGCGCGTGATGAAAACCGAGGACCGAGACGAGGCATTAGAAGCGTTTAAGCATAAGAGAAAGCCCGTCTTCAAAGGGCGATAAATCAATGGCATCAAACTAGGTTAGGTACCTAGGTAGGGTTCTTGTTTCATATATACTACCTCTAGGTATGTAGCATTCTGTGCTACAATTATTAGCACCATGTCTGCATCGGTGTGTATTTCTACAATAATACCAGGCATATCTCCCCTTGAGACAATTACAATACGAAATAAGACTAGACCTAAGTTTAAGACATTATTATCGCAATCAGCTTTTTAGCCAAGAGCTGCTATATCCCTACAATGGCATTGTGCTCTAATACCGAGCCAGTCTGGGCGCGTAGGTGGCGCGTTGCCAGCATTCTATCCCTTTAGGTTGCCATGCCTGATCCCAATACAGGAATCTGGCACTAAAAACAGATGATGAATCATCGACATGACGCAACGAAGCAGTTATAATGACAGCAGGTTATAGTTTTATTAAGAGGACTGATCCCTCCCACTCTTTAGAATTCTTAAAAGTAATCCGTCTCATGTTTTACTATCTAAATTATTCAGGCCGCGCTTTCACCTAGGTAACATCATGACCGCAGTCCAGAAGCCAGAGGAGGGAGACAAAAGTATACTAAACCCAGCACTTTCTGGTGCTAGTTCACTAATTGTATTGTTTTTGCTAGTCTCTTGGAATTGGGGCGGTGGTGCCCCTGGGGGCACAGTGGCAGAAACGAAGGAGAAAGGAGCGATTGAGATCAAGACACAGCGCGGGAACACAGTCAAAAGAAACGCCGATACAAATAACCCTGCCGTCCGCATTGAGCGGTCAGGTAATGATGTCGTCAAAAGAGCGTCGGAATTGACTGTCGAAGAAAAGCATAAAGGTCACCGAGGCAGTACGAAACGCAAGGCCGATGATCAAGACCCCGGAAACGATACGGATGAGAAAGATGAGGATGAAGATATCGATGTTATCTCTGATGGGGTTGACGAAGAGCCTCATACAAAAAATGAAAGGGGTAAGGAGGTGAAGAAAGGTGGCAAGGAGGCTAACAAGAAGCAAAAGAGGGAACAAGAAGAAGAGGAAGAAGAAGAGGAAGAAGAAGAGGAAGAAGAGATATCTGAACAAGACGAGGATGACGACAAAAACACAAACGAGACTGATGAAGACATAAGCGAAGAAGATGAGGATGAAACAGGAGATGTAGAAACTGCAGATGGCGAAGTAGATCTAGATTTATGAACAATAGCTTACCGACTATTCAAAAGACGGAAAGAAGAACGACAAAGGTGTGGATGGCAAGACTGACAACACTAAAGGGAAGTCCAAACCAACGTCCAAGGCCAATGGCAACTCAGAAACAAATAAAAAGCAACATCAGCTCGAGAAGCCCATTACACGTAGCCGGGACCAAGCCAAGCAATGAGATATTGCGGTGGAAAAGTTTGAATGCAACTGCGGATAGTTACTAGACACAGCGCAAACAGAAAGGGGGCAAATTACACATACTGCTTATGAATACTTATATGATTGGGTAATTTATGAGCTTCGAGACTATGGAAGCATCGTCGTATACAACTGTAAAGCGTGATCTCTTAACCCTCGTACCATTATACGTTATCCCAATCCCATATAAAATGCGAGGTCCGAAGGTCAATGACAAGTTAGAACATCTAATGTAAATAAGCCAGTGCTTTGGTTTCATCTTCGAGATATTTTGACAATAGGGCTTTTTTTCGTGATAGTATGGAGCATTTACAAGGGATACTGACAATTACTAAAAATATAAGCGATACTCACTTAATATATTTGTTAGGTATCATGATTAATTCCTAATCCATAAGAAGGGCATCCCTTGCCCCTATTTTGGGAACTCTGAGTTGGTTTCTACAGATAACTTATGAAGTTTGATGTAATTCATTATAAAATATCGACATTCCTGGCCTCTTAAACCAACAAGACTAATGCATCCCCTTTAGGGGGTCCTTACAGAAGGGAAATATGTATTTGATAATATGCTTGACTCTAACTTCACCAGCCTCGATGCAAGAGGTTATATATATGTTTTCCCCTTTTGATTGCAAATTTAGCCGCGCGAAGGTAGATCTCGAAGGAAACTCGTCATGCTATGGATGAGACTCTTGACTAGAGGGATTCCGGCCCCTTTAAACCGCTGTTGTTTTTTGACAGCTAACCTGGGGCTTCTCGTAAGGGAGCGTTCGATTACCTTAGTCCTATATAACTATTGTGGATTACCTTGCACCTGAGCGGCTGCCCTTCGTCTGGAGTCGGAAGCAACTTCAATAACTGGGTCATAATATAGCGCTTGGCTATCTATCTTGCGGTTATAATGATCTCTAAAATGGTAAGTATACCAGGTACCTCAATTGCCTGTTTTTGTGTTCATCCGTATTGAAGGCGGACCCGAACGACTGGTTCCACAGTTTGCAATATAAAACTTCTAATGCGACCAATCTGTGTACACGCTGATCCGTGTCCGATTTCATACCAAGACTGCCAAACGATTCCTGATGCCTGGCTATAGTTGCATCGCTTCTGACGAAATTCTTCTATATCGAATTCGAAAAGATATTAATAGTTGAGAATTACGGCAAAGTCAAAGGTCCCAATCAAGCGAACCCCACGATAGTCAGAAAATTCCATACTTCTTTTCTAGGTTGTCTTGCCAAGGGATCCGAACAAAAGTAGTTACTGCAAATTGTTTATCGCTTGCCACGTTGCGGCACGTACTAGATAAGTTAGTTTGCAATGACAAAAAAATTAGCCTTGCGTCACCTTCTGAGCAAAAATGAAGGATCCTTCTAGTTTCATTTAGACTACCTCCTTCAGCCTTAGCCCTGCGCAGTGGAGAAGGATTAAAAAGATTTCTGACTTTAAAAATAAATGCTTAGCCTTTATAGTGGATAGGTAGGCGAAGACCTCTAGGTAATAGGGCAGTACGTCGTGATATCTAGAGGTAGGTAGGTACCTCTAAATCAGGTAGGTTAGGTAAACATTGTGGAAATTCAATCGTCAACTCTATAGCTACTACGTTCCGTATAATGCTATATTCAATGAATATCAGATATCAGAGTCAAATAAATAAACGACCCGAGTTCTTGGTAGTCTCCTTGAATCCTTTCGCGTGCCTAATGCAGCTCAATCAAGATGACGTAGTTGAACTGCCGGCGGTGGTCTTTTGTCGAGCAGGCTCTTGTGCGGCGCTGAATAAACTCAGATATATCTGTATAGGAGAGCTGAAGCCCCCGGCGGAACTGCGTCTCTGGCCGAGAATAGTGTTACCCCCGTTGAAACAAACTCGTTTCAAGATTAAAGTTGAGCCCTGTGAGTAGATCAATGATTGGCGCCGTGCCTCCCGCCGACAGACTTAGCTCCGTACCCCGGTCCATGTTTTCTAACCCTTGCGACAACAATGCCCCGGATTTACAGTTGACGATCGATCGCAAGAATACAACAGGCCTCGGTCATGTTGTGCACATATAGGGGCGGTTGGTAGTCACATTATAGTTTCCAAAAGTTGTTTGCCTGGCCGGGCTTAATTAAGGCTTGTTTCATTTATGTTCGGACGTGCTAGATTTGGAATTGATGTGTAGGCTCGATCTGGTAGGTCAAAAGCCGGCACCTGCAGGAACAAGGTAGCATTGCGGATGGGGCTGGTGGGAGAAATAACACGACTGGTCAAACAAGTAGAAACGAATTGGCATTTATTTATATGTCCCCTCCTTCCCGAACACTGATGGTTGTTGGCGATCATTATCTCACGTGCTGTGGCTTCAACCATCCTGCTCATTCCCTACAAGGTCTCGAGAGATACCGACTTACATGAACCATATTATGAAGGAGTTTTTTTTTTCTTCTTTTTTTTTCTTGGGTTTCACGCTTAGCCGTGACATTATACTAGCGAATGAGCTTCCGTAATCACACCCTCATAGAGATCCAGGTACCTTGACAATATTTTAGACCTGGGTGAACCTGGAACTGAAGCTAATATGTTCCTGTTATACGCCGGCCCCCTATGAATAATGTTCTTGTGTTGTGGGTACCGGGAATGGTTACGGCTCGGTGTCTAAATATAGTAAAGCGGAGAGAACACAAATACAGGTAGCTTTTCTTCACCCATTGTCAGGGCAAGTATGCCTATAATGTCGATTACAACCCGAAGTGACTTGACAGCTTGAAAAGAAAATAGTAACTGACTTGGTTAAAGGTCGATATAGCATCGACATCTAGAGATGATCGACAGCGCAATTAATGGCAACGGCACATAAGACATCTGGTGCGTATCCCGACTAACAGGTACCTACTCGGGAAGTAAATATGCGGCCAAGATCCGAGGCCTTCAGATGTCGCACTGCTGAGGGCTGTTCCCGAGGCTGCAGTCAGAAGTTTCCTATGCTACGTAGCAGAGTACCTAGCCATATATCAGCCTGGTCAATGTCCATGTGCTTCGAAAGCTTACGAAGTAATAATCCATGTTTCGCTCCGAAGGGAAGTACATACATTCACTTCTATGGTAATGGTTGGATTGACTTTGCTATAGATAGTAGGTCGCCCATCCAAAATTGTTTTGTTTGTATTCGAGATCCTACTTCACTGACGATCACAAGCTTTGTTGGGCATGTAATACATACCGACAAGCAGCATTGATAAAGGCTATTCGGTGTCTGTTGGCTTAGACGGGAAAACCGCGATGGTTGCAAGCTAGGGCGACTGCTCTTTTTAGTAGGTTACAAATTCGGGTAATGTATGTTGGTAAGATGGTTTGTCTCCCTGATATTTATAAAAAAAAAGTTGAAAAAATAGTTGGGATGCCATAGGGGTAAGAAATAGGTATGCGCATGCCATAGTCTACCTTATATGTACAATGCTATGCCTAAGGTACACCTGAGGTACCTGTGGTAAGCTTCCATAGCGGCGCATCCAAGGCTTCACACTACCGAATAAGACAATACTCTTACATTTCATTCCACGATTAGTAAAAGGATTTAGTAGGCTTAGGTTTAAGAAAATGCCGAATATGATAGAATTTCAGCGTTTTGGAACTCATCGCAAGGCTCATCGCCACATCACATGCCCCCAATTAGGAGGTTCATATCTGTAGGAGGCGTTAGAGCGAATTGGTTCATGCAAATACTCAGAGTGGGCAACCTAGACTTTCCATTGGCTGGCTTCCGGTTTGGAAATTGGTTTTTGGTAATTAAGGGAAGGTAAAAGTGTTAGAGAGAGGCGCTTCTACGGAGGTTCTGCGGGCTAAAAGTTCAGATCCTAGCTCCCGGCATCTTTCTTTTCTCCAACTTTGGAGCAACCTCCAGAACTCTCCCCCTGGCCCCTAAACATCCTTCGGAAATAAAGCCCTGGTCTAGTTCACAAGATGGATAAACCTTACAGCATACACAAAAAAAGCCACCAAGCCTTACTTGTAGCATTGCTCTCCACGAGGCTAGTTTCAGGGCCATTCATAGATTCTCATTTGACCATAAAGGGAAGGTCATCGTGGTGCTATGCGCACTTCTTGGTCCGTGTGATATGTATAAGCTGGATGTAACTAAGTAACAAGAAGGATCGTAACGTTTCTTGTAAGTTAAGAAGCAAAGCGCCACTGACAATTAGGGTATCGTTACGTATATAATTCTTCCCGGGCCCGGCTCCTCATGTTATGCTCTCCTCCGTAGTATGACCCCGTAAGTGTATGACACGGATCTTTTGGTTCTCTTTTGGAACTGTTCATTCTCTTTTCGCTGAAGCCGCAGGCAATAGGCGTCCATTCATTACTTTAATGCGCATACACTCCTTATTATATCCCGATCGTTATCGAAAGTAACTCTGTTTCCCGCCAGACGTCAGAGTACAATCCATCATGCGTGCCTTTTTCAACTTGGCTGTAGCTTCTGCTACCGCTTTCTTCGCTTCAACTATCGCAGCACCTACACCTATAGTTGTAACTCCGGGAGATAAGGGGGATCTGGTTATTACCAAGGAGAATACTCTTAACCATACCGTGAGCAACCAGACTGCTACTTTTGGCATAAAGGAATATAACCCACTCAAAATCTCTTTCGTAAACAACTTTGGAGGAGGGCAACTGAATGTCTACGTGACGGGTAATGACCCTTCCGGCGCTATTGTTATGCTCTCAAGCGATGGTACTTGGTACCATCCAAACGCTGCTGGCAGCGCCGTACCCGTACTTATTGAGGCCAACATTGCTCTCCCCATGGGCCCACAAGGCGAGACTACCGAATTTACTCTACCTGACTATATCAGCTCTGGCCGTATCTGGGTCGCCGAAGGCGTACTCCAATTCTACACCGTTGCCGCCGCAGATGGAACATCTCAGCTTGTCGAACCTTCCGCCGCGAACCCTTCAGACCCTTCAGCGGGAGTAAACTGGGGCTTTGTCGAACTTACCAACACCCAAGAGGGAGGTATCTATGCCAACATCTCGTTCGTCGACTTCGTCGGTCTGGTTATGGGTATGACTTTGACTCTGGCTAGCGGTCAGAGTCAGGAGGTGAAGGGTCTTCAGCAAAACTCTCTCGAGACCATCTGCCAGGAATTGAGGGACCAGGCCTCACTTGACGGTCAGGGTTGGGACAAGCTTTGCGTTACCGATGCCAACGGCAAGCCGCTACGTATCCTCGCGCCGAACCTGTACCAGTCCATCGACCCCTTTTTCCAGGAGACCTACTACAACGACTACATCGAGCAGGTTTGGCAGAAGTATGCGAACGAGGATCTTACCATCAACACTCAAGCCGCCGCAGGGAACGTCGCTTGCCGTGTTAACGGCGAGGAAATCACTTGCGCTGGAGACAACCGTGGATACATGAGGCCCACTATTGCCGACATCTGGGGCTGCAACTCGGGTCCCTTTGCCATCGAAGCGGCCGATAACGACGTCCACAGGGCAGTTGTTCCTAGGCTCTGTGCTGCCTTCTTCCGTTCAACTCTGCTGGTCGATGGAGGTAACTTGCAGCCTGGTCTCGCTAACAACATGTACTACACTGTGGACCCGACGAACCACTACTCCCGCATCCTCCACAAGCACGAGATCGACGGTAAGGGCTACACCTTCTCGTACGACGACGTCAACCCAGATGGCGAGAACCAGGCTGGTGTTGTCGCCGGATTGCAGCCCCAGGTCCTGCAACTCACCGTCGGTGGATTCCCTTCTTAAAGGAATACCGCAGATGATGAGGCTCGTGGGAACTGCGAGCAGTGACTTTCTGTTATTTATTGTCACCATGTAAGAAAAGCTTCATAGCAGCGATATTTAGCTATGAATCTTCGTATTGTATATATCCCTTCTTTATGTACATATTACTTACCTTTATTGATCGCATTTTCACGGTATCTTGGGTATCATGTACATACAAGCTACACTCGTTTCGCAAACCCTGTTGTTGACTTTCAGAAGTGTGAAATTTTCGGATTCGGAGCATAGGTGTGTATATTCTCGTAAAGTGGCTGGGTTTTACCGTGCCCGATATCTGGATATATTAGACAGAGGCACTATATAACATCTACCTCCTTAGGTATCTGCGTTGTAACGCTTCGCTCGTATATGATAAAATACATCCCGTTTCCAACCCTATGCTCTGTAAGCCATATATCAGTTGGATCTTGACATGCGTTGCCGCATTTTTCGTGGAGTGTTCGACAAGTAGAAGCTTGCCCCGTAAACCCATAATTAGCCTAGGATATAGACAATGTTTCATTTCAAAGCTCAAGTGTCTCTCAAAACTTCGAAAGTCTGTAGCTACTAACACTGCATCTTCGAGGGTTTAAACTTGGCATAATTATTGTTGCGGACTTTACCATAATATGCGTCATGCCGTCTAACGGCACTGAAGTATTCAGTATAACGCCTGGTTCATGTCTCGGCCATAACGCGTAAAATACCTTGCACGGAATTATCTGATTACGTGCGAATGATTTAAATAATGCCAGAATATTCTTTGGTCTTGCGCGTCGCATTTCATTTCTGCAGATGAGTATGCAGGCAAGTCGCCTTAGTTTTATATTAACTCAACATCTATCTGTGTCTTTCAATCGTACAAACGGGAGAACCTCAACCGCAAGTAACTCAAGCTAAGTCTTTACTTCCAATTTATCGACCCAGGAATTGAACTGTTCTGACTTAGCAGCAGCCAAGTCTAATGTGAAGATGCCATGTTCCGAGTGGATGCCGAAAGGGGATAGGGGGTCGGTCGGGTCAACCGGAGGTACTGCCGACGCGGCGAACGCGAAGCTTGCGGCCGTCGCTCCGGGATCTAGAGCTTCTCTCGCACCCCCGTTATGGATCCATGTACTGCATCCCTGACAGAGTGTAGTTAGGGTCCAGTGAGTTGCATTCGCCGTTGACCCCTGAAGTACAGTGTGGTTTGCCGACTCGTATATTTCCGGCTGAACATGGGCTCTAAGAAAAATGTCAGTCCTATCTTGCAGTTTAAGAACCTCAATAACTCACGTCGCAAATCGAGCTGCTGCCACAGTGCTATTTCCATTTGCCCAACCTAGAGTGATGGGATTGTACAGCATACCGCCTCCCCAGGCGATACCTGCCCAGCCAACTGTCTTTGGCGCAACTACTTGGAGGAGGACGTCGAAAGGACCCTCATCTACAGCTGGGATGGCGATGCGCCAAGTTATCGGGGCTACTCCTACCGAGATTTCAGAGTAGCAGACCCCAGTAGTCTCATCGCAGTACTTAGCGCTGGCTGAAGCTGAAGCTGTGAAGCTGTGGCCCGCGAAGGCGGCTACAACAAGAGCAAGTTGAGAAACTAATCCCATCGTGAACTTATATCTTAGCAATAGGATGCTGCAAGTTAAAATATGCGTGTAATTGAGCTACTGCTAAGCTATGGCGGACAGTCCAGTGCTTAAGCGAGTAAGCGCCTTATATATCTCGACATCGTCACACTGGCGACCATTTCCAGAGTTCCGTCCGGTCCCATTAACCGCCACAAGCGCCGTCCGTCGCCTATCTACTATAGGCATCGGCAGTTGTCGTTTTCACAAGGCAGCGGAACGTGAAGAGGAGCGAACCAAGATTTTGGTAATGCCAAAGAGTAGATTACCCGAGTGCTGGTTGGTCCCCACACGTATATCGACGCAATGGTAAATGCACCCCGGCCTACCTAGATCCGTACGGTTACATCTACTTAGACTGAAGCGGCTGAAGTCAATGTCGTGGCGGAGCTTACTACGTCGAGATTTCGTCTGTATCTGGTAACACGACAGGGCTACGAAATGAAAGGTAGCCATGAGATTCTCCCTTTGTGTTGATCATGAGTAGATCCGCGATCATTTATGGTTAGCAGCCCCAACTGAAATGAACCACGAGCTCAGTCTATGAAGCGGTTAATGAGCTTCTGAGGTCCTTACTCCTCACAGGATTCTATGGACTGCCTTTATATTTATTCATATTGGGGACGTTTACATATGGATATAGGGGAAATAAATTAACTCGCAACTGGTTTCATACTCTTCTTAAAATTTTCATTCTCGCTCACCAGTGCCTGATTCTAGGCTTTTTTGGTCTCCCCATTCCGTATGTCCGATTTTTCTCAGAAACGCCAAGAAACTGTAGGGTTACAAAGAAACCTTTGATCTTCGCTCACCAGGGATGCAACGGTAAGTTGAGCGTGGCGTGATTTTATGCGGACTCATTGAAAATAGAATGTGCGATATGCCAGAGTCATATAGACCTTCTTCAATGCTACTTAATGCTACTCATCTTTCTCGTGGGTATATTGGAGAATGACCTCACTAGAATTGACTCCGAAGATCTTTTTCTCTATCTTCTATGGGTTGACTTATGGACCGATCTATGTAGTAATGAGTAGGTAGCTACCAACATTCAGAGTGACATTGATATCGCTCATAAAAATAGATATTATTGATGATCTAAAGTATTGCGAAATATTAAAAATGAGATAAGTTCAATGCAATGAAGATTAAGATGAGTTGCAGTGGCCGACGTCGCATTCATTCTCCCCATAGAAACACAGGATCACACCCATCTCTTATCCTTCCGATCATCTTAAGCTCCTCAATTGTAGTTTCGGAAGGTCTCCACTGGTGGAGATAGAAGTAGACTCTCCACGAGTTTTTGTTATGCGAGTGCATTTGTTTGCCTCTTGGGAACGGCGTCCCTGGCGCCAGACACCCAACCTCATATTGTCAAATATCCGTACCCAGGCACATCACCTCTACAGGAGCCTCCCTAAGAACTGGTAAGCGGCAACAGGCCCGTGCGAAAGCTGTAAACAAACTGTTCAGCTCAATATCGTCGGGGATAACTCTCTCAGGGTCATCACGTCTACCTGGCTGGACCATGTGTTGGTAGTAAAACTTTTCGCGTTCCTCCAACTCCTCATTAGTGTTCCCATAACCAGGTGGAAGGTGATCAAGTGTAATTAGTGAGTCTTGGTCCTCAATAAAACCGTTTCCGAGCTTAAATAACCACTTTCCAGATGGATTTTGCATGTAGACCGTGGCCTTTAGAGTTTTTACATTCTTCCATTGCCCAACGTCATCCTCCATATCAGCCAGTGAATTGTAAAATGTGTGATGTATGGGAGCGATTATATGGACTGTCAAACAGCTCCTTGTAAGGTGTTGCAAGGCACGGCTGACTGGGTCTTGATCTCCAGGTGCGATGAACTGGGAAAGTAGCTTTTGCCTGTTTTCAGTCCACGGCGGAACTATGTGACAAAGGAACTTCTTGGTAGATGATGGAAGGTCTGCCGAGGTGATGCTCTTAACCAGCTCGTCCCGGTATGTGCGATCCATGCTATAGTACCGACCCCAGCTATCCTCGCGGCGATCCAAATGCCAACTAATACTCTCGGCTTTTGTCATCTTCGTAGAAAGAAGCATTGCGACACGCGGACTCCAATTACGGCGTCCATCAGAAATTGTAAACTCTCGAACACAAGGCAGGAGTGGGAAGTCGGAAACGTCAGATGTGAGATCGAGCAGGGAGAAATTATAACGCTGCTCATTGAGATCCAGTCTTACTTGGTATCGATAATCAGCGGGAACCTTTGGCAAAAATAGTCTTACTCCTTTGTCCGAGGGCGAAGATGCTCCCAGGATGTTCAGCACGAGTATCGGCTCCATATCGGCATCCTGACCATATAATGTAGAAATCAGATAGAAAACCCTCTTTAACGCCGCGGTGATAACCTCATTATTGGCCCTGCGGTCTTGGTCTGTCTCAAACTCGGTAAAGTATTTAGAAGAATATGGCGGTAGAGTCATCTTAAGAGAGAGCTGCCGTAGAAAGTTACGACGCCGAGGGGTTAAAATTCGTTCTAACTCATTTAGCTTTGACTCGGTGGCTGTAATAAGAAGCCTTCGAAAGGAATGGCTCTCCACCGAGTTTTGAAACTTCCGGGACACAGTTGCAAGCGCCAAAAAAGCTGGGTTAGAAGCATGTATACGCTTTAAGCAGAAGAAAATGACGCGGTCATAAAGCTCTTGAGGCCATTTATCCATGTTGGCAGTGTTGTATCATAGGTACCAGGTACCTAGGTAGTCAAAGGATGTTTGAGTTCAGAGGGAAAAACGAGATAAAGGTGAAGAAATATCTACAGGTAGGAGATGATATAAGAAATGGAGGGCATTTTAGTGGGGCTCATAGGCAGCAAGCCTACTATTTTAAATAGATCGTGCCATATGCCGGGGTATATGTTGACTATCGTCGTTTGACAAGAAACTTTTAGTACTTCATTATTTCATTCCTATGTCACACTTCCCCTTCTTGAAATTAATAGCTTAGGAATCTTGAGGAAAGCGGTATGACACAGATGGAGTAATAGCTGAGATATGTTCGGCCGCACAAGAAATGCTTGACCGTCCAGATAAAGTAACTCGGATTCAGGCTCCTGACCCCAGTGATATGATATAGAAATATACTCCGGTACGTGCTGGCGTTCATAAGTTTCGATAGATAAGTATGGCTGCCCATCTCTGAGTTCGTGCTTCAGCTGATGAATCCGAAGACTGTATATAGAGAGCGGTTCATGCTTGAAATTGGGCTCGATAGCTCTAGGATTAGGTGTCGGTGATTTCGAGGACAGTAATGATAAAAAGAGGTTCTATAATTCTTACTAGATGATATTTGACATAACTTGACATGTTGTGAAGTTGCTCCAGTAGCTCCCCAGCTAACGTTTCAAATCGCAAAACTCTCCAGAAGTTACAACCCCCTTTAGCCATATCATAAGGATTTCTACGTCCTAGGACCATCCAGCCAATAAGATATAACCTAGGTTAGAGGTAGTTATTATATACAATACCAGAAATCCTCTACGTGAATAGCTATTTCAAACTCTAAAAGATACGGTATATGAGCTGTAGGTACTGGCATATTGACTTAGTATACCAACTGTATGAGTGAGGAAGAAGGCTTCTCATATATACATTCTACGCTAAGATATCATGCAACTGTACCTGAAAGTCGTCTCTTAACCACTCATTTATACCTAAGAGAATAAAGTCTAAAGGCTAGGTTGGGTCTAAGTAGGTTTGAATTTTGAATCTTCGGTGCACTTTAAACCCTTTTCCGAGTGTTATTAGACATTATCCAATCTCCCCTTACAAATGTAGATTTAATATACAATTTTTTTTGAATCGCCATGGGTTGATCGCTCCTTAATTTTCTCTAACGAGTCAATCTTAAATCAAATTTTATTAAATCTTCGTTTATCTCTATTATATATACTGCTTGCAAATCGCCCCCGTTCAATTATGATAATATAATATACTTCTAATTTGTTGACGTGTGTATAGTAGAAATCCAGTCAATTTCGCGTGTCTTACAATGTTTAGAATAAGATTAAGCTTTTCTACGGAACTTCACCATAACAATATGTGATTGATTTGGGCAATAGGAAAGTATTAGGGTAGATGATCCGAAATAACAGGCATTGAAACATCAACATAACTTCATCTTTAATGTTAATTTTATCATCCATCACTCTAAGAGTTTGCTGAAGATACTATTCTAACTTATCGTTACTTATAGCTTCTTCTACCTTTAGTAGTTTTCTCTACAAGCTTGCTTCAACGAATAAAAATACATCCCATTTTTTTCGTAGATGATAAATCATGGATGTGTTCCATTTGCCCGAGCATTCCGCAAAAGTTTCGAGCTACAACTTAATCCTTAACCTCGCTCTTTGAATTCGCCTGGTGAAATTCTCTTTCACATGCAAGCGGTTCATCCCGCACGAAGTAACCTTTTTTTTTTCGTTTAGTCTGTACAGTGTAAATTGAAGAAGGAAGATGGATAAGATGAAGATTTCCCATCTCACCAAATTCTTCTAGTTGTTGATAATAGTGATGGAATGTTCGTGCATCGAAGAGTCAACCATTTGCTAAATGACAAAGAAGTTCCCTGGTTTCCCCTGCTGGAAGTAATTTGTTTCCCATTGTTCGTCGCTTTCGTTAGTCGCGAAAACTCGGCAATCGGCGTTCCGTATCAATCCAAAGGGTAGAAATAGGCGGAGCGGTGCCGGCCGTCCAGGATACGTGGTGCTCTAGGCTGCAAATAGAGTTAGAGCGTCCTTCGAACTGGGGTAAAATCCTATCATTCGCTCGCGATACTCAGCGTGTTGGTTCTCGCGTCCGGCATAAACGGCTGCGACGCTTAAGCATTGGTGCTTTATTGGCGAAATCATACTCTGCTAGTTATTGGAAGATGAGGAATGATAAGCGTGCGTGGAGATGTTGAAAGTAGAGGGGAAGGGAAAAAAAGGAAATCGCGAAAGAAATTAATCTAGGCGCTGGCTGTTGTTGACATCTCATTCCAGAGAGTTATCACGGGAACAGACGAATTCTACGACAAACTGCCATGCTCAGCACTCGATACGAGGAATCTACAACGAAAACCCAACTAATTCTAGAATTTCTCTTAGGTCGTATGTTTAATCACTGATCAATGATTTGTTTCTGATGCTTTCTTACATTTGAACATTTGAAGATGGGTAAATCGGCCAATATCATCCCGGAAGCAAAAGGTCGCAGATCTCCTACGGCCGATGCTTAGGACAAGAAGTTATTCATAAAGGATAATCCAGCTAGTTGTTAATCCCTATCGGGTCATCAATATCGACTGATACTCACAGGAAGGTTAGGTACTTCATTTAAGTATCTCTCAGCCATGTGTATCTGTATCCCTAAAGAGTACTTAGATAGCCAAGCCAAGGATGGGAATCTAGATGGGATTGTTAGGAACTGGATGCGTAAAACCCCAGTACCCTTACCCCGTCTGAAGTCTGGACCCCATGAGCCTTAGAGGGGTAAGACGCAAACAGTATGGTTGGTCGATGGATATGTGGGAGTAAAATAAGAGTAAGACAAAAATGGTAAAAATGGAGGGGAACCCGGAGAGTCGGCTCGGAGTGAGGGCTTCACGGATGGGAGTAGAAAATGTATGACGTAAATGGGATTTAGGGAGTAGGAATCAGCCCACCGTCGGCCCATTATATTAAATCAACCACTAAGATGCCGTATTCCGCATGCAACTCCGTCTATCAGCTACTGTTTCTCGCCGCCTAGAATCGCTGTAGACCTGCTCACTATACTTACTGATCAGGCTATTACCACGCTATAATGTCATAGACTCATAGTTGCACGTTACTCACATACCCGGTGCTTTGGATTGGTATTCGCTTTCCACCGAGTCCAATGATAGTAATTACACGCATCCAGCCCAAGTAGAATCACTCACATGAGTTAGCAGTCCATGTGACATTTTGCGGACGTTACAGACGTTGCGGACCTGGACGACCCAACTACGACCTTAGAGTAGTAATTGTAATAGTTGCCAACGCCTCGGGAATATTGCCTTATAAGTACCTCCCTACCTAAGGTAGTCACCATCATCAACGCCATCCTATCCATTCCACTAGTAAGCCATCATCACAAGATCCCCTTCTTTATATAAAGACATATAAAGACACGACAGCTTGGGCTACTCAGAGGACCTCACTGCAGAGACTCAAGCTTATTCTAAGTGTCTTTTGACTGGAAAGTCGACGCCCTTACCGAATAGGTACACTTAGGAGTCGAAGACACCAAAACACAATGACAGTTACACACCAGGCCGAGATCGAGGAGATCCGGCCGTTCGGCAAGGCTCGCTCCACGGTAGAGGGCGAGCCTCTCTCAAAGGAAGAGATCGAGAAGTATAACGATTTCTTTAAGGCCAGCTTATATCTATGTCTTGGTATGATCTACCTGAAGGAGAACCCTCTCCTCCGAGAACCGTTAAAGGTTGAGCATATCAAAGGCCGTCAGCTGGGTCACTTCGGATCTGCGCCCGGCCAGATTTTCACATATATGCACTTCAACAGATTGATTAAGAAGTACGACCTCGATGCTCTCTTCGTCTCTGGTCCGGGCCATGGTGCCCCTGCCGTCATTTCCCAAGCCTACCTTGAGGGCACCTATTCTGAAGTTTACCCTCAGAAGTCTGAGGACACTGTTGGCATGCAGGTCTTCTTCAAGCAGTTCAGTTTTCCTGGAGGTGTAGGATCGCATGCTACTCCCGAGACTCCCGGTAGTCTCCACGAAGGTGGAGAGCTTGGTTATTCCATCTCCCATGCCTTCGGTACCGTTTTCGACAACCCAAACTTGATCACCTTGACAATGGTCGGTGATGGTGAAGCCGAGACCGGTCCACTAGCCACCGCCTGGCATAGCACCAAGTTTCTAAACCCCATCTGCGATGGTGCCGTCCTCCCAGTACTTCACCTGAACGGCTACAAGATTAACAACCCTACTGTACTTGCTCGTATCTCGCACAAGGAGATTGAACAGCTCTTCTACGGATACGGCTGGCAGCCGTACTTCGTCGAGGGTGAAGAGATTGAGTCGATGCACCAAGCTATGGCCGCTACCCTCGAACACTGTGTTCAGGAAATTCGCAAATATCAGAAAGAGGCTCGTGACTCTGGCAAGCCTTTCCGCCCGCGGTGGCCCATGATCATCCTGCGAACACCAAAGGGATGGACGGCGCCGCGCAAGGTTAATGGACACTATCTTAGTGGTTTCTGGCGTTCTCACCAGGTGCCCATCACCGACACTACCACGAACCCGGCTGACCTTAAGATCCTCGAGGAATGGATGCGTGGTTATGAACCGGAGCGCTTATTCGGCAAAGAAGGCAGAATCTCCGCCGAACTGAAAGCATTATGTCCTACTGGTAACAAACGCATGAGCGCAAACCCCGTTGCTAACGGTGGATTGGTGGCCGTCCCGCTAAAGATGCCCGACTTCCGAGACTACGCCATCAAAGTGGACAAGACGGGTGCCACTATGGAGGGTAGCATGGCTAACTTCGCCAAGTTCCTACGTGATATCATCAAGAACAACCCTAACAACTTCCGTCTAATGGGTCCTGATGAGACCGAATCCAACAAGCTAGCTGCCGTATACGAGGCCGGCAAGAAGGTATGGATGGGCGAGTACTTTGAAGAAGACGAGGACGGTGGCAACCTATCTCCTTTCGGAAGAGTCATGGAAATATTGTCTGAGCATACCTGCGAAGGTTGGCTAGAAGGTTATATCTTAAGTGGTAGGCACGGTATGCTTAACAGCTACGAGCCGTTCATCCATGTCATCGACTCCATGGTAAACCAGGTACGTTTATCCGTTAGATTACCCCTTTGACCAATTATTCCTAACACTCTTTGTAGCACTGCAAATGGATCGAGAAATGTTTAGAGGTTGAGTGGCGTGTGAAGGTCCCCTCACTAAACATCCTCTTGACTGCCGTCGTCTGGAGGCAAGACCACAACGGTTTCACACACCAAGATCCTGGCTTCCTCGACGTCATCTGCAACAAGAGCCCCGAAGTAGTCCGCATCTACCTCCCTCCTGACGGAAACTGCCTCCTTTCCGTCATGGACCACTGCTTCCGGTCGCAGAACTACGTGAACGTAGTCGTCGCAGACAAGCAACCCCACATCCAATACCTCACGATGGAACAGGCGATCGAGCACTGCACAAAGGGTATCGGCATCTGGCCTCAGTTCTCCACCGACGCCGGCGAGGAGCCCGACCTCATCATGGCCAGCTGCGGCGACGTCTCCACCAACGAGTCGCTCGCCGCCATCGATCTCCTCCTACAGCACTTCCCCGACCTGAAGGTGCGGTGCGTCAACGTCGTCGACCTGTTCAAGCTGATTCACCACACGGACCACCCGCACGGCCTGACGGACAAAGAATGGGTCGCGCTATTCACGGACAACAAGCCGATCATCTTCAACTTCCACTCGTACCCGTGGCTCGTCCACCGGCTGACGTACAAGCGGCCCGGAAGCGTGAACATCCACGTGCGCGGCTACAAGGAGAAGGGCAACATCGACACGCCCCTCGAGCTCGCCATCCGCAACCAGACCGACCGCTTCAGCCTGGCCATGGACGCCATCGACCGCATGCCCTCGCTCGGGAACCGCGGCGCTACCGCCCGCGACGCCCTCAAGAGCCAGCAGGTCGCCGCCGCCAACTACTCATTCGAGCACGGCGTCGACCCCCTGTTCCTGAGCCAGTGGTCGTGGCCGGAGGAGCGTGTTAAGGAGAAGCTGCAGAAGCTGAACATTGGAGGCAGCTAAAGATTCCTTAGTGGCGGAAGAATTTATTACGAGGCGAATGAATAAGGCTTTTTTGTTTTCTTATTTTCCAAAAAAAGGAAAAAAGGGGGGAGTGGGTATTTTGGATTGGCATGTCTGGTTGGTGTTTCCAGGGATATTTCGGTTCTAATTTTGGTCGGCACGGGTTATATGTCGGTTAACGTGTAAGATGGATGATACGAAAAATACATACTTGTTAAAGTTATTATATGATTTTACTCTGAACCGAACTATTACTGCATACCTCTTATCGGATTCCAGTGTAACGAGTATTCTTACTGTGATCATCGTATTGAAGTTAGGCTTCGTTAGTACGCACCAAGGTAATATCGGGTACCTGACTTCAATAAGAAATTCGAATACAATCATCTCTCGGTATACTATTCGCAATTCATTTCATTCATTCATTCTTCTCACCAGCTAAATCTCAATGGTTATCCTCAAGGTAACATATAGGCTACCTAGGTATCTTGGGTAGGTAGTTGCGGATATCTCCCACTCAGTTATGAATCAGAGCGTGCAGCCCAGGTAAGATCTCCAAGTCCTTCTTCTCGTACTCGTACTTGCCATCGGTGGAGATCTTGGCGGTGACGCGGGGCCGCTGCTGTTGCGTCTGTCGCGCCTTGACCCACTGCTTCGTAGTCAGATGCTGCCCCAACTCCGTAAACGCGTTGCTGGTCAACCCGAGCCGCTGCAGAAGAGGGCTGTTCGCAATCGGATCCAGCACCACGTGGTTATTCGGGCGCGCGAAGTACAGCACGCCCAGGCGGTCGATGTGCGCCTGGTCCGCGGGCGGCGTGTGCACCCTGTGCACGCTGGACTTGATCAGGCCGCCCGTCAGCGCGGTCAGCGCGTCGCACGTGTTGATCGTGATGGTGCCGTCTTGCGGCTTCACCCACTTCCACTCTCCGGCCGAGTTCAAAATCTGGAGCGCGGCTACCGGCTGTCTGAATAGGAGAGTCACCGTGCCCAGATCGGTGTGCCCCGGCCCGTACAGGTTGGCCACCTTGGCGTTCTCTTCGGGGCTCCGCGCCGCGTAGTGCATGTACCGCAGATGGTCTTCTCCTTTGGCGTCGTAGAGATGGTCCCGAACTAGCTGGTCCTCGTCGGGAAGCTCAAGCAAGATCGCGAAGAGACGTAGGAGTTTGACGACAACTTCCTCGTGGCATTTCTAGTGATTTTATGGTAAGTGCACGTTATGTGAAAGGATCTGATGGTTGGCTTACCCTGGAGAAGGCTTCGATCTCCTTGATATTATTCTGTAGAACAGAGGGGTGCTCGCGGTGGTGAAATCCGTCAAACTTGGGTATGTTGTATACTTGGACGTTATCCTTCACGCCATTTCCAAGCCTAAAGTAACGAAATGTCAGCCCGATTTCCCCGTAGGGTCAAGGGAATGGAGTCGGGCCACTTACACCCGATGGCCCGCCGGCCTATATCCGTTATATTCGCCACTTTCGAGGTCTTGCTTATTATAATACTTCAATTTCTCCTCTAATGGAAGCGCATAGAACTCCCGTCCTAGAGCGAACTGGCGGTCGACTTCTTTCTGAGGTATATTGAAGTTCTTGACGTAGAAGAATCCTACGATGGCTATGTGAGAACTTGTGATATCTGGGATGCTGGGTAGTCACTGCAGACATACCAACATGCCGAACCGCATGGTCGAGCTGCTTTACCAGCTCTTCTTTGCCTCCTGGTTGCTCATATAGACTCAAGTCTAATGTAACAAGGTCGGCCCAGTCAACTATAGCAGGCCGAGTTATTAACTGAAACATTGAAGGTACCTAGTCGGTGTGAATTCAGGGCTTACGGTCTTCCTGTGTCACAGGAACATGTTCATAACGATCGATTATACGACCCGGCATTTTGGGTAATGGTTATAAATCTCAATATACGCTGTTAAAAGCTGCGGGCTCGGATGTGTGCATCAAAGCGCGGGGCATATTCAAATCTTATATACTCACTAGTCTCTAGACTCAACACACCTGGAATTAAACTCTTATTCATATCTCTTACAATTCGTTTTATAGTCTTAACTGGTTAAATGGGGAGTTCCATGTCCTGCAAGGTCAGCGAAGCTAGTCTACCGATAAACTATAAGTCCATCTACCAATTAACGTGTTCTATGACTATAGCGTAACTTGGGGAAGATATTGTGTATGTGGGGATAAGGAAGTATAGATGCACTCGCCGTATCGTGAAGTTACAATACGCCAGTAGCGTCCACATATTTGAAGCGGATGGTGAGCACGCCATCGCACATCACCATACCCCTCATCACAACCAATGTAACACTATTAGGACTCAACGGAGATAACCCGACATATCTAAGTAGATTATGTCGCCAAAGTAGACTTCACTTATCTCCTTGGCACTAATAGACCCTGACGTCTCTTAAGACCCTGGGCTAGGTAAGCTAGAGTTGTAGGGTAGAATCACACCTTAAAATAAGACAAGTGCCCATCGGCTCTATGACTTAGGTTTATAGAGTGACAAGTAACCTTCATGTCCTCGTGTAACTCAGGAGTGACAATCTCTTCCTTGGTAAGCCTTGAGCAGTCTTATTCAGCTCAGCACTACAATGACAATAACGAAACCAGGCCAGAGGCTCTCCCTATTCGGCCTTATCAAGGAGATTTTCAATTGGTACCCTTCTGATTACCCTATAGCAGAGCGAAAGTGAGTCTACCTACCTATATCTTTGAGCTGTGGTGGTTGTCGTTGGAACTTCTCTCCTAACAATATCTAGGCTTCTGTTTAAGCTTGACTTATCTATCTTAATATTTGCCTGTCTATGTTGTAAGTAACACTGTCCTTGCCATGTTGATGGTATTGTAACCTATTCTGACAAAAGTGCTAGTCTTCGTTAAGTTTTTAGGTTAGCTCTTATTCTGCGAAAATACTCCGTTTAGCATAGAACTATAAGAGAATAACCCTTCAAAGATCAAACAAATATTAGCAATGCCTATGTCAGCGGTCTGAAAGAGGAATTTGGACTATACGGCAATGAGCTGAACTACTTCAACGTTTGCTACTACGTAGCTTATGTGATATTTCAAATTCCAGGCATGCTACTCATGTCGCGGCCTCAACTGTAAGTACCTAACCTAACCTAAATACTATTAAGCGAGTCTTACAGGAAACAGCTTTAGGGGTGGTGCTAATATATCTACCTCTAATACAGTGCTCGCTGGTTACTTCCTGCTCTCGAAGTTCTTTGGGGCATTTGCACTTTCGCGCAGAGTCGGGTTACCAATGTTCACCAACTCTATGCGTGCCGCTTTTTAGTAGGGATGCTGGAAGCTCCCGTATTCGCTGGGACACACTTTATCTTAGGTGGGTATAGTAGATGCCTCGTCTCTACACCAGTCGATTCCTGTGACTTCTTATTGACAACAATGTAGGATCATGGTATAGCGGTCCTGAATTGTTCAAGCGAGCCGGAACTTGGTTCATATGTAACCCTCTTGGAACTATGGTTAGCGGATACTTACAAGCAGCGGCATATACCAATTTATCTGGTGTCGGCGGGATGCCTGGGTGGAGGTAAGAAAGCTTTTACCTAGCTCCAATACAAATGAAATGCTAACCACCATGGTCCCATTAAGATGGTTGTTCATCATTGACGGTATATTCACTCTTCCAATCGCGGTGGTCGGATTTCTAGTCTTCCCTGGAATTCCTGACTCGCCAAAGCCATTCTACTTTACCAACGACGAGATCACTCTTGCGAAGGAACGGCTGGAACGGGCCAAGGTCCGTAAGCCGGGGAAGCTAGGACTCGACGTGTTCAAACGCACTCTCGGACGCTGGCATATATGGGTTTTCGTGTTCTGTTATATGTAAGTCACCGCCCTAATACGGAGTTCGATCTCAAGTTGCCGCATCGTCATTCTAATCGCCTGTTAGCTGCATGATTATCTCCAGCTATCCAGATTCATATATGAACCTCTGGCTGAAGGAAGAAGGCTTCTCGGTGGTCCAAATCAATCAGCTGCCTACCGTTACATACGCCATAAACATCTTGGCGTCGTGGTTGGGAACTACCCTGGCAGCTATCTATCCTTCGTGGACCGTTTATACTAGTGCGACGACATGCATTGTGTTCTCGTCTATTTGCATGATTATTTGGGAGATTCCGAAACCTCTCAAGTATGTAACCCCCCCTTTTCGTCGATTACACTCCGTCTCCTTTTCATATTTTACATGCTAACCAGAACCCGTAGGTTTGTCGCGTGGTATCTGTTTGGTGTATCAGGGTGCCTTAGTCCAGTCCTATACTCCACGGTTAATACTGTCGTGAAGGGTGACTCAGAAGAAAGGGCTCTTATTATGGTGAGTGAATACATCTCTCCCTTACGAAGGGGACTGCAGACCACGGCGAATAATGACAAGTAAATATGATGACTGACAAATAGAATCCTAGGGCGCAATGATGACTTTTGGTTATTCGTTCAACATTTGGGTACCCCTTTTGCTCTTCCCCACTGCCGGACCCAATGGTGCTCCAAGATGGCGCATCGGATGGCCGGTCGCATTAACATTCCACGTGCTATTGTGGCTTGGATTTATTGTTGCGATTTTATTGTATCGCCGAGAGTGAGTGTCATCTTATCTTTATTTCAATTTATTTACTAATATCTATATCCAGCTCTAGAAAGGCAGCAAACATAGAAGAGGAGGGATCCTCTTCTGGAGAAGAACCAGTTCTCATTCCGACCGAAGCACATCTGAAAAATTAAGCCTGAGAGCTGTATCACCTTCGTTCTAATTCGGGGGTCCGGGGTCTATAGGTGTAATGCGCTAGAGGTAGGTAGATAATTCGCGATGCAATATACATATTATCCCGCAATATCGATACATGACAGACATGAAAGCCTTATATTCATTCACTGTCGGAATCAGGAATCAGCTTCGATGGTATAAAAAAGTCCCTATTATTTAGTGAGATTTCATAAGACCAACGGTTTGAGAGGGGACCCCTTATGATGTTCAAGGGAAGATGTATTTCTAGAATTTAGAGCTCGCCATCACCGCACTTCCTCAGGGATGTATCCACTTAGCGATACTCGACAAGGAAACTCGCCGCGTATATGCGCAGAGCCGCGCTCTATCAAGTATGCCTTTTCATTATCCACGTTCGTCAGATCCAGTTTTTCTCCGGCATACACCTCGTCATAGCACTGCTGGAAGTCAAATTCTCTGCATATAATAGCGAGGAAGGCCTTGACCTCCTTCAGAACAAAGGCCTGGCCAGTGCAGTTGCGAGTTCCATACTCGAAGGTACGCCAAGCTCCTTTCTCTGGGTAAAGTTCGTGATCTGGCCCTACGAGGAACCGCTCGGGTAGAAACTCGAGTGGTTGGGACCAGCATTGAGGGTTTCGGTGAATACTAAAATGGCTTATCTGGACGGCATAGCCCTCAGTGGGATACTCAGTACCATCACGCCCTTTCAAGACCAAATCCTTGCAGCCCATTCGAATGCCACTAGCGGGAGGGAAGAGCCGTAGTGTCTCTTTTATCACGGCTAATGTATACGGTAGAGAGTTGAGTATGGATGGGTTCTCGGCGATTATATCCGGACACGCTGCAATGTTTCGCCCAAAAACTTCATCGTGTTCAGCGCGGAGCTTGGCTAGGACCTCTGGGTATTTCCAAATCAAATAACAGCAGGTAACCATTGTGCTCGCGGTAGAATCGTATCCAGCGAAGAAGAACATGCGAAGCTGGGCGCACAGTGAATCCATAAATTTATTATCGAGTGGATCGGACACCTTTCGGCCCGGCTGGGAGTAATACGTCTCTAGAGCTTGATCAAGGATCGAATTAAACGCTGATTGTTCGTGACGTGCCTTGGCGTTCCGGAACGCGTCAACACGCTTCGTAATTTGCGCGCGAATCTGCTGGTTCAAGAAACGGCTGTTGTTCCAAACACTGAAAGCCCTCAGGGGATTGAGCTGGCCAATGTTATCCATAACTTGATTTGCCCCAAATTTCAATGCAAGTTGGCGAAGCATGGCATTCGAGAGAGGGTGAGAGCCGGAGGTCTGGTTGCCCAGCTCAGCATTAAACACCACGAGCCCAATGATGTCGTTCATAAGAGATAGTGCCAACGGTTCAAAGCGAAATAAACCTCCTGTGCGAGCTTCTTTCCGGATAATTTCGCGAAAAACGACTAGCTGTTCAACTACCACAGGCATGGTGGCATCGAGATTGCTGTTGTTGAAGAAAGGTAGGAAAATATTATGGTCGGTTTTCCATTCCTGCCCATTCTGGGTAAAGAGATTGAGGCCTCCTTTTCCTGAGATAGGTGCAAACCAATCATTAAGTATAGCAGGCTTCTCGGCCGATACCCAGGGATGACTGGTCGCCTGATTGGCAATATAAGGGTCCCTTACGACAAGCAAAGGAACGCTGATAGGGTAGGTATCAAAGTAATATGCCGGTGGGCCATCTCCTCCGTCTAGCTTCTTAGCTATCCGGTCAAGAATGTAAGTGCTATGTGCACCGGGCGGAAGCTCGTCAGCAGCAGTCTTAGCTGCTAGGAGATGGCCTAAAAGAGTGCTGTACTCTGGCATCGGCTATTAAGGCGTAAGGTAATGCGCATAGGTAGGTACCTAATGTAATGAAAGGAAGAAGCGGAGAGTAGCTCACCTTTCCCAGATCTTTCAACTTTTTCATCAAGCTTCTATGACGCCGAAGTTCAGACACAAACGTGACGGTTCGCATAACCACGATGGCTAATAAGAAACCGCCGAGGGCGTTCAACAGTTGTCGGAGAAAATCCATGTTGTTATGAAGCAGCTGGGATGATATCCAAGACGCTTGAGGCGCTTGGTTAAAATGAGAGGAATCCTGCGCTTCCATGATTATGAAAGTGGGAGGTACCTAACCTATAGGTAATCAAACTCTTCGCTCAAATCATCACTGTTTACCAGGAAAATAGAAGAGCAGATCACCTTTATAGGGCTGAGGTCTAGGTGTCAGGTAATCTAAGAGTTTTAAGTGGAAAGTCGACGTGGCTAAGGTCTGGGGTTAGAAGAAATAGGAGACCAAAGATGGTGAGTTTATGCCTACCAGGTCTCTCGAGGGCTCAAACAGGGGTCAGTAAGCTGAACCTTAAGAGCAGGATCTCGCTAACCAGTCAGTTTCGCTTAGATTTATTCGGGAAGTGACTTGAATGGCCAGTTTTCGTTATTGCTTTAAGCACAAGCCATACCTACCTAGGTATTTAACAGAGAAAGCTTTTCAACGCGCGCTACATAGGTACCTAGGTAGTTACTGACCCCTGTTTGGGCTCTCGAGAGATAACTACCTCCTAATTCGGTATGGAATAGGTGGTAGTAGATATAATTCGGACGTGGATGCATATAGATGCGTAGATTCAGCTTTTGTAAATACCTATGGTAAGAACTGAATATCAGGTACCTGAGCACTGCTTGTCGATATCCTTAACGGATTTTTGAGGAACTTCTCCATTGCAAATAAGGGTTAGTCGACTGTGACGATGTGCTTCCTGGGTATTGTTCAGGATTTAATCGTCTTTCGTCTGCTTTTGTGTGTTTTTTTGGGAGGGCCATTTATAATCATTAATTTTCATAAAATTTTCTTTTATCAATTCTTGCTGTTTTTATGCCTGCCGCGACGGAAACCGTGCAGGTTCAGATCTTGCAGCTGTCACCATTGTATTGCTCGTAATTTGATGTTGTATTGGTAACGTTTTCTAATGAAAGGGCTCCGCCTACCAAAACTCAGTAGGTAATACCCACCCTACTGTGATCTCCATTAGGTACCTACGTATTAGGTGATCTGCAGGTCAAAATCGTGGGCTTAAGGCGCTGTGCCCCAAGACGCTAATGCAGGGCTAAGATAAGGCTCTTATCGGCTTGTAAACCCGGCAATCCCCCCCCAAAAAATATTTTGGCAACTTGCGCTCGAAGTCGCAATTATCGCCAACGATTTTCTGTAGTTAGTCTACAATACGCGACGTCGAATTAATCTACGATGCCGAAGCCACGTACGAAGCGACAAGCTATCCGCGATGAGAGGAAAGCGAAGCGACGTGAAAAAGCCTTAGCTGCTGAAGAAGTCAGCAAAGCTGCGAAAAAGCGGCGCCTAAACGAAACAGATGGTGACGATACCGCCGCCCTCCAGGAAGCTGTCTTTCAAGATGAATACAATCAAGCTGGTCCTCGGATCGGCGGACCACCACAAGCCGACCGCGAGTTCTTTGGTATGCTATCGGATCAAGAACAGGAATACTTTCGTTCCGTCGACGAGCAGCTCGATATAGACGACTTCCCCTCTCAGGAAGAACGACAACTATACCTCGCCAGTGTTTTTACCGAAGCACAGGGAAAGGAGCTAAAACTAGCATGTAGTCAGTCATGCTCGCGGTTGATGGAGCGGTTAATATTGATGTCCAACACGAGACAGAAAAAGAAGCTATTCGCCCAGTTCGGCGGCCACTTCTTAAATCTCATCCAACACCGCTTTGCAAGTCATTGTTGCGAGACCCTATTCTTGCAATCAGCACCTATAGTTACTAGGGAACTTGGAGGTGAACGTGACGATGCTCTCACTGAGCAAGATGACCCAAGCGAAGTACCCCTGCCTTTTATGGAAGAACTATTCCTGCTCACTCTGGACGAGCTCGAGGGCCACCTCGGCTATCTACTTGCGGACAAATTTGCTTCTCATACTCTTCGGGTGCTGTTAATCATCCTGTCCGGGCGTCCATTGGAGCAGTCACAGACCAAATCTCTTATTCACAGCAAGAAGAAGGAAAAGATATCAGTCCCTTGGACATCTGATGGATCAACTGACTTAAACGTCCAATTACGAGCCGTGCCTATGTCATTCAATCTGGCCGCTAAAAAGATCATCGCCGATTCAGTCTCTGGTCTGAGTACCACGGAGCTCCGAGTATTAGCGACGCATCCTACTGGAAACCCCGTTCTACAATTACTTCTGGAGCTAGACGTCAGTCTAAATTCCAAGGCAAGCGAAGACAGCTCGGAAGACATGACGCTCCTATGGAAGCTTTTACCTGGAGCTCCGTCTTCGTTAAAGGATGCCACTACACCGGCGTCGGATTTTGTCAATTCAATGTTGTACGACCATATTGGTTCACGCCTCCTTGAGGCCCTCATTACCCACTGTCCAGGAAGAGTCTTCAAGGCTCTATACAAACATATATTCGGAACTCGTATCAACAGTCTTCTGCGTAACGATATCGCGTCCTATCCGGCCATTCGTGTCCTCAATCGACTTGGTAAAGAGGATTTAATAGCCGCCGTCCATAAGACTTTACCAGACTTTAGCAAGCTTGTCGCGCTGTCAAGATTCAACGTGATCAAGACCTTTTTCGAACGGTGCCAAGCGCGCCAAGCCGACAGTGAGATAGATAGCTTAACGAGGGCTTTGGTTGAAGCTTTTGGATCAGATCCCAACTCACTAGTTCCTAAGCTTTGCTTTCTGCAGTCATCAGAAACAGATGATAAGAAAGACCAAGAATTGCCCCAAAAGAATCGTTCAGCTTTAGTGTCTCACGGCGCTCAGTTGACAACAACGATGCTTGCTATACCTGGGTATCCTTCAAGCACAGTTCAAAAGTCTATCGCCTCTCTACCAGAGGAACTTATCGTCCAACTTGCAACATCCTCAGCGCCGACGTCCTATGTCTTGACCAATGCGTTATCAACCCCGTCGAAGAATAAAGTATTCCACAAGACATTAGTTGCAGCCCTACGATCACACTCATTCGAACTGGCTACATCAGAGTACGGGAACAAGGTCATTAATTCAATTGTTTCTATCCCTTCAAAAGGTGACGGGATATCCATACCTTTTCACTTTAAAGAATTCATTATGGAACAGTTAGGCCAGCATGAACAAGAATTACGGGACTCGTTTGAAGGCCGACGGACTTGGAGGACTTGGAAAGGTGACCTGTGGAGGAATAGAAGGAGGGATTGGATCTCCTGGGCTAAGGAGCTCGACTCCTCGACGGAGCAAGCAGTAATGAGACCTCCAAAGTGGGATGGTGTCAACGGCTATGGTGCTAGAGATGCGGTGAACAGTAATGATCATATAAAGAAACGAAAGCGGAGCCTAGATAACGCCTTGTAGTGTGCCTACAAGTCGTTCAATGCACAGAGTAGGATAGGTAGAGTGCATCCCGTGAAGGAAAATAAAATACCCAGCACTGTTGCCCACACAATTTTTTTTAAAAAAAAACTAAAAATAAAAAATAAACTTTCGACTGCTAACAGTTGTTACTATATTTTCCTTCACCAACATTTACTCCATTTCTCTTTATTATTTACTGAATAGGTGACTATCATCACCCATTCCTTACCTTTCTTCAAACAATACTTTATCAACAACCATAAGTATTACCACCCCCGTATTATTCTCTATTTCCATAAAAAACTATCACTTTCTTCAATTTCACTCCACATTCTACGAACTTCGCATCACCAATGGCTTCGCAGCTGGAGTCCTTGGGCCTTTCTATTACTCTATTATATGAAAGACATACCCGTGGTCTATTATTACCCATGACCTACTTAGCCTAAAATGCCTAGTCGTCTAGGCTACAACCTATCTAACCTCTGCGAGGGGAGCCGGTCACATGGACGATGACTTACCCTGCGAGTTCTACCCGTACGCTTACTATTACCGCACGGGCTATTGAAGTCCATCATAAGGGGCAATGATAATAGCGATAATTCTGAACCTGCTAATTCCCCCGTATTGGCGGGAATAATATTTGCATTTCACAGCGCACAGCTCAAATCTCGGAATGCGAGATAATTCTTAACACCACAATTTTCTCAATTTCTCAACACCTTCATCAACCCACTACCAGGCACGTTGATTGCTGACCCTACTGAATTGACAATCCCCACAAGCACGGCTCATGGACGCGAACCGGATCAGGCTTCTGCCAAAACCGAAGTCCTTATAGATACTACTTCCACGCAGTATCACGGCCTCGCCATCGGGCGGAAGTAATACTACCTTCATCACAGCCCTGGTGTACGTTCATGCGATAAAGCGAGAGCTGCATTAAATATATTAACAGTTATCACACCTAGGTAAGCACGATTTCACTGAGGGTCTTGATCATAACTAATTCTAGACTATAGGTACAGCTTGGCATCTAATATTAATAGCAGATGCGCCAAAACTTGGGATGATGAACAGATACCCTGACAGTTAACCACGCCTATTTTATGGACTGCCAAAATCGTATATTGCTCGGTAAACAATAATAAGACCACAGCAACGCACTACCACTATCCACATATACCCCGACTCTATCATCGCAAAAATAGGAGGCGGTCAAAAAATTTCATATAGGTGCATATAGGCTTTGGCAGACTCGACGAGAACGCCTAAAACCGCATATGCAGCGCAGCTAGTGTTTTGCGCTTCAGTTATGTCGGAATCTAACCTAGAGTGGTTGGTGGACAACTACAAGTTTCGCAAGAACAATAAGATCATTAACCAAGAGTCCTCACAATTTGGTAGCTTCACTCGCCTACCGGCCCAAGGGCCCTCGATACAATACAGATACGTTACTAACCACTTCAAACGTTTTGTCTTTGTTCTGCGCCCATCACGGGCCTGAGAAGTAGGCAATACGATCATACCAACCCTCCCCATGCTCAATAACAACAAACGAGTCAATTATCTCATTCGATCAGCCGCCCAACTCATACGATCTCAATAACCACCAAAGCCAAAGATCACGACAAATATCACACAAAAGTGGGAACATTTCAAAATGCAACTCCCTGCTCGTGGTGGTTTATTGATGATGGTTTACGCCGTCTCTGCACACCGGAAAGCTGTATCCGCATGATTTTCGAATTGGTCCATAACGCTAAACAACACCACTTCGGCCCCAAAAGAATGGCACACAATTTAGAAGGCTTCAACATCAGGCAGCTATCATCGAAATTAACAGACTGTCTTGATCACTGCCCAAACTGCAACATGAACCGAACTAATTAGCACCAAAAATTAGGACAACTAAACCCGATCTATAAACCCCTACAACTATTTTACACTATTATTATAAACTTTATTGTTAACCTTTCCAATATTCCAATAATCAACACAAAACGGAGATAAAAACAAGCAGATGCAATGCTTACAGTGACTTGCAAGTTTAGCAAGAAGTCATTACTAATTAAGAATTCTTCTAGTATCATCAAGGTTCAGTCCTATAGATACACTAAAATCAATCCGAAGAACTTCCATCGCGGTGGCGAGATTTGCGGGAATGAACTACGTATGCGTTTGACAGACCGTAGCAGCCCCTCCGCGGACTTGCATTCAAAGCGCCTGTACCTTGGCTTCGAGTACCTACCACTTAAGGAGATGGAGGGCGGAGGGGAGAGAAAGGGAGGGGAGGGGAAGGGAGCCGTTTTCCGAAATCTGAACCTTGAATAAGGTACACATAATTAGGTACCTAAGTTAATGTGAGATGCTCGAAAAAAAAACTTTACAGCACGCGATTTAGACGTCAAATTCGGTATGGACGGCAAATAGCTTACGTCTGTGGCCAGTGTTGACCTCGGTGGATGGGAATGGGTTAGGTACATCCCACCTAGGTATCTACCTACACAACTTGCACCACTTCATGATCTCGTAGGATTTCAGTATAGGATAAAGATGAATTCAATCTTCAATCATCACTTTCAGAGTCACGCCGTAGCCGAACCTGTTAAACTTGCAGAGGCAGTCGTAGTAATAATTAATTCGACATTACATACGAAAGTACGTGCAGTCGCATGATAGTTACATGACAATATCCCCCCTTATTCATAATTTTCACTTGTCCGTGTCTCTCAAGTTTGCATTCGCCTAAGGCTAAGACATCAGATATCCGCAACCATCGGCATCTTCGTATCCGTAGCCTTGCTGTTACATTCCATACGGAAGTCCACTCTTTCCCTTTTCCTCTTTTTCTCTCGATGATGCTTTTCCCTGAGCTTAAACCATCCCGTGTAAACTGATAGTTAACTCCCTCCTGAGGGATTTCGTAAATGTCTAAATCCCTCAATTCATATTAGCCTCAACAGTGTATACGGGCCGTATGCCATAAATATGTAATCCCATGGACTTGAAGCCGTTGAGATAGATCATCCTCCCCCCTCCTCGCATCTCCGTATTATTAAGCGATGTAAGTGTTGCGGAAACAATTCCACATAGTAAGTGGTAAACGACAAATACCCTTTCCCTGGACATCATCGTTTGCGCAGTAGAAAAAAAAAGTTGGGACCCTGAACGCCGGCCTAAGACACAAATAACGCTTTTTGCTCAATCAGACCAGTATCGTAACCCTAACAGGTGCAACATGTGAATGACGCATGGTATCTCTGAAAATATGGTACCAGGTCAACCCGGAAGAAGGTATAGTTGAAACATATACAGGTCATATCGCAAGCCTTTTATAGCTAGCGGCGACGTTGTCGCCAAAAAACAAAACAAAACAAAAACGGCATTATTGCTCGGATCCGAAGTCGACAAAGCTCTCCCAGGCGTCTCCTCCTGTTCCGCCGGCGGGGGTGCCCAGACGGCTATAGCCGTCGATCGGAACATCCAAGAGTCCCATGGAGCCCTCTATCGAAGAGGCAAAGCAATCGTCCGGGATGGGCACATTTTGAGACGAGAACGCATTCGGCTCCTGATCTGCGGTGCCGGCTTTAGCGCTGTCGTCCTGTGATGTAAGCTCGCCGGGGTAGGGCCCAAACATCTGATAAGTCGACGGGTTGCCGTCTAAGAAATGCATCGCCATCGGATCGTTCATGTCGATGTTGGCCATCATCTTAACGTCGTTTGGCAGCTCGGAAGTGAAGACGGAGGAGAATGTCGACTGCTGTGCTAGTTGGGGGTCAAGATGGAGGGGCGAGAACGCGGATGGCGTTTGATATGGCGTGCTCTTGGTATCGGACGCGTCTACATCGGTTGAAGACGCAGGCGTCAATGCCGGTGGGGATGATATTGTCGTGGCCGAAGTAGAAATCGGGCTCCCAGCCGCAATAGAATCCCTCTTGTCAGACTGTGACTGAGAAGAGATAGACTGTGTTCGGGTCGCTGGAGATCCCTGACTAGAGCTCGAAGTAGACATCCGATGCGAGAAGTTCGTATCAGGTTTCATGAGCGGTGCCATATACATGGAATTGGCTAAGTTCTGTTGATATGACATTGCTGTGGGGAATGATTCGCTAAAAAGTCTGTTGACCTCGTTATACCTAGCCATGGTAGCCATCGCAGCTTGAGTGGTGATGTACGCGTTCACACGGTGATTCATGTCTGGAGAATTCGTTTGTAGATGAGCAGTTAGGTACTTGTAGTGTCTGGGAAGGTCGTCTTCCTCCTCCTCATACATTTCTTCCTTTAGCACGATTTCCTCGCTCACTTTCAGTCCTCGACCTGTCCGTCGTCGATGGATCTCTGACGCCTGTCGAGCAGACTGTACTCTAGCTTCTAAGCTTCGATCAGCTCGTCTCGACGCGGCAATGTAGGCCCTCTCCTGGTTTTCTTCGTGGGATCGTTCAGTCTGTGATTAACGGTTAGAAACTCGCCAAAGCAATAACTAAATCGTAAGGGGCTGCGAGCTTGCCTTTTGAGCCTTAAAAGGCGGAACTCGTTCGTTGGCCGGCATGGCGATGTCTGTATCTAAAGATCTCTTCGGCATGGGGTTAAAATGCACTGTGAACCTTAATGTTGAAGATGGGACGGATAGAAGTGTCAACTCAGAACCGATGTGCGTTTGAATGAGTTGACAAACTGCTGTAAACCAGTCGGATAGGGGCTTTTGTGTTGAGACAAGTCAGGTCCGGTTGTACTATATATGTCTCTCAACGGTAGAAATTCGTAAGCTGAAGGTGGGGCGTCTCGGGCCTCGTTGGCATCTGCAGCCACGAAGGCAAAATACTGTGTTGTGTATATTGACTTAAAAGTTAATAATAACCCGGGGCACCACTCGTTGGTCTATTAAGTATCGGAGCAGGGATGGCAGGTGATCACAGTGAACCGTACGACGGAGTTTGTAACTCGGGCTGAGGCGTCTATGTGAACCTGTTTATTTTTTCGGTTTGGAGTGTATGTTTCGATTCACGCCGACGTTATATTCCCAATGCGGAATGTCGACTTAGATGAACCTGCTGTATTGTGGTATATAATATGTGAAACCTTCGCGTCTAAGCTGTAATATGGACACCTCCTAGCTCTTGTCAGGAAATATCCAAGTTGCTAATTAAGGTATTGATTCACTGTTGGCAAGGGGTGATGGATGATAGCAGTGAAAGCGGAAGCTCAAGCTCAAGGTAAGGTAAGGCAAGGTAAAGTGAGATGGGTGGTAACAAAGCAGAGAAGTAACAAGATTCTGAACCCTGAGGGAGAGGGGGAGAGAGAGACAAACATAATATACATATATAGACATATGGGATTTTCCCATGCTCGGAATCGCGAAAGCAGTGGAAGTACATGATATGCAAACTCCCATTGCGTAACACGGCCGCAACAGAGCATACCATATCAAGGTACATAACCTGGAAACCAATGGTTTCAATCCAAGGCCGGAACAGGGATTCTAGCCCTGATGCGGGAGAATGCCCAAGTAGCGATCGATCGCGATGGGAAATCTGGAACCAATGAGATGGCCGGGAAGCTTTAAGACCAAGCAGGGATTGTACCGTTATGGCTTGATGATAGCTCTTTAAGTAGCCCCCAAAACGGGTTAGCATGGTGGTTCTTCTAGGTCTTTGCGTCCATAGCTCCCGCTTCTTATTGTACACACCATCTGAACTAAGGTTGTTCTAGAGTCTTTCGTAGTTCTTACGTAGCCTTGTATCTTTTCTAACATCTTTAGGTAGAGATTTTCGATATTTTCTTAGGTCCTTTAGACCGTAGATGCCGCTGGTTGTAGCTTGAAATTTTGTAGCAGATCTAAGGTACCAGCGAACTAGATTGCGTTTCTAAGATTACCTGGGTAAGAGGTATAAGTAATAGGTACCTATGTATAACTTAAAAAGTATGCACACTTATGTGAGTTCTATAAATTTTAAGAGATAAAAAAATCAATATATTACAATTCAGCAAACTGAGGCTATTCTGAGTATGGAACTGTGCAAAAATGATGGAGAATTCAACGCAATGGTTCGTAACAACGATGAGGCTTTAATACGACGCAATTATTACCTAAATTTAACGTCAAATCCGAAGCCGAAGCACTTTCCAGAGAAGGTATAGACAACTATAATGCCTGAAATAAGTTGTTGCAAGGGATTCATTCCCCACCATCCGCTTCGCCCCGCCAATTTTCACTCCCTGAGATGGTTTTGACCACTCTCAATGTACAATACCTATATAGAAAGGTACAGGAGGTAGCCAGCTAGCTAGCTAGCTGAAGATGAGCTTGAGAGCTTAGGAAGTTACTTTTTCAGGTCAGCTGTAATTTTACATTTGCTTTTTGTTCCTACAGCAAAGGAGGCAAGACCTAAGCTACTCCTCGGAGAAGAGAAAAGTTAGCTTCTAAAAAAAATAAACAAAGACCCGTGACAACACCCGGAGTTCATCTCCGCTACTATTACCCCTGATTCCTTCCTCCTAAGGTCGCAAATGAATTGAGATGCTATGTAGAATGTTGGTCACATTGATTAGGTAGATATGAAGTCATGCTTCCGTTGTTACGACCGGAGCTTTTGCTACGTTCTCCTCCAACAAGATTCAGCTAAGGACCGCCAAGTTTGATAACAAGCAAACTGCAAGCAGCAAATTCTTCTCAATCCCGTTCGGGCCTTTGTTGTTTTAGAACATTATAGAACCTCAACGTTGACGTTCGGCACAGGGCCGAGCCAATCATATCGAGGTCAAGTCCTCAAGCAATAACAAATGCTAGTATAACTGCGTTTATTTGAGCAGCCCCTCCAATCTTTTCTAAGACTTGGCCTACTGGAAATGACTATGATTTTGGGCATGCATATGCGGATGGGTTGTGCTGGGCCAGGCAGGCCAGGGCCCGGCTTTACCGTCAGACGGAAGAGATTGGGAATATATTTCAACGATTGCCATCATACTTTTCGATGAGTGACATCAGCCGTTAAATCCGTAGGCGGAGCCAGTTGTCTTGAAACGAGCGAACCAAAAAAGCATAAGACATTCCTATCTTTTGCTCTTTTCCTATTCTGGAAAGTTGATGGCTCTTTAAATCTTGGATTTGTTTTGATATTCCGGAGCAAAACGTCCGTTCTCTCGGTCTTCAGCTGTGCCTCACCTTAGGTACTTAGAGCCTTAACAATTTTTCAGAACCTCAACATCCAATCACCAATCAACCAAAAGCACGAAACTCTTGGCTCGGATAACTTTTTGCAATAAGCCAGGCCATATGTGGCGTTGCGGCTTGTGAAGGCTCTTCCCTCTCTTTTCTCTCTTCTCCTTTCTCTCCTCCTTACGCAGATTTGACGTAGCCACCCCTCCGAGTGAACAAATACTTTTGCAAAACAGGCTCAAGAGGCATCCAGCTGCTCAATCAAATCCTTAAAGAGGGCTGGCATGTCTTTCCCCGCTGTCGATCTTGTCCCAAAATCTTAAAACAAACACTAGGTAACTGCGGAACTATATGCGCAACTTTGAAAATACCATCCTGACCTACATGGGATTTGTGTTTGTTCCATCCGATACCAAGGGTTTTTGATTAATTATGTGGCTTGTCGTACTTGTCGTACCTAACATTCTGTCAACTCTTTGCCACTATTTAATCGTCCCAACTTAACATTGACGTACGACACAATTACATCACCTAATCAACCTAATACCGTTCCGTAGTCAGTTCAATCCCGTACTTCTAATGTAGCCATTTTTGTGAATCAATCCGAAATCAATGCCTAAAATTGCCAATCTAATGTAAGCAAACCCCTTGCGTGACGCGGCAGCTCTAGAGTCGACGGTGCCACCTCGGTTCATTAACATTTTCCTTATTTGCAAAAATTTTTTTTTTATATTTTTGTTTGCTCCTTTTCTTTCTAACATCAATTCGCAATTCGCTGACGTTGTTGATGCATTATTAATATATTTCGCGAGCCTCTTCTAATCCACCCTCCTACTCCTCCATTACGGACTACTACCGATAGATACTCAGTAGTATAAAGCTACCTCTTGAGGTGTCTCATCCTATTATAAGGTAAATTAATAGCAATCACCGCTAGCTTGGTCATTGAGAGAATTGGGAGATCGCTGCGCCTTTTCGATAGAGTTGAGCGTATTTACGATATAGATCGAAGACTTACCGCCATCCTGGTTGAAATACATATGAAGCCTTCCATCTGGATTCCACTTATCATCACCCCGATATCTCTAGTAAGATCTTGTGGAGCAGATCTATTTTATAATGCCTAAATATGGCAATTCTCTAGCAAAAGGAGCGATGGTGTGTATGTTTGGTACTTACCAAGCTCTCAGCCTGCAAACCTTCCTCGTGGACTAGGCCCTATCTATACCCTACTTTAAATTTAGATCCTTGATACTATAAAACCTAGAGAGACTGCCTAGTGGCCTTATGACTGGGATTGAGTTGCCGCGACAGTTGGGTAGGTACAGAGGCGTGAAAGCAGGCCTAGAACATTCGGGTCATTTAAACCTTACTAGCCCCTCCCCCTCCTCCCTCTATGATATCGTCGTGAAAGAATCACTAACATACGTGGCTATGAATAGGACTTCTCGCGAAGACTCAATTTTATCTTACCAGTGTCGTGGGTGGATCTGAAGATATGTAGAATGATTCTGAAGTTAGTAGGATGACCTGTTAAAACAGCTCCTTGAAGGCAAAAAGGCATGGGCTAGTCAATAAGTCCAAGAATTGGCGTCTAGGCGATATCGCTCCATATCTCTCCTGCTTTGCCGATACCTTAACGATAGAACGACCGAATCAACCGCACCGTCTCCAAATTCAAGAAGTATAACACATCTTACTTCTCCGATACCATGTGCCGGCAGTAGCCCAAACTCTCCTTGACTCAAGCCCGAGGACCCTAAACTGCGCCGGTCCCTCATAACATCTCGCTCCTTTACACACCTACGAATGTACTAGGCTATGCCCAGCAGGAAGAGAGGAAGGATATCTGCACTATATTTATAGCGCGAAAGTCTTTCCTGCCTCCATCGACAGCTGATCGACTTTCAGTCTTGTTAGCATTCGTGCCAGATGTGTCTTGAGATCGCCCTAAATAGGTGCGGCACAAAATAGTGTCCGGCAGATCGGCTCAAGACTATGGTGGATCCTAGCAAACCTAACAACTCGGTATTCTATCTATCTATATTACTCACTAATATTAGTCTAGTGATCAGAGTTGAAGGCGTGATTCCTATTACTAGCGTTCTTTGTGTTTATCTCCTGCTCAATCTTTAACCGAGAAGCTTAACGCCTAAGCCTCTGACCCGTGGGGCTCGTTCCCAAGTTATTGACCTATGCTAGCTAATTCGATGGTACCATTCGTCTCGTCGGTCTTCATTATCCGCACGATCTCCTAGTATCGCGATTCGCAATGGCGGCTCTCACCCGCGAGGCGCTACCCAGGTGATATAGGTAGCAGAACCATTTCCGTTTGAGATCTAGTTACTAACGCTTAACTCTCCTTTGACGGGGTTCGGGGAAGCTAGAGCACCGATGAGACTCAACCCGAGACGATAATTAAGCGGTTCGATATCATATCAGGCTGATATAGGACACTATTTCAGGGACTAGCAAGAGCTTACTGCAACCCCGGCTATCGTTTCCATGAGATCCCATTCGGCCGTGTGCTTGTTAGACCAAATTGCTCGCCGATTATCTAGGAACTTGAATCTAGGAATAGATATTAAGTTTAATACTGCGGCTCCCCCAACCTTATGGCAACTGAACCCATCCACAATCCGTTTAGCAGACATGACGCGTATGGGTTGAATCCTTCGAAAATGCATTCTTGCATATTTTCGCTGTCCACAGTCAAGAGGAGTAGAAACATGAAAATTTTCCTCCATCGCCAACACCTTGTTGCCTCGTGTCATATTGTTGAGCACCCAATTTTACAACGAATGAGCCGCGTTAGACTCTACATAGTAAAAGCCCCCACAACCTGCATCGGCGAAGAAGCATTACATCTAATCCATACCAATTTTTACACGTCTCAACTACTCCAGTCCCCCCTTATTCATTTATAACCCACCCAGGTTCTTGCACGTAGTCTTTAGAGTCTGCTACTTAGCAGGAGCTTTGTCGCGCATGGGATAATGGCCTGTTGCGTTGATATAGTCGGCCAGATTGTATTGACCATACCCTAATTTTTTTTTTTTTTTCTTTTCAGTTTACCCCTCTAATTCCAGGGGCTGGATGGCACCACAGCAACCCCGCGGGATATAGGGACCCTCACCGCCCCGTTTCCAAGGGAGTGAAGATGAGACAACTTACTGTGTATTCCAATTGCGAACCAGTTATAGCTGCAAGCATCTTGAGTATACTCTGAATAAGGCCGGTCTTCTTGACCGCTTGAACGCATCGGGTTTGCCCTTGCCTACCTAATTTAGTCTCCGAAATATGCCGTAGTTGTGCGTTCGGAGTAAGATTCCACACGTGGTAGTCCGGGGTAATATCAAAAAAGGCATCTTATTTGAACAACTTCAGGTCCCTATTCTATGAAATTCTCTCGCAACAGAACGAAAAAAGTTCCAGTTTATAGTTTATTACTACCTGGGGCCTTTATACTAATTAGTGATGGTATACTTCACACCGCTCGTGCTGTGGGTAAGTCTCATGCATCGACGTTGCATTGGACTATTATTCAACATCAGGAATATACATGGGTATGTTTTCGACGGTTCTGAATTGTAGGGATTCTGACGAATCAGATAGGTGCTTGTCTACGATCTTTCTTTCTTTGTAACCAACATGATAAAATCAGATATGTGTCTATATAAATCCTTTTCATGCAAGCAAAACGTTCTTAATGGGGCTTTACTACCTCGTATAGTCGCCCGTTAGCTGCTTGGGGCGCCAAGTTTTGATGCGACTGGAGCCAGCCTACCTGTTTGTCATGATTTCCTTGACATGTCTGTGCCATGCCCATGCAGATTCGCAAGCGCACATGGCACGACCCTGGCTCCCGTAGATATAGAAATCCCAAGAGGTTGGAATATTTATAAGTAGAACAAGAGCCACCGATTTTACTTGAAAAACCAGTTCTCTAGTCGTCAGTTACATCCGAAGCGTTGTGTATATACCCAGGAAGCATTCAACTCAGGTCACAACTTAACATAATTCAAATCCATATTTACTCATACCATTCAACAGAAAGACGCTCACGATGTCAACTGAAGTGAAGCACAACCTCAAGTACCACCCCGAGTTCGGGGCGTTCTGGGAGAAGCTTGTCGCCGCTGGCGCAGCCGCAGGACCTGCAGAGCCATCGCTAGAAGAATTACGTGAAAGCAACGACACCTTTATGCGTACTATGTTCGCTCAGTTCGAGCCGGTACCCTCTGTCGTCAGGACCAAGTACACAACCAAGTCATACGATGGTGCTGAGATCGATGTCTACCGGTATGCCACCGAGGAACACAACTCCAGCAAAACACCGCTACCAGCTGTCTTACACATACACGGCGGTGGTATGATGGGCGGAAGTGTCGACATCTTCGCGCGCTACATCAACAACTTAGTCGACAGGACTGGTATCCAGTTCTTCGCTGTCGAATACCGCCTCGTCCCTGAACACCCTGACCCTACCCCTGTCGAAGATAGCTACGCGGCAGTGAAATGGATCCACGAGCACGCCGCCGAATTCAACGTCGACACGGCACGGCTGGGTGTTATGGGAGACAGCGCAGGTGCCGGTCTTTCCGCAGGTGTATCGCTACTAGCGCGCGACCGCGGCTTACAACCCCCGATTAAGAAGCAAATCCTCGTCTACCCTATGCTTGACGACCGAACCATCTTCGCCTACGACGCACCCGATTACAAGAGCCCGCTGAAGGACCTTGTAATCCTCCACACAAACACCCTCATCCGCTGCTGGCGGTGGCTCCTCGGTGATAAGGCGGGCAAGCCCGACGCCGACGTAAGCATCTACGCGGCGCCGGCGCGAGCGAAGGACCTCAGCGGACTGCCAGCGGCGTACATCGAGGTCGGCAACCTCGATTGGTTCAGGGACGAGTCCATCGACTACGCCAAGCGATTGTCGGACGCACACACGGAAGTCGAGCTGCACATCCACCCCGGTATGCCTCACGGATTCGAGGTAGCCGGACCCATCAGCACAGCCAAGAAGGCCGTGGAATTACGAGTCGACGCCATCAAGGCGCTTGCTCATTAGGATATACCTATACCTGATAGATAAAGAAAGAAAAAGCATCACTCGAGTAAAACCGACATCTCGAGATAATTAATAAAGAGTCTATTGTAAACTCTCACCAACTTTGGGGTTTTCCCATCAACGACTTTCCTATTTTACGTGCTTGACGATAAAGTGACGTTGTAATACTGCACCAACTGTGTACATAATGTGTATGTAGTGTAGTACCTATACCGTAGCCAACAACTTAACCAAAGACTTTGTAGAAATTGGAGTTTGTGAAACCCAAGTCGAAAATATGTCGATTCGATTCGACTCGACTCCACTGGTGATCCTTCACTGCCTGGGTCGCCACGTGGACACCTTGCTTCCAACTTCAAGAAACGTGTTGGTCCTACGTTGAAAAATGTGTCAATAAAAAAAAATCCACACGCCCCATAAACATGTAAAAAAGTAGGGCATAGAAAGCATGATGCACATAAAAAGTAGTTCGCTGGTGGCATCACTCTACCGAAGCGAGAAATAAGTAATATCAAAAAGATACGGAAAAAAAAAAAAAAAAAAAAAACACATAGCAAGGGAAAGGCCGAAGGAAAAAGAAAAGGGAAAAAAATGATTTGGTTGCTAATCCCAGTTGACTGGGAAGCATCAGGAATTGAGCCCGATGCGGGGGTCGAACCTTCAAGGTGATGTTAGCATATGACTGCGAATAACCTCCATGATTGTTGAGAGGAATACATACCCGCAACCTTGAGATTAAGAGTCTCACGCTCTACCGATTGAGCTAACCGGGCGTTTTCGGTGAAAATTTGGCTTGAATTTGCGGCATATATTTCGTGTTCCGCTGGCGTAGATCCGTACCGAAAAGCAAAAAATGTCATAGCCAATCATGGGCTCCAGTCTCCAGTTTCGAAGTGGACACCGTATGTAGTCCGAAAACATATTCTCTTGTCTTATTCGGGCTCGAGTATCCTGCTACAGTCCCTTACATAAACCACTGCAGGAAGTTATAAGTAAATGTTCGAGAATATATTCCATGCGTTGAGGATCATGAAGGCTTTATTTGAACATTTTGATACCTACCTAATGCAAACGTTCACCAAACATAGAGTGACTATCATTTCGGCTTTTATTCGAACTATCATTGAGTGCCCCGTCATGCTTGCAGACATGCCAGACACTCGACAATCCTTCCCCTGCCAGAAACACCAGTAATTCCTTTAACATATTGGAAGGCATATATATAATAGGGCTAAATATACTAGTTCACTACCCAGTGTCCAAGTTGTGTAGTCTTCCATAGGGCAAGATAACAATGCGTCGAACGCACAGCTACCTTACAAAGTTGAGGCTATAGTGGGTATACGCTGGTTTAAGACGGAACAACCTCCTTTCCAACCTCTCTCAATGCTTTGACAAGCCCCTCTACGGTACTCCTCAGAGTCTGCGTGTTCACTACCACGCGGAAAAGACTGCCCCTTGGGCCGGGCGCGTAGTCCACCATGAACCCCCTCGACACAAGCTTCGCAACCATCTGACTAGTCCGCCGCGTAGTTTCCTCTTGGTCGTCGGGTAATATGCCGCCCGGTGCGTAATAGAAGCACACCTGGAGACATGGGGGTGGGTTGCTCGACAGGAGGTAAAAGTCGCCTGACTCCTGCACTAGCGTTGCGAGATACGCCGCAGTATCGAACGCGTGGTCGACACGCTTTTCGATCCCTTTATCCCCGTAGTAGATCCACGAAAGAGCCATGTTCAAGGCATCGCCACGGCGCCCGCACTGAAGCGTCAGGTCTGCCAGGTCCCAAACCTCATCCTCGACGGCTGCATCGTGGAACAGGTAGCCCGCACGCAGGGTGTTGGCGCGCTGGAAGACGCTAACATCATTGGTGAGGAGGAAGGAGCAGGGTATCGGCACGTTGAGCATTTTGTGAGGGTTGACGGTCAGGGAGTTGGCGTGCTCTGACCCGGTTAGCTTGTGTCGCTGCGCTGCGGAGAAGATAGCCGGTCCACCCCACGAGGCATCGATATGGAGCCAGACGCCAAATTCCTTGCAAATGGGGGCGATCTCGGCGAATGGGTCGTATGATCCCCACACCGTTGTTCCGGCGGTTGCGTTGACGTAAAGGGGCGTTTTCCCCTCGTCCTTAGCACGAACAATAGCTTCGCGAAGCGCTGACGGGACCATCTGACCGGCTGAGTCGACTGAGACCGTGATTACGCTGTCAGAGCCGAGACCGCACGTTACGGCTGCCTTCTCAACCGAATAATGCCCGTGTTCGCTAGTGAAGAGTACGAATTGACGACCTCCGTTGCCGGAAGTTTTCACCTCAGGAAACAGGGTGTTCCGGGCGATTACAAGGGAAGTCAAGTTCGAAGCACTGCCGCCTTGACAAGTAACGCCGCCTGCTCTGGGACCGGTGAAACCGAAGAGATTTGCAAGCCTGCGTGCGGTCGCCTTCTCGACGATGGTTAGGGCTGGCGACGTCTTCCATACGTGCACCTGTACTAGGGTTAGCGATTTGGAAAAGTTTAAGGGTAACAGGACCTACGTTGGTGTTTATTACTGTAAGGACAAGATCTGATATTACGCCAACCTGTTAAGCTGTATGAGTATTTACCTAACTCGAGCTCATAAAGTAGTTACTTCCATATGAGCAACAAAGTGAGATCTTACTGGATTGATACTCGAGTATAGCTTGTCCATGAACCCCTGATCCCACGTGTTTACACTGTATCGCAAGATGGTCTGGATAGTATCTAGTAGGCCTTCCCTTCCTGTCCCTTCCTCTGGCATAGATATGCACAGCTTCTTTGCTAACTCTTCAGGTTTATGTTTCTCTACCAGGACATTTCTACCTGGTACCCCCTGAGCATCCGCAGCTATATAGCCACTGGCTCGACTTGAGGCTGCGTTGTCTGCATCCCTGATGAATTGTACGAGGAGGGATTTTACCGCATCGATCAACTACGAATAGTTTAGCTATCGGAGAATGTAGGATAATAAATATATCATGTGAAATGCGTTAAGAGGTATATTAGAAATCACTTACATCTTCAACTTCATCAGCTCTGTTCAGCTTAGAGTCGACGGTATGAGTATGGGAAGACATATTTGACGACCACAAAATGCTTAAGAAATTGATGCGATAGATTTGGTAAACGACGTTTGTGAATTCAACTCGGCAACTTGTGTTAGGTACCTCTAGGTAGGTAGGTACTTATATGTATTTGGTGGTGGTTTCCTGGAGTTAATTCTCTGATATACCTATACCTACCTACATAAGGTGACTAAATCTGCGCTTTTTCGGTTGCCCTTTCCGTCAAGATGCCGGAGATGTCGTCCGTAAAGGTAATTGCCGAGGACCCACTGTATACCTTGGGTACTAATTTCGAGCTATAACCTGGTATTCGGCACTATCGATCGCGTGCTCTTCGATATTTTCATGCAATACTTGGAAAAGAGTCTTTATATCATAATAGAAGTAGTCAACTTCTGAAGGGGAAAGTCCACATCCTATTTCCCTAATAGACTAACCCCCCGTCTTGAGGATTGTGTGGGAAGAAAACAAGAAAAAAAAAGAATTACCTACTAGGTTACATGCGATGGGGTTTTCTCACCTCTCTTACAGGTATTAATACTAACTACACCATCATAAACTGTCTTGTTCACAGTATTCCGCCGAAGGAAATGGGTATACTCGGACAAATCCCTTTTTGATAGCCTGCAATATCACGCCGATTTCATCCTAACTCTTACAAACGCCATAATCCCCAGGGCCTTGCCAACTAAAAATTCAGTTTATGCCGTATAAGTGAACATGCTTTGTGTTTACTTTACCCCTGAAGAAAAGGTATCATTTAATCCGTCCATCCGATGCATCGTATTCTCGTAACGCCCTTAGTCAACTCGTTTCTTCGTCTCGACCGTTTCTCCCCCGTTTTGCTCGGGAGTTTTGCCATTGATCACTCCTATATCGCCTTCACCTTCGTCCTCATCCCATGCGTCCACCGCGTTTTCATCCCAGTTGTCGACTTCATCCTCAAGAGTAGTGACCCTTTCATTTCCGGCTGCCGACATAACACCCTCTTCTTGAGCCTCGATATCCTCGCCAAGCTCGAGATCTGTGGGATCTTCGCCGGGAACAGCGTTGTATTGCCTACGTGTGCGCTTCCTCTCTAACATTCTTAGGTGGTACCAGGAACATAGTCCGAGTCCCGCTAAGCTACCCACAATATTGGCAACGATGTCGTAGGGATCAAACTCTCGTCCGTTGGGGAGAAACCCTTGTAGGAATTCGGAGCCGATGCCCAGGCCTAATGTGCATACGACGACGGTGAAATTGAGGGTACGACGGCGGTTCGTATCGATAATCCAGTAGAAAGCGATGGTTAGGAGGAAGAAAGTCAAGAGATGTAAGACTTTATCATTGATAACGGTATTGAGTTGTAGGGACGAGAGCCCCGCGTAGCCTGCGAGGAGGCATAGCAGGAAAAAAACTCCTATATACGTCTCGTTAGCCTACACTCTTCACAGGGGGAAATGATATAAAACTATTAAGATCCGTAGGGATAATCACAGCAAGCATGAGGGGACTTGTAGACTATGAAATATAGGTAGCATATTAGGCAACAAAGAGAAAATCTATGGAACATACCTGCAAAAGGTAGGCGGATGCGCATGTTGGAGTCTTTATAAGCTTAAACCGGAGCGGTATGCATGAGCATGATTTCACAGAGGGATATATGGTTATTCTAGCGGATCGTAAAGATCTTGTGATGCTTGAAGAGAGAGAGAAAAAAAAATGTTGCTAAAGTGGAAGAAGTAGACCTGGTGAGCTTCAACTTCGGGTTTCCAGCGACGGAAAGCAGACGAGGGATCCACTTCTTTCGTCACCCAGCCCATCGGTTACTGAAAATACATAAGTATTTGGGGTTTGACTGATAGGCTGATATGATACGTCGGATACTGGTTAGGTAAGCGATCTAGGACTTTACGGCTCTTATGTTAGGTAACCAACCTACCTGCACCTTATTATCTGCAGCTGGCCGCCTGTCCATTGCCCGGGGTCAGCTAGAGGTAAGCTACTAGGCCTAAGCTGCTATAGGGACTTGAGATTTTTGATATTCCCCACTAACTTACCTAATCTAACCTAACCTCAGGTTCCAGGTACTTATCAGATCACGTTTGGACTCTCCACACTTTTGACAATTGGGGCTTCGGAATATGCAGGTCGGGCTGAGCTGAGTTAGGATTTATATGAGAGGTAGTAGAAGTACCTAGGCGCTATTGAGGGTGATAAAATATGGTGGGCGACGCCGACTTTTAGTCATGATATTCAACACGTGACATGATTGGTTATCTAACTATCATCCGATTGGGAAATTTCACTGCTTGCGGGGGACAGTAAAGTCCAGTGCGTATGTACATGTAGCCTGTAAGTTCTACCTGTCAATACATAGGTACCTACGTTGCTTTAAATGGAATATCTACCTAACCTAGTAATTACAAATGCATTCAAAACAGTGCAAGGAAAATAAAGAAAGAATTATTTTTGAAGTCATTCGGATAGCTATTTTTATTACAAAATTCGTTCATTGAAAATGTCATTTCGATTTATTATATTTCAGGCATGTTCGTTGTTTACTAATTGGACACCTAGGTACCTATTCCACTATGTAGATGCGGCGGTTATGACGGGAATGTCAGCTATGGCGGATTCCGAGGGACATCTAGGTACACTTAAGTAGATACCTGGTAAACTGATTTGTCAGTTATGGTACTTGACGTTATTACTGCGGTAGTAAAGGATGATATGTACCCCATATCATTCAATGCGGTACCTAGCCTGTAGGTGCCTAACCTTATACCTGTTGCAGTGAGTTGTAGGGCTGTATTTGTATTGGAACTACCTACAATACAAGAGCTACCTAAAGCACCGAATTGTACCATATCGCGGTACGAAGTACACGCCTACCTTAGGTTAGGTTAGAAGGTACCTACTACAGGCCATACCTAGAGGCTACCTTACCCAAGTACGGACCATACATAGTACCTGAACCAGTTTGAACAAGGGATCCGCTCAAAACCTCCTTCGCCATAACCTCACCCTTAGAAAGTACGCGAAATCGCCTTGAACACGACCCATCAAGGCATCACCATTCTTATCAAGTTTTCTTTCAAAACAATTTCTCTCATCTAATTCAATGTCGCTTATTCTACAAATGTCAATTTAGGGACCCTAAACACCCTATTCCCCAATAGACGCGACTGTCATTATCTTCCCGCATGGCTTCCGCCACCAGTCCATCACTATAACACGCCCACAAGGCCAACATGTCTATCATGAACGGCCAGCACGCCTGGCCACCCCCGCAACACCGTCAAGTCATTGGCAAACGTCCCTTTCATAACCCTACTGATGCACCATTACAATCCAACGACGTTATGGATAATTCCGCCGCGTCGGTGCCTGAGGCATCAGATATTGACGAGGATCGCGTGAGGGCCCACTTCCGCGAATTGTATCACCAAAGTGAAGCTCGAATTGCGCAGATGTTCGCCGCAGATGGCTCCATTAATCGTGCTGCCATAGAATCTTGGAGACGACCCTTTATCCCCTCAACTGCCCCTCCCCTTACTACCGACCATACTGGGATACAGGAACGTCCCGCCAAGCGAGTCAAGAGGACTATCGACGAAGATGATTACGGTGACGATGACGAGGACGAAGAAGAAGATGATGATGAAGGGATTAATCATAACGTTACTATATCTTCATATAAATACAAGCCCCCCTCCACTACCGCTGCCACCAAAGGCCTTCCGTCTCCTTCCAAGTCCGGAAGCTCCCCTATCGCGTCCGCACCGTCGCCTTATAAACTCGACGACCGAACGAAAGATGATAGCCAGTCAGCGTCGCATGGATCGCAGGCGCATGCCAACAGCTCCGAAGATGCGCGCAAGCAATTAGAAGAAGCGCGGAAGGATACCGAGGAGGCTGCCAAACGCAGTTTTTATACAACATTTTATACTCTCGAGAATGACCGGGCTGCTATGCTGGAACAGCAGCGACTTGAAGAATCCGAGAAGCAGCTTCAGGCTGAAATGGATAAGAACAACAGCGGCAACAGCAATGCCAATGGAGGCGCATCTGGCGAAAATCATGGATCCCTCAGCAGCGCAAACCTAGGTGCATCTAGCTTAACCCTCAAGCATCTTATTGCGCGCATAGATATGAAGCGCGACATGGTGCGCGCATCAGACGCTGAATTACGCCTTCTCATGAACGAAGTCCGCAAAAACAGAAGCAAGTGGGCTAGCGAAGAGAACGTTAACCAAGAAGAGTTATACGAGGCACTCGAAAAGGTCTTGACCGAGCTCAAGGCACATACCGAATATTCGACCCCATTTCTCCAGAGAGTTAACAAAAAAGACGCCCCCGATTATTATAATTGTAAGTTTTGTGACGTCGCAGAGTCCCAATTACGCTAACTAACACTGCTATAAAGTCATCAAGCAGCCTATGGATCTAGGCACCATGACCAAAAAATTGAAGTCGCTGACCTACAAGTCCAAGACCGATTTCGTCACAGATCTTAACCTAATATGGGACAACTGTTTGCGCTATAACCAGGACATGGGCCACCCGTTGAGGCGAATGGCCAACGGGATGCGCAGGGAGGCTGAAAAACTGATTCCATTGATCCCAGACCTTGTTATCCGCCCTCGTGCCGAAGTCGAGGCGGAAGAAAGACGGAAGCAGAATGGCGGCGATGATGACGGTGGTGATGACTCGGACGACGAGCCGATAATGTCGTCTCGCGGCCGAATCACCGGTGGAGCGAAGGGATCGAAATCCAGGAAGACTCACTCTAGCCAGCAGGAGATGACTCCTGGGGTAGAGCAGAAGCCAGTTTTGCAGTTAAATGGATTGTTGGCAAAGGCCCAGAGAGAAGGTTCTGAGATCGACGGGAGTAACGGGTTCGGAACACCTCCTATTGCGGGTTCTATGACGCCCAGTGGGATCAACGGTCATAACTCGGGCATGGGCAGTAATGTAGATGCGATGGATATCGACGGCTCCGAGCTAAATGGCATGGCATTGGGGCAGGCGCTGAATGATGCTGCCCAACAAGCTTACGAGGACGAGGAGTATAAAATCTGGAAACAAGTGACCAAGAAAGATCGTGCGCTGATTACGAAGAGCCGGTTTCAGCTTTTCAATAATAATAAGTTGAATATCGACGAGCCAGCATTACTTCGAACTAAGGCTGGCATGCGTCGATTTCTACGTGGTCGACAACAGGCAGACGCTATGGGTTTGGTTGGTTACACCCAGGACCCCTCGGCTGGTCTCGGCAAGGAAGCAAAAGCAACCGAAACTCTTGCAGAGGGCATGGAAGAGGACGAGGAGAAAGCTATCCCAGATTATTACGACATCCAAAGTATTGTCCCCGACGTCGCACCAAGCCTTCAATGGATTGAGGACAGCGAAGGCCAGGTGATCAACCAGCACGAGGAATTCCTCCAAACCTTACCGCAGGGTTACTTCACCGCACCTAAGAGTAGCTTGACGCAGAAATTCGATGCAAATATTCGACAGATGCAAGAGACGAGAAAGATTTGCTCAAAAATTGGCGTTATCAAGCAGATGCAACTGCAAGCTCAGGTAATAATAACATTCGAGTATATCTCACTACTACCAGCGACATTAAACTAATATCCTCTAGGTATATGCGAATCAGTTCCCGAAGTACAATCCCGAGCCTTTTCAAGAAGCTGATGTCGAACCGCATGTCACATGCGGTGATAATATCGTAATGGCGCCGGAGGTTTGCAGAGCTGGGATGCAGCGATCCGTCGCGAAAATCTTCTACCATGCGGGGTTTGAAGAGCTCCAACCGTCTGCCATGGATGCTATTACGGACATAGCCGCTGACTACTTCGGAAAGGTGGTACATACCTTCAAAAGCTATACCGAAATTGAAAAGACGGACCCTTCCGCCGAAGATCTCCAACGCGGTATAACAGCTCGGCCTCGTTATAGTTCCGAGGAGGCTCTGCTACATACGCTCAACGAGAGCGGCTACTCAATCGAGTCGCTTGAAGGTTACGCTAAGGACGAGGTCGAGAGGCTCGGACATAAATTAGTCGGCATTCATGAACGTATGAAGTCTCACCTGGGTGATCTTCTACGTCCCGCGGTGACAGATGCGGGACAAGACGGGGCAGCGGCGTTTAATGACGGAAGTGAACAATTTATTGGAGGCGATTTCGCGGAAGAACTTGGTGAAGACTTCTTCGGATTCAAGGAACTCGGCCTGGCTGGGGAGATGGGCGGCATCCTCTCAGTCCCTCTTCATCTTCTCCAGTCGAGGGTGCGCAGCCACTACCAGGTCCAGAATCCGACACAAGGTCCTTCCGATGAGGTCCTCTTTGAGGATCTTGCACCTCCTGAGCCCGTTACGAAGGAGAATATCCAGGAGCAGATCGGCCTTGTCAAAAACTTCTTCCTCGCTAAGCTGCACGCTAATGGCGACTCACCTTTGGTGGAAGATGAAGACTTGCCTGTCAAGCAGCGACGACCCCGACCTCGTCTTGGTGCTACCGGCAAGATTGTTTCACCTCAAAAGCGACCGCCTAAGGAGCAGAATGCTATTAACAAGAAGAAAAAGAAGCTGGAGGCTCAAGCAGCTGAAGCTAGCAAAGCAGCAAACAATAGTCCCGAAAAGGGTGGTCCGAAAAAGGCAAAAAGTTTGTCTATGCCTAATGGTACCACTGGTAGCGGTAGCGGCCTTGCGAATGGTCCATCTATACCTGCTGCTCCTCCTATGGAGCGTGTCGGAAGTACGCAGAGCCAAGGCAACAATAGTCAGACGGATAAAGACGATAACGGCATGATGAGCCCGGAGAGTATGGAGCGTTAAGAGAGCTATGCATCGAGAGTATTTCGACACTGTGCCAGTTAGCCACAGTGTTTGATTGATTTTTATTGTCCCTTTTCTATACCCTATTTAACGGGATATTTGTTTTCTTTTCAGATTTTCCTTAGACCCGGCCCGGAACCCGAGGGAAGACGTGCGGCGTACGGCAGTGCATATGGCGTTTTGTTAGGAGGGTTGCCGATGAATATTGGCCCCTTCGCAAGTGGACATGGTTCCATTGGAGGTAGTTGGCTCGATTTCTGCTAATGAATTTTTTGGTACGACTTGCATATAACTGGATGGATGGACGATGACTGAGGAGGCAGATTAGGACGGCATATGGACGAGTCACGCAGGTTCGGTCGACAGGACACCGGAGATGCACACCATGTACATACTTCTCTACCACCATACCCATACGTTGCTTTTTTATTCCACCATCACGCATCTAGCCACATATGAGCTACCTATATCATACTAAATCTGACAGAGTTCCCTTAGCTTACATTTGAGAATTTGCGACTAGTGATGCCAAACGACAGTTCTTGATTATTCCGGTATATTAATAATAAAAATTTATCTAATTCTTTCCTTGTAGTATCAGTTATGGGTGACATCTTGGTTTTCTCGTATAGCATCATCATATGCACTTTTACCCTTTTATTCCTATTATAGAACTCACATAAATTAGCCTCCGCACAAAGAGCTATGTGTATGCGTTATTCCTATACATCTAGCAAATCCAACTTTAGGTTCGATATTGCTAATTAACGTCCGACTTGAGGGTAAAACTGCTACGGTGAAAAGAAAGAAAGAAAAAAAAAGGAAGAAAAGAAAAGAAACCTGTCCAATACTTGGTCAAATTAAACATCTATCCCTACCGGAGACGCAGGAAGCCATATAAGAACGGCGAAGGGAAGTGCAATAGCATAAGCAGCTAGCAGAACGAAAGGTAGCCGCCACGAAGATGAGGACTGGATGTTAGCCGTACCGTAGCAGGTGAAGTACCCTGTAACTAATCCAACAGTAATGAGCAACTGAGGTCCGGTAGTTAGAGCACCGCGGTTTCGGGGAGGAGATATTTCGCAGATAAAACCATAGAGTTGGACAGGTATGTTTATTTTTCTAGAAGCTGTGGTCTCACCTGCACTACTAACACACTTAAATAAAGGCCCTCGCCGATCCCCTCGATAATGCGACCGACGATAAACATGGCGATATGAACGGAGGCGCCTTCAAAGGCAGCACCGACGCCGAAAACAAGGGAGCCAATAGCAATTTCGTAAGGGCGGCCGAGCGCATCCGCTAACCTCCCAGCGAAGAGGGACGAAATTGCAGCGGGAATCGGGATGGAAGATACGATCAACCCGTAGATCGCCGGGGAAAGGTTACCCACATACGCCGCGAAGTCCCCCATTACGGTACCAAGACCAATGATCCCGGTGTCAATGCCGAAGAGAAATCCGCCCAAAGAGCATAGGATGCTGGGGAGGACGTGGCCCGGGGGCTTTTGAACGAGTTGGAGAGCTGCATGTTCACTGAACTCGATGTCTACAAGTACTTAGTTAGAGCTTCTCTCGAAGGATTTTCTATAACAGGCGTAGAATTGAGCTTGAGAAGTATACGATATTACTACATAAGGTACCTAGGTACCTAATAGCAAAGAGCAAAAAGAATATGATAGCCATAAAGCATTCGAGTCGAATAAAATACTGTCAGCAGAGAATTAAAGGTATTGTACCTAAAAACTTTTATGTAAACCTTATTTTAGGTACCTATATGTTCGTCGTTTCGGGTTAACTACCTGTTGATTCCGCGAATTATGGTATCGTGGGTCTTTCCGGAGTTAACATGGGGGGGCGTTCGGAGCACAGGACCTCAAGGGCGCGGAAGGGAGCCCGAACTAATGTAGCACTTGCAGGTTGGAGATGAGCGGGGGATGCGGAGGTAAGGAACTTCGTAGCAAGCCGCTCGTTTACTAAGGATGCATCGTGCCCTTGATAGAAAGTAACTCGTACCTAGGATCAGATCTTGGGCTGTGGTGTTACTTGGGAGATTACTAACTAACACACCGATATAGAAATCCACATATGTTTTGAAAGCTTGATATTAAGCAAAGAGGGGTATGAAGGCTATAATCTAGAAGTGTTGAGCCAAGATAATTCTGTATAGGGTGGGTGTTGGGACCAATTCATGTATTCATTATACGATCATGTCGTAAATCTGATATCATCTCATATCCTTCAGGTATTCTATCATCAGCGTCAATGAATATTGACTCACTATAATTTAGGCATCTATTCTATCGCAGTATGTGGCGATCTCGTAGAGATCCCCACTATGAGTAATCAGCTGAGCTATATATAAAACGATCTCCTGTAGACTACTAGCCTAGATCTCTTTTCCTTCTTAATCAACCGTTATATTACCTCTAAGTTCTCCTTTCACTATACGTGACATATTCGCTAAGGGAACATATTTTATCCCAGTTCTACTTCACTCCACGATTGCCCCAGCCCCTCTTCGGAATTTGTTGTCATCTCGAGAGGGCTTGAATCTAGTTTTTGGCTCATCGTATTCTCGCTTTTATCAATCAAATGTTAGAGAATCTCGTAATCTCGGGGAAACCATAGTTCTATAAGATCTCGAACAGTGATTTCCCCACCTCGTTGTTCTGCAAGATCTGCAAGAGCGCACGATTTAGCAATGAATCCTGTTGGGAATATATCATTTTCAACAAAAGTATATTCCGTTTTGACTGTAAGTACAAATTCGTTGTGCTTATCACGATAGACAGGACCGAAACATAATTTGAATCATCACTTAGCGCCGTGGGTATATGGAGCCTCATCATACCGGGGATAAGAGGTACCCTTGAGAGAATATAAATATCCGGAGCATGGATTCAAATAGGGTTGACTCCTGGAATGTAGTTAGTCCTCTTGGGGTGACGTAGTCAGGAGAAATCTCTCTCGAGAAGTATAGTTCGAGCATTTTATATATGTTAGGTACCTGTTAAAGATAGTGGAACCTCTTTGGAAGAAGCAGTTGACATTAAATAACTCGATTCAACTTTCCGAAGGAACCCATGCAGCTGCCATGATATTGCAAAAATTTGAATAAGGGCATCAGGTTGAAGGCTAGTTTTATAAATACTGTATGAAGACCTTGATTCAGGTATCAAAATACATATACACCTAGCCACTGGTTGCGACTGTAGCCTTAAAGTAGCTCTTAGTTCGAGCTCGGTTAGGAACTTGAGAAGACGGTCCTGGCGCCGATGTGTGCCACCGTCAAAGAGTAAGAAAGCTCTGACAGATACGGTCTTGATGCAGATATTATCTTGTAAGCCATGTCGACGAATTGGAGGACGTTGCTCACTAGTCCGAATACAGCAAGAGCTTCCATCTTGAAGATCCTGAGCACGACGTTAACCTTCTTTCATCGACCCTTCTGCTGACAATGCATGAGAAGTTGCATGTCGGGAAGGAATGATCGGGGACGTCGGGATAAGAAACAGGTAAATCTAGGCTGTGTGTGAATGAGGGGCAAATGGATTGACGATATTCCATATGTTGGCAACATGATTGGCTCTATTAAATCAATCCCTCTTTCAGCTCCGTCTTATTTGCATACGGGAGCGTTACATTCCTCCCATCCCGCACTTGGGGCTCGGGACATCCCGACTGGTTCATGGCTCTGGAATTAGTATGAGGGTTTAGCTTTCCTTTTAACCGGTGGGGCACGTTGATACAAAGATCCAGTTCCTTGCGCATGGGTTAGTTGTAAAACCTCTTCATTACCCATTGAGTGGGTTGGGTCCGCGGCTATCTCAGTCATGTGATGCCAATAGAGCGTCAAGGACTCAAGGAACGGCCGATGATGCCCGCCCGACAACTCCCGCTCCGGTGTGCAAGGGGCGGCCGATGATGCCCGCGCTGACCTGCGTCCCTCAGGTTCAAGATTATCTCATCAAATTTACTATATCCTCAAGCGCGAACTTGCTACAGTACTTTTCCCACTTATACCAACAAATCAAACCCTCGAAAAGCGTCAAAGCATGCCACTTTAGGAATAGTCCCAACTACTCAGCTAATTAAATTTGAATGTGGCAAGGTAGGTTGAGGGACAGCTCCTATTCCAACCACCATTACGCTCCTTTCCTCCTATACGATTTATCTCGTTAGGCGTCTAACCACATTGATCAAAATAGAGATTCGTTTGATTATCAATGTAATAGAATGAGAAGAGCTTAGAGAAATATGATGTTATGACTATAGTAGCAACTAGAACAGTTGCGTCTTCCGATCTGGAGGCTTTGATGGTTTGGAGTAAATTGAATAAGGTGCCCAGGTAGGAACGAATCAGATAATCAACGCAGATCGGCAGATGCAGAATCTATTGAATACAATACGACGTAACCAGAGTTGACCACATTTTGGGTCCCGGGATAATCCAAGGGGAGTTGGAAAGTATGCAGACCCACAACAGCTGCGAGGTAGGCTTTGCTCTAGAAAGCCCGTAACTTGTCATATGTGAGGATAGGATGCATACTATTATGCATCATACCTAGTATACATCGTACCTGCGGCCTCCTATCCTCACATAGTGCCACTTATTATGTCCTCAGATGCTACGTAGATACAGGTACATACTCCACTTATACCAATAAGTCGAGACTTCAATAACGGTCAAGGTATACTGTCTGGGGAACCGTTTTGACTCTTTCGGGTCTGTTTGAAGAGCCGTTGAATTATAAAAAGACAACTTTCCACCCAAACCTTGTTGCTGTTGTACGTAGAGCAAACTCAAGGATTTCCGAGAACTTCACATCCAATTCAAGTTTCCGCGGTTGAAAATATCACGCGTTGAACGACATTCCATACATAACGCCATCCAAAAGTTAGCTGCTTCCTTTCAGTTATGGCAGGGTCAACCGTTCAGTCGCCTGGTAATGCAGGTGTGGTTACCCAGCTTGCCCGGTCAGTGGGCTTCTCGAAAGCCTACAACTTCTGGCTGTGGGCTGTCTTCGGCGGTGTTCTACTTGGATTCTCCCTCTCCCGGTTGCGGTACCTCGATTTTCATGGCGTCTTCTGCAGCGGTCCGGGAATGGCCAGGGGTAACATGGGAGCCGCCACGCCTGGTGAATGTTTCTACTACTTAAACATCACCGCCGATCAGATTGCCATCAGAACACACCTGTGGTGTGTGCTTCCCGCCGCCCTGCTCGCCTTCGGACAGTTTGTACCCATATTCAGACGCAAAGCGCTCTGGCTCCACCGAATCAACGGTTGGATTGCGACCGTCCTATCCCTTATTGGCGCTTGCTCTGCATTTCCGATGTTGAGGCATACGATGGGCGGCAGTACTGAAACCCAGTCGATGAACCTCCTGTTATGGGTCATCTTCGTTACTGCGGTATACAAGGGCGTTACTGCCGCTAGACAACACAAAATCCAGGAGCACCGCGACTACATGTTGCGCGCTTGGTCTTATGTATGTCCCACAATTGCCCTCCTTTCCCACCTTATTCCTACTAGATATGTGAACGTCGGCAGTATGTAGATTGCTAACTCATTTCGTCTAGGGTGGATCTGTCATTACCCTCCGAATTATCATGTTGGCGACTTCCATCGTTATGTCGTACATGGGTAACTGGTATGTCGCTATACCATGTGACAAGATCGAATACTTGATGGATGCTCAGAACGCCACCATGGCTGAGTACCAAGCCAAGTATCCCGACTGTGCACCCCAGTGGACTGGAGAGGACCCGAATAGGCACGTTGCTGTTCGCGTATATGTCCTGGAAGACGACCCAGTGGGCGTTGCTGCTGCCCACGCCCACTGCTTCGCCATGTCAGGCTATGTAGCCATCATTTTGCACTTCGTGATAACCGAAGCCTACGTAAGTCTTAGTTCTGAGCAGCGAAATAGGTATAGGTGTTATATGGTCTCAAACACGACTAACACATTCTTCGTTAGATCCGCCTCACTTCGCCCGAGCGCAAACTCTCCAAGGCCATTGCCGCTGGAGAGACTAACCACGCTGCCAAGAAGGTGGAATAAAGCTCGCGCAACGAGCTTCTGACAACGCAATTTCAGTCCCTACAAAACAAAGACTGAGTACCAACATAAGGCTCTCCCACAGGCTAGATTTGGCTTAGGAATCGCACACAGCGTGTGTAGGTTGTAGCATGTGACCCGAATATACCTATATGGATATAAACTAGGATAAGAGGTCGGGGTTAACGATACCATGAGATTACGGGGCTGAGGGAAATTAGAGATAGTGAGATAGACCCTCTTTATACACATACTCAAATTATTGAGTAATATCTGTAAGCCCTCAGCGTATAAGTGTAGTCTGTGGCGCAATGCTAGAATGGCATAAACTAGGATGTGGAGGCATGCGATGGAGGGCTAGTTGAAGGGGTTGATGCTATTGCCTGGCCCTTATCGTCTGCCTTCGTGATGCTCCCGTTTTCCTCATCCTGTGCTGCTAGAACAGCTTGTTCTCCGTCGATCCGAGTCTCGTCAACAAGAACCACCTTATCCCCAAAAGCTTGCGCAATCTCCTCAAGCGTCTTCCGGCGTGTTTCTGGAAAGTAGAAATATGCAATGATAAGGAAAATTAGTGTGCACCCGACGAAAACGTAGTAGTAGTTCTCGTGAATATTAGCAAAGGCGCTCGGACCGGCTTCTGTAACGGCAACGTTGACGATGAAGTGACTAGCTGCAGCAAGACCCATCACCTTGCTGCGCAGCGCAATCGGCAAGACTTCCGCACCGTATAACCAAGTTGTGGAGTTAATCATTGCTATAAGAAGAGTTAGAAAAGCTAACTACTGAAATGCGATTGGAAAGGGTTATAAACGACTCGAGGCGCCACTTACAATAGTACCATGCAACGTATAAGTATATGCCCAACACCGAGAAACCCTTGCCAACTCTGTTTTCGCTATCCTGGAAAACGTGCTGCATCACGGCGGAATATATCATTGTCAATATGAGACCGGATAAACCTGCCAATATCATCTTTCGGCGACCCCATTGATCTGTCAAGTATCGCGTGGTAATAGAGTTTGAGACGAAGGCAACTGTTCCGTATACACCCGCTAACGCAAGGATAGTCTTCTGTTCAATTCCTAAGGATTTGAATAAGTAAGTCTGATAGTATTGAATAACGTTTATACCCGTCAGACTGGTTCCAGTTTGGACTACTATGGATACCATGGCTCGACGGCCAAACAACGTGAAGATCTCGCGGTACGTCTTGATCTCGCGTGCCATTTCAAACTCGATCTGTGCCTGTATTAAGGCGAACTCCTCATGGGCTTCGTGAGGCTGAAGGTCCCGTCGAACTCTGATAAACTCGCGCCGGGCTGCCTCTACTTTGCCGTTGCGGATAAGCTGTCGCGGAGAGTCTGGCATGAACGTCGCTAGACCCACGAACATGATCACGCCCCAGGGGATCTGAATACCTAGGGGTAAGCGCCATTGCGTAGCCCCATAGGGTGCGTATGAACAAGCGAATCCCACCCAGTTGGACATCATTGTACCGAAGGAGATACCACATCCTGATATTCCCCCAATCAAACCCCGCTGGCTGGGTGCCGAAATCTCGCTCAGGTAAATAGGCACGGTAGCAACCATGGCTCCCACGGCGACGCCTGCGATGGCACGGCCCGCTAAGAACATTCCGATGTTAACTGATGCAGTCTGGATCGTCGTTCCGATCGTTACGATGACGCACAAAAGCTGCATAAATCGAATACGGCCCAGCTTATCTCCTATAAAAGTTTGACCCAGAGCACCAACAGCCTCGCCCGCGATATACACGGCCACCACTGCTCCCGTGAGACCATTGGAAGGATGGTGCATGTAATCAATCCAGCTTTCATGTGCGATGGCTAAGAGGTATTTTGTTAGTGAACCATTCGCAGCGGTGCTTTTTACTATTTTTGTACTCAGGACTCACTAGTCGTAGCAATGCCAGTGTCGAAACCCTACGATAGAAGATATAGGTTAACACGGCAACTCATTTGGATACATAATAATTTAATGGAAAGAGGTAAACATACGAAGAGAAATGTGCCCATCGCGGCAAAGAGGGCGATTCCAACAGAATGCCAGCTAGCCATGGCGTTTGCGTTTTTGTTCCGTCCCCGCCTAATAGTACGTAAGTAAGCTGGATGTTGAACAAAGCCTGCAACGAGCAAACGAACATTTTAACAGAGAGTATAAGACCCTTTTATTTATACCATCATCTCGTTCGGCTACATGGTTTTTGTAGAACGCTAACCTAGATGGTTGCGACAGCTGCCGGCGTCCATAGCAAGCCTTTGATTGGAATGACGCGCATAGCCTGAATCTCCGCGTCGGGATCACAACGAATTGGGGAAGCCCAATGTCACCATGTACAGCTGTACCCAGCATGTACCAATCCCTACGACTTCGGCTTATAAATATCGCGTGCTATACAATATAGCAATACCAAGAGACAGGTAGGTATAGCCTACCCGTTTCTCACCGCTTGTCTGCGCCAACCGTGCGTGCCCTGTAGTTACCTATCTAGCATGACGGAACAACTCTCTCTTCGTCGTGCATTGTAATAGACCCTAGGCATTATAATTCCTTCCACTTCCATGGTCTCTTGTCTTTGATTATCTGGCCGCATAGGTACCCAACTGTCGGTGAACAATACAACGAGCTAGGCGACGAGTTCTCTCCAAGTAATCTCCTCACTTATGGGAACCTAATAACAATGGTGGTACTGGTGACCTACCCCAACGCCTATTCTGCTTTTGCGCTTGTGGATAATCTGGGGCTGGAAACAAGCTAAGAATTCAGGCATTGTATTGTACTGGGCTGATCTTAACTTTAGATTTAAATTTTAAGTTGAAGCTGGGGAAGTGGGGATAATTTCCCAGGCAGGTAGGTTGCCGAGCTTTAGCTAAATACTTTTCTACCTAGGTATTTAATAAAACATTCAGTTGGTTGTATCACCGTCTTTTTGATGGAGAAACGGGAGAGATATTAGTATTGGCTCTTAGCTAATTTCGGTTGAGCTTTTGACCGAATCTACCTAGGTAATCTGTTATTCTCTGAAATTTCCGCTATCTCTTTTTTACCGTCGCATTTAACTTCCACACATCGATCCCTCTTCTACCGAATAGTGCTGTAACACCAGATTCAGTCCCCCAGTCGCGCCCACTCAACAGTGCTAGAACCAATGTTCGATTTCCTATGAAAGTTTCATATCATTAGAAAATACTAATGTTAAGAAAAGTGGGTTATCAAGGACGTTTAAAGCTTAGGGTAGAGGTAATGTTCTTTTAATCTAGTCAGTTAAGAGTTTTGATAGCAAAGATACTATTGATAGGATATACATTTTATTATATTGTTCCTCTTTCTCATACATCGAGAAGTATCTAAACTGATCTAAACTTTTAATCGACCCTAACAGGTAGCTATTTGAATGAAGTATATTACCGAGGCTTTTATATTACGCTCCGTGTAGCTTCTTTAACAGGTACCTAATGAGTATGCTCAGTTGTTTCATTTATTTTACCCCGCCTTACCTGGTAATGTCGTCAGTGGACTTGGGTTGTTCTCATGCACTGCACAAAGTAAATATCGGGTTTTTCGAAAAGCAAGTTGTTATATTTCACAAAGGCGGCGGCCGGAATGGATCTTAGTATTAGCACAATTCGAAGGCTCTTTTAAAGAACCGGCACAACTCCGGGACAGCCGGTCAGGTGTCTAAGCGTTGAATGTAATGATCTTAGAAGAAGGTGAATTGTAGAAGACCAGGTATGTTAGGGCTATATGTTTCTAACGATAACATGTTTATACAATTATATCGCGGCTAGTAAAATCAGAGTCTTTCTACACGGCGTTCATCATCTTGTAAGTCTGACATCCCCCTTGGGAGTTGAGTAGAGGCATCTCTGTTCCGATACATATTAGTAGACTGGATTGATATAATACGAACCTGCGGAACTACTACTTAATGTATTGTACCTTGTGCGCAGATACGTAGGCCGAGTGGGGCCGATCTCCGATCCACATCAATTCCGGGTCCCCATCTTTACGGGGTTCTGGAGCTCGTCTTCCTTACAGCAAAGAAAAGCATCTACTAAGATTGTAAGTTTAGGACCATGATATAGTACATGTTAAATATTAACGGGAAAATACTGTATACGAAGAATATGAGCACGAACAAACAAATAAATAAATATTAAAAGTACCTCAGTTAAAAACCAACATCTATCTTGTAAAAGTCTTATCGATAATGGCGTTACCCCACAAAAGGTACAAGTCCCTACAAAATGGGAGCGCTAAGATTTCGTAGTTACTAAGCAGAATCGCGTTAAAAAAGATGCCCCCCCTAGCCAGTACCTAATATTCCAAAACATACTCTTATTTTCATTGCTAATAACGCTTTAGCAACATAACATATTAATTTAATACATTGTAAACCTGCAAAATAATACTAAAGCTATCTTATAGTAATTTTTAATAGTAAATTGACCTAGAATTGAATTTTTTACATTTAATTGAAGTTGTAGTAGTATAATTGTATTTGGGTTTAAGATGGGGCATCTTTTTTGACGCCATTCTGCTAAGGTACCTGCGTACCTAGTATAAGGTAAGCGATGGACTCCGCACTACGAAGTAAGAAAATATTCCCAGCAGCAAAAAAAAAAAAAAACAGATTTTTGTTTCGTCCAATCAAGACTCGGCCTCATCTGCTTTTTTCCTTGTAGCCCAAAGCGCCAAGTCGTTTCTAACGCTGGTGCAATTACTGCGAGCAAACCGTCCTGTTTTTTTTTTTTTTTTTTCTTTTCTGGCCTTGAACTTTTTTTTTTCTTCACTCTACTAATCTCCATCATCTAATCTTAACAAGGCCAGCAACTCTGACCTATCCTCGCTCATCGATCTGATAGATTATATACTAGTAATAGTAGAAGTACTTAAGAAAGGTTCTGCCAGGTTTTATACTTCAATAGGCATTATGGAGGACTCTTCGTTAAAGGTTGGTTAATTTTATGAATGAACCTGTATCGCCGATACGATGTTGCGTTGCTTCTCTAGAATAATAACCGACACTTTAATACACAGGAGCGTCTCCTGAATTCGCAAAAGTCCTTCGACGGACTTTTGTCGCTGATACCAGCCAGGATGTATTACGGCGAAGACACGAGCGTAAGTCGCATTCTACAGTAACCCACCTGAGTCGCTTCAGTCGCTTATCATTACACAGGACCAATGGAAACGAAAGAAGCAGACCAAAGCTGAGGCTGCCGCTGCTCGACGTAATAAGCTCGACCCTGATAGTGCCCTAAACCGAAGTGTCAAAGAAGTCATGGACGAACAAGCATTGAAAAAGCGGAAGCGCAATCAGATGCAAGATGGCAATGACGATGACGATGACGACTGGTCGGATATGGAAGGGGTCGAGACTGAGAAGCCTGGTCAAGGGCTGAAGAAGAAGACGCAACAAGATAGCAAGAAACAAAAGAAGGAAAAGCTAGATGAGGAGCAAACCGAGCCGAACGAGACGGAGCGGCGGAAGCAAGAGAAGAGGGCCGCGCGAAAAGAGCGAAAGGCAGAGCGACAACGGCTGAGGGAAGAAGAAGCAGCCTTCCAAAGACAAACTATCAAGGGTGTCAACAAGATTAAGTTAGGGTCTAGAGAAACGAAGACCAGCTCAGCGCCAAATGGTGATGATATCACAGCCGCTGACGCTAGCACTGAGACTGACGATGAGCAGCTAGAGGCAGAAAAAGAAGCTGAAGCTTCAGACATCAAGCCTCTTGATGTTACTGGTCTAGCTGATGCTACCGAAGATCAAAATTCGGACTTTGCCCCTTCATCTCCATCGGAGCCCCCATCCCCCGTATTCGACGCCAACGGTACACCCGCCGACTCGACCGGCCAAACTTCGAGCACAACAACATCTGTATCATCCTCTGCCCCCCCTGAAAAGCCAAAACATATCAAGATTCCTCCTGACACTACTGCTCTTCGCGCACGCCTTGCAGCAAAGATACAAGCACTCCGCGACGCGCGAAAAGCGGACGTGGACGGGAAGCCTATACGCACGCGCCAGGAGCTGATCGAAGCGCGACGCCAGAAGCAAGCGGAACGGAAAGCTCACAAAAAGGAGCTACGACAAAAGGCCAAGCTGGAAGAAGACCGCAAGCGCGAAGAGGCTTTAGCTTCTGCTCGCAACTCTCCAGGTAGTATGCTCAGCCCAGCTATCGATCTTGAGAACACTAACTTCTCATTTGGTCGCATCGGCTTTGGTGACGGCTCTCAACTGTCCCACGACCTCTCACATGTTCTAAATAGCGCCAAGAAGAAGGGCCCGTCGGATCCTAAAACAGCTCTTGAAAAGTTAGAACATCAGAAGAAGCGTTTACAAGAGATGGACGAAGCTAAGCGCAAGGATGTTGAAGACAAGGAGCTTTGGCTTACCGCGAGGAGACGCGCTCAAGGCGAAAAGATCAAGGATGACGAGAAGCTACTCAAGAAGGCCGTCAAACGTAAAGAGACTGCGAAGAAGAAGAGTGGAAAGGAATGGAATGCCAGGAAGGAGGGCGTCGCCAAGGCAATGAAGGACAGACAAAAGAAGCGAGAAGAGAATATTAGGAAACGACGTGAAGAAAAGCTCATGGGCAAGGGCGGTAAGAAAAAGGGCGCTAAAAAGGCTAAGGGCAGAGCAGGATTCGAGGGTTCATTTATAGGTGGTGGAAAGAAGAAATAAGTAAGTAATTAGGCGGTTATCCCGTGACAGACCGTTGTCTCAGCCCTTTACTCTAGGCCTTTGGCAACATGTATATACAGTATGCTCCGGGCAGACTGGAAGTTGGCGTCCCTTGGTGTATTAAATGCTTTGGCCTTCCGTACTCTCAATGCCACTATTGCAAAAGTTCTGGAGTACTGTAATGCTATCTCACTTACCATGGGGGCGTGAGTAGGGGGGGACGAAGTTTCATTGAAGGGCAAATATGAACCCAGACGAGATTGGACCACTAGTTCAACTAGTGGACTATTCCAAGCCTCGGTCTGGGGCTTTTAACCACATCGGCGTAACAGTATCAAAATAAGTTTTCTACCTCCCTACCTAGGGCAACTAAGGTTAGGTAGGAGGTACCTACCTACCTATCTAATAATTCTTCCAACTTCTATAGTTAGACATCCTTGCTCGGCCACCTTGCCCAAGGCGAACGATTATGATGGTATACACCCGATCTAGGAAATATACTTCACGGGATCTAGCCGGTCCTTGATAATGAAATTATAATAAGTAGCATATTATTCGCCAATTATGACAGAGGTACTTAAGGCCGTCGAGCGACATTATACACAACTTATATTAAGTTCTTCGCCACTTCTTGGGTCTCTCAATAACAAAGATAGAGGAGAACAAAGAAATCCGCGGACTTGGACAACTTGTCCCTGTCCCGGCGACTAGTTGTCTTGTGAGTAAGTCATTGTTCGGATAGGCACCTTAGGTAATTATGGCGTGTTGCCTGATACCAAGGCCTAGAACGATGAGTTACTTGTTATAAAGTAAGTCTAGGTGCCTTAGGTTAGGTATGTACAAGTCTTGTTGACGAAAGAGAGCATAGGGTATTCCTGGCGAAGGATTTTTTATTTTTACTGAATCGAGGCGACTTCATATTATATGATGTCTTTATTGTACCCAATACACCATTAACCACATGTCCCTGATTCTTCTCTTGTCAGGGGCTTGGCTTTGCACGCATCGCATGTTCTCATCGTGATTTACTGTGGCCTGGTGACGGACTTAAGTCAGATTTAGCTCTTGGCCGATCCCGTTGCATTGTCCTTTCCGCGGAATAGTTCTCGATACAGTTAAAATTTAGTTTGTTGCGACGAGTGTACCTTTTCCTCGTTCTTTGTTCAACAAAGGCGGAAGGGTTCCGGCAAGACATGGAATCATTCCTAGGCTCGGACACTGTTGCCTCATTCAATATGTGTCGTTCTAGTCAAAAGCCATATAGTAGGCTTTGTTCGATTTGATGAACATATTGTAGTATCGCCCAGTCACAGCGTCGTTATTAGTCTACCCGTAGTCCCGTCTCTAGAACTTCGCGACACGAAGTTTGAACCTGGCTAACCCATGTCTGTCCTTAGCCCTTGATTACCGATACCCTCTCCTTCTCTGGGGGAGAATCCTCAATTGACGCTCTTTTTGATCTTCTTTGCAATCCTAAAACAAGTATGATTTTAAAGTTCAATGCAGTGGAAAGCAGAAGTTTACCCCCTATAGAGGGAATAGGGTTGGCAATATGTATCGTGGCCATTATAATGGCCTTGATTTCATCTCTGGTTGTATCTCTCAGAGTTTACGTTCAATTTTCTCGGATATTATTCTGGTGGGATGATGGCTTGATGTTGGTAGCGTTGGTGAGTACTTGATATCACGGAAATGCCTGTCCTCTCGAAGTAATTGACGATATTTTTTTTGCAGACAATATACCTTGCAAGTGTTGGCCTTGTCTGGCGCAGCGTACAATTAGGTCTCGGAACCTCGAGTACGGATATCCCGAAGTCCGTGCAGGTCGAACGCATGAAATACGCTACCATCTGGTCGCTCTTATACACGGCATGCCTCGTTGCGGTTAAAGCCTCCATCTGCTTGACCATGTTGCGACTGAAGAAGTCAACGGGATTCATACGCTTCGCTATCTATGTCCTTCTACTAACGAGTGTTGGATCATTCCTCGTTTGGTTCATAGGTCTCTTAACTCTATGTCATCCCGTCGAAGCTAGTTGGAACCCAAGTCTCGTAATAGAAGGCAACGCAACATGTGCGGATAGGAATACCCTACTAAGAATCGTATATACTAGCGCGATTATGACGTTTGTCACTGATGTGGCATGTGCTGTCCTTCCCGCGGTCATGCTGTGGAACATTAAACTTAAGGTTAAGAGGTTGTTGGTTTCCCTGATTCTGTTATTTGGATTGATTGCTTCTATTTGTACGGTCATGCGCACTGTTTATATTCAACGGTATGCAGAAGACGGTATACAATGTGAGTGAAGCCGTTTAATTTGTAACTCCATGGGTATCTAACCTAACCTACTTAAGTAGAATGCCGTACGAAGCTAATATGCCTTGGTTTATAGTTTCAACCCTGAAGACTGTGCTACTCTCAAACATCGGAACGGGCATCTGTATCATCATAGGCTCCTTACCAGTGCTGCAGAAGAACATCTTGAGCTATTATAGGAAACGAGGGCTTGTCATATCGCCCAAACCTCCGGGCTCGAAGTCCTCCAGTAGTGTAACCGCCAAACTCGGAGATAATCGAGAAGACTTGAACAACCCTTTCGATTCAGGTTTTAACATTACAACCATTTCAGCAAATCGTCGCTCTAGTGATTGGGATCGTACGAAAGGGAAGCTCGACTTGCACGTCATTCGTGCCGAGTACACATTTGAAGTTACGCGATCGGGAGTATCGACCGAGCTGGTAGAGATAGGGGGTATAAAGTGATTTTATCCTAGCAACGAGTCGAACAGTCTGACAAGACTGTGGTAGTTTTATATTAAGAAGTACCTATTTCGAAACTTCCTACTGCAATTATTCTAAAAACGTCGTACCCTAGGATCTAGTTCCGGAAGGGATAGGATCGTGTTCGAAGTACACATGTATGTATGTCTATGATACGTTGTCTTCGCTCTGAAGTATAAGTTATGATCCGATACCCGATATGATTAAATGCCCGTACGAATTTCTGGCTTCCATTATTTTACACTAACATCCACATCTCCTACTCTATGGTAATTTGAATACGTCGATGTATCGCTAGGATCGCCGCGCCATTCGTATTCGACGATCGTCACGTTGTCGTCGTTGTCGCCTTCCAGGCAATATATCCTCCGGGCGTGATTGGCAACCATCGTCCCGCGTTCCTTGCAGTTTGATAAATCCCCAACTTCTTCGTCCACCTTAGTCCATGTGTCTCCCTTGTAGTATGTCAATTGAACTCCATCATCGGTGGTTGGGTCCATGGTGAGAACCTGAAAGCCTAGCGGCTCAGGCCAGTTCGTGCTCGTCTCGTTGAACCCTGTCGAAAAAGCGGCAATAGTTGTTTGGGGCCCGATATCCCGTCCTAGGTAGTGCCCTACGTATCGACCATCGCCATTGACGATCTGAGATAGCGCGCTGGTAATAGAGCGGTAGAAGAGATTCATGCTCCTATGGCCACTGGTCGTGGCGGCGGCCACATGGGCCTGGACAAGAGAGGCGTTTTCTGCGGGCGCGGTCAGGTCGACCTGAATGACATTCGTGTTACTATACCACCCGCTGCTATCATTCTGGTAGCTGGCTTCTCTTATTCCACCTGCTGTCTGCCAGTATAAATAGGTGTATTGGTTACATAAGTCGCATTGCTTTCCGTATGAGACAAGAGCCGAGCCAGCGGTAGATATATAACTGTTTCCGGCTTTCGAATCTACCCAATTTGCAGTTGGAAGACTCGATTGTGTCGAGATGCCCTTGTCATTAGTGTATGTCAAAGCCTTAATCGTGGATAGACCACCGCTGTCTGGTAGCTGCCAATACACGTGTATATCGCGTCTCTGGTGGTATGTATTAGCAGTTTGTTTCGATTGTCATTTCTGCATAGGGATGTTTGAATCCTTACCGTGTTATCGTATGCGAACACGTCAAGCGACAATGAGGTCCCCTTCTTAACACTATCCAAACCCAGATTATTCGTCTTTCCATCGACTATTGGTGATACCACCCAGCTCTTATGCGACGAGTTCCATGCTGAAAGGTAAATGGCCTTATTATTTAATTGGTAGACCACCAGATAATTCTCATTCCCAAACTGATCAGTGAAGTTGCTGGTCGCAAGATTGGTGTTGGGGAAGAGAGCGGTCTCGTCAACTTGTGAGGACGGATCCTCATCATCGCTCGGGTTTGGATCGGAATCGCTAATGGTCCTTCTTGTTGTTACACCGGCAGCCACTCCTGCGACGATCGCCGCGATGATGACCAAGGCTCCAATAACCACGGCCCAGAAAATCTTTCGCTTCATCCCACATATTCTGCGTTCTGGTACGGGGACGGGCAACGTTTTTTCAGCTCCCGTCTCCGGCACGTACACCGGCTCTGGAAGGGTTGGATCTATATCTCTTTTGATGGCGTCACCAGCTGCAGTAACACCGACTACTTCGGGGTAGCTGAGATGCTCGGTCGCATTCTGATTGACCTCCGGTAATTGTGCAGCGTGGGATGTCTCGACATATTGGTTTCGGGTATGTGCTTCTGTGTCCACCTCTAACGTGCTATATTCGTACGTATCCCTCGTGGAACTCATGATTTTTCTCGTTGCCGGACAGACAGGTCTGTCGGAGCCATACAAAACACATTGACCGTGCAACGTTAAATCGCGATTATTTGGAAAAAGAAAAGGAGATGAGGAAGTAGGATTCGGGATGAAACAAGCGAATACATGCAGTACTGGAATACATAGTAGTAGAAGTAAGCGGCCCGTCAGCCCTGTCGAGCACGGTCTTAAATCCTGGCATGTTCCACGAATAGAAGGTCAGGGAGATTACGTCCTGACCCTGGTTATATTTCCAAATAAGGCAAAAATCATCGTGTGGATGGCGGTTTTGCATTAGCGGAATACCAGCTTCTCGGCGGTGCTAAGACTCTGAGTGGTGATGGATATGCCAAGAGTATTTTAATAGGCCGTTATCAAGGAAGGATTCCTAGACGAGAAGCACTGGAGACTATGGTATTATTTACTTGACAGCCACCAAGCCTCCAAGCGCTTATCAAAGGTCGACAGCGGCCTATCAACAACTTGATATGAAACCGTTTGTGGCTGGAGAGTCCTGGTGTCTTATGCCAAGTACACAGCCCTCTGAGGGCGAACTACTTGTTTTCTTACGGATATGCTAGGTAATCGAATGTTGTGGTTCAATTGTACTATGTAGCCTTATTATCCGAAAGCTATGCGGAGGCGCTGGTAACTGTGCCGCAACGATGCAACCAATTATGACCCAATTCTGTTCCTCATTGGGAAAGCTCAAATAACCTTAAATATGCGATTCAGATCGATTCATGTATACAAGAGGCACGTATGTTACCTAAGATATATAGGTTGACAATCAGCCCTGATCTAGGCCAAGTACCCCTATCTTATAGAGGATACTCGTATCACGCAACTTCCACCCTAACATCAACCTCATCGCTGGACTCGTTTAGCACCGTGATTTTGATACCCCAACCTGGAACGGTATACGAACTCGTCCCTTGCAAAGATAGCGGCGCGTCGTTTAACCTATCGCCTGCGCAGCCACTCGATCTGGGCGTTGTGTCTAATACTCGGATAGGACCTTCTCCTGTCGCTATCCTTGTCGATACCGTGTAAAGCAGTACGCCAGTCGAACAAGACGCCGAATCAAGACCGCTAGCTGAGCGTAATTCTGCTACCAGTACGTCCGTGCCGTTGTGCTTAACTACAACTGCTTTGGAACCGCCTGGTATCTCTAGCGGAGTTAACGTATGCGTCGTCGAGCCTCTTTCGGTAACACAGGCGACTTGCTCATCAGAAAGCCATCCCAGCCGCCACTTATCCCAAGCAAAGTAATCAGGACTTGGTCCACTGCACAAGTTTCGTTTTAGCTATACGCATCTCTAGCTAATATCGTCAACACTTGACTCTTACCTAATGAGCCCCATTAGGTCCCATCCTCCTATGAATAAGCCCGTTGCGCTACCATTAAAGGGGTAGTAATCTGGCAAACACATCGTGTGACCGGTCTCGTGGTTCAATACGAGATACTTCCAAGTCGTATAGGCGTCCAAGCCGAATGTTACCGACTTTTTGGCAACAAAGGTTCCGGCGCGTGTCGTCACGTCGCCCATAAAGGTAGGCGAGAAAGAAATAGCGGCAGCATTAGCAGTTGGTACCACATATAACACATCGGTGGGCGGGATAGTTTTCCCATACGCATCTAACGCGTCTTGTATATACTTCTGGTGTGTTTCGTAGCTGAGACCGCGCTCCCATCCGTAAGACGCAGCCGCAGCCGGCATCCGATAGAAACGTGAGGTATCGGCAGTGACGTTCAGCGTAAGCGCTCCGTACGAGGACGTAGCGTACCATTCTGCTGCGTCCGGCAGAAAGAAGTCGTATAAGCTCTGTGGGGTCTCAGTAGCAGCTTGATCAGAGAATTCAACGAAGATCATAAATGCGCTCAAGGTACCCGTGCTGGGCGCACAGTTTAGCTCATATCCGAATCCTGCACTGAGGTAAATGTTGCTATTAGCGGCTATTTTGCACGCCGAAATATCTGCCCTGGGCCGAGAAGCAGCATTCTCTGCTGAAGCGAGTGTTAGAGTGCACGCCGCGACTGCGTGCCAGACTGCCCCTTTAAGAGTAGCTCGAACTAGACGACTATGATTCACCATTGTAAGTTCTTTAAGGCGTCGCGATATTCTCACAATAAGGGCTACTGGCTTTTTGAGATGGACGAGTATCGTTTTATATCAACATAGTCGTTATCTCGCATCATTAGGTTGTTGGGCCGTCACCTTCCTACGAGGGTATATGTGGGGATATTGATTCGCGTATAATAGCTTTTAGACCTTATGTTTACTGGCCTTACCTGAACAGGCATATTTTCCAAAAGTGACAATACATATGAACCCGTGATAGAACCCTATCGCTCGGTTACAATTTAGCCGAGTTCTGATTTGGGTGGTGACATGGGTTAGAACACCTCAAAAAGCGACTCTCACAAAATATACCGTATCAGCAGAAATTAGGATGTACGCTGCATGATTGGGACTGCTCCTGGGAAAGGCTCCATTTATTATGGTATATATGATAGTCACATACTGAAAGTCCAGGCGTTTTTATGCTATTATGGTTTGATAGGGAAGACCGTCGTTGCACCAAGAAGAGAAAAGGAGACGTGAATGTATGACAGTGAAATTGCTCACAGAGGACCAGCAACGCTGGCGATGTCATGCATGCTGGACAAGAGACCGGTATACATTGGTCGCAGTCTCAGGGGTACATTACCTGCCAAGATGATGATAGCCCCTGCGAAACTACCAGTAGCACCCAAACCAGAGACAGTTCGACCGATGATTAAGACAGCCGACGAGGGAGAAACGGCGGCGATGAGAGAACCGATCTCAAAGATGAAAACGCCTATCAGGAATACCCATTTCACCGAGTACATGACGTAGAACTTGCCGAACATCAACTTCAAGGCGCAGACGGCGAAGAGGTACGAACTACCATACCAGGCGACATCATCTAGCGAGTTGAAGTCGTTGGTGATTCGTGGGATGGCGGTGGCGAGAATGATACCGTCCTAAGATGGTTAGGAGACTGCGGCTCAGAACGCATATGAATTTTCAACACTAGGAACTTACCAAGGACACGACGAGCATGGCCATACATAGGGCAACTAACAGGAGGAATAATTTCCAAGGGGCTGGATAATCTTGCTCGATGTCGGCGGCAGCAGAATCGACGGGTGGCTCGCTATTTTCCACTTCTTGCTTTTCGACATCCTGCACTTGTCGAGGGCGCGATTGCACGGAGGCTTCTCGGCTGTTCGTCTTTTCAAGAGTGGCAGTAGCGGCAGAAGAAGCGGTCGTATCGTCTGGGGGTCGCACCGCGGGCAGTGATGTAATAAAGGTAAGAGAGTGTAGGTAAGTCGGATTTTCTACATGTCAACTTGATGCAGGAGTCGATTCAGAAAGACAGAATTGTAAAATTTGGCTTGCTTCGACTTATATGAAAATTACCCTCGCATCGCATCCAAATATCTTCTATAAGATACACTACGGCAATCATTTTTGATTAACTAATCTGTGGTATAAGATCTATTACGGCGCTGGTGAGTCACGCCGGAATTTCCAGAAGATCGTCTTTGTTGTACCTCTCGACCAAATAAGATAAAAATAAAATAAAAAGACGGTTGAAAGATTCTGGGGATTCTGATGGTACGCTTTGTCGTAAAAGTTGATTGGTCAATTCGAGAATACCCCTTCTAAATTTACCGCGACTTGCCCTGAAAGAGCTACGGCCCGTGCCGCTAGCTTGCAGCTAGCAAACAGACAACTCCGGGTGACAATGCCCTCCTAATTTTAAGCGTACCTTACTATAACACCGGGTAGGTATTATATTTACCTACCAGGTAATGAGGTACAATACAATAGAAACTATATCTTTGGTGGTACTTTACGACGCATTCATATACGATACGTGATATTGACCTCTGTTATTTCAGATTATCCTTACTGTATGGTTGTGATATTTTAGTTTTATTGTTCAATGCCAATTATTCTTGGCCCCGTCCGTGCGTATTACGGTCAAGCTGATCTGGAGGCCGAGGCCACCGGTAGACGGCGTTGGCGTAGTCGTAATGAACGCTTAAGAAACTTTGAACATATTTAAAACAAAAGTTATTGGGTAGTTCAAGAGGACTTATTCGTCATAACGGAATAGGTACCTAAAATAATATCATGAGGCTATTCTCTGCTCCTGGGACTCAAAAAGGGGGGCTTGGTATTCAACAAGTATAATCTTCCATATCAACGCCACTTGCATATCCTAGCATGCTACCGAAAGAGCCAATCACGAAGGAGGAATGAGGCTACTACTCCCACCAATAAGATATTCTGAATTTCTGATGAACAAGACCTCCTGGAACTTTGGAAGGGGGCTTATCTCCAAATATCCATCATGCTATGATCTTGACACTGTCAATTCTTAATTCTGTGAAATGGCCATTGACCACTCCTCAAAATTTGTCATTCCAGTTATTGACATTTCTGGTTATCTCGCTGGCAACGACCTTCGAACTGCTGCAATCACAAACGAATTGAATGCCGCATGTCGCTCTCCTGGATTTTTCCAGATTGTGGGCCACGACATTCCTGCTGAGCTACGCGCTCATCTCTTCAACAAGGTGGTCCAGTTTTACGATCTTCCTACCGCCAAGAAGTCGGCCTTGAGTCACACCCTTTCTGTCAACGGCGCGCGGGGTTACGAAGCTGTCGGGACTGTGACCTTGGAGGGCGACTATGTAGATCAGAAAGAGGGATTCATGATAGGCACCGAAAAGCCACCCGGAAGGTTTCTACACGGCCCAAATCTGTGGCCGGAAGAGAGCGATTGTCCGGGATTTCGCTCTACGATGGAGGAATACTTTGCTTCCATGCGGAGTCTTAGCGTAAAGATGTTCCGACTTCTAGCATTGAGTCTGGGACTTGACGAGTACTACTTCGATGCTTTCGTAAATAGTCCTGACTGTTAGTAATGACCCCGGCATTACTACTTGCTGGCAAGGGCTAACTTCTTGATCTTATGAATTAGCGATCTCGATGTGCCGTGCGCATAGATATCCACGAGATACTGCTGAATCGGTAGAGCGTTCTCGAGGGACAGGAGCCCATACTGACTTCGGCGCTATGACACTGCTACTACAGGATGATGGTAGGTGCTTTGCTCTGCGTTTATTGTAAACTTATTAATAGTTTAGTCGGTGGACTGGAAGTCTTCCACCGACCTAGTAACACGTGGCATCCCGTATCCTACGTCGAAGACGCGTTCATTGTCAATATTGGCGATATGATTGAGCGTTGGACGAATGGCCGCTATATGTCAACTCTTCACCGTGTGATTACGCCGATTTCGAGTAAGGACAGATATAGTGTAGTCTTATTTAACGAAGGCTTGCTAGACCAAGTGATCGAATGCATTCCAACGTGTATCGAAGCGGGTGAGATCCCTATTCACGAACCTATAACGGCAGAAGCCCATTTACGAAGACGCTACGAAACAATGTATGGAGAAGCCGATGATGGAGGAAACAACAAATAAAAGGCATTGTTCTAGGATGGTACCTAGCTATAGTTTGACAAATGCGTCGCATAAATTCATGTGCCGCTGGGATAATAGGCTACCTGGTAGTGGGTTCTTGCTTAAAGAAGAGTATCTGATAGCCACTTATGGGGTATCTGTCTTTCGAAAAAGGTATCAATACTCGCGCGCGTACGAGGTATATTACATGTACGCTTTTTCCCGCTCACTGACAACAATGGAACAGCGGGGATGACGAGTCTGAGGGGCCTAGAATAATTTTTATCCGTCTTCCAGCAGGTTACCTGGTAGTTGCCAGCCGATATACACTAATATGAAAGACTCAACCCGTACTTATGGATCTATATGATTCGGCCTTGTACTACCTTGTGTGCCTGTTTTGATGCTGGCTAGGACTCAGATCCATTCCACTACACTCCCTGGAGACCTTGGTGTAGTGGGCTTATACACCCAGCAACCACGGGGAGCCGTGACCAAGGGGCCGTTCGGCAGTGTATCATGGTTGAGAGCCGTAGGATTTACTTGGCTATATTGTTAATGACACAACTAAAATGACTAGTAAACACTAACATTGTGGCTTCATATTAGGACACGACTCCACTCCCTAATCAACTGCACCTCTTAAATCCACAAATGGATAGCCTCAAATTTAGTAGGTGGATTAAGTGCACGGGCTATGTGTAGTGGAGTGGGAAGGATCCGAGTCCTGACATTGCCGGCCGGTTACAGCAAGGAAAGTCACACGATTGATTTGGTTGACGATTCACCATTGTTAAATGGATTAGGTACCTTGCAAAGACGGAATGTATGTGCGATCACATTGATGGGGGGAAACGATAAATGATAGTCACAAATGGCAACATGAAAGTGGAGGGGCATGTAGTACAGGCGTTCCTATAATAGGTATATATACCTCCTCTGAACGACTTCCAAGTGTTCTAAAAAGCCCGAATTACAACTCAATGCTTCAACTGCTCGAATGGCTCTTCTATAAACGCTCTACTTGAACATTTTCTTGGAAACTTGCAACAAGTTATCACTTAACCAGTGAGTGTTGCAAGTATCACGATTATGTATCATATCGAGAGTGTTAGTATAGTGAGAGGGGTAACGTTGTGGCAGCTCCTTGCCATCACTCTGGCTGGTTTCACGATATATTTGATATACAACCTTTACTTTCACCCCTTGGCACGGTTTCCGGGGCCTTTCTGGGCACGCGCATCGCTAGTAAGATTATCCCCCCGGAACCTTAAACTTGGCTGACATATGGGGACGCCTCGATAGCTATGGCGTTTCTGGCATACAACGCGTGGACACGGACACCGCAGTATACAGAGAGCGCACGAGAAATATGGTTCGTATTCGCAAAGCTGAGAGAAAAACAGAGAGAAGTAGAGGGAAAACGACTAATGTTAGAAAGGACCTGTCTTTAGAGTCGCCCCTAATGAGCTATCGTTCACATCCGTTAAATCATTGAAGGATATCTATGGCATTCCGTCGTCTGGTGCAGAGCACCTTATCAAAAGTGCACTATACGCGATTTTCGGGAGCGGCTACAAGGAAGCCTGCATTCTGTCCGAGCGTGATCCGGTTATACACTTGAAGAAGAAAAAGCACTTGGCAGCTGCTTTCTCAGCTAAGGCTCTGTACGACCAGGAAGCCATTGTGCAAACTTGCCTAGACGGGTTTATAGACAAACTAGGCCGCGTGAGTAAGGAGAGTCAAGGAAAAGGCCTTAATATCGTACACTGGCTTGAGATGGTCACCTTCGATCTGCTAGGAGAGATGGCTTTTGGCGAGGGGTTTGGTTGTATCGAACGTGGTAAGTAGGTACCTACTCATGCAAAGATTTCTTCACGTTTCTCTGCTTTGCGGTTCAGATGTTTCTCGGGTTCCTTTTTATTGTTGCTTTAGCTAACACTCAGGGGCATAGAGGAATACCACAGTTGGATGGACCTTATTCTCAAGAACATGTTCGAGGTTATGGCAGTGGACAACCTAAGGCGTTTACCACTTGCAGGGAGTCTCGTAGAATTGCTCCTGCCGTATCTACTATCAGACAAGAGAAAAGAACATTCGATGTACAGTCGTGAAAAGGTACGGAAACGGCTTGAAGCTGACACGACTCGGCAAGACTTCCTCACGAATATTGCCAGTAAGGTTCGAAACGGCGACGTATCCCAGGAAGAGATGACGGCACATGCCTCGACACTAATGTAAGAACCACGACACCTAGAGCTTTTAATCGAGTCATCCCTGCCGATAGGACTAATCGTATGAGATAGTGTTGCTGGAGGTGAAACATCGGCGACGTGTCTAGCAGCCGCCGTATACTACCTACTAAAAACACCGGCGGCTCTTGACAAACTCGTCAATGAGATACGCTCATCTTTCCCCTCATACGAAGCAATCAACGCCAAAGCAGCCATGCAACTGCCCTACGTGCGAGCAGTCATTGACGAAGCCTTGCGCATCCACCCGCCGGCTTCCTTCGGCGCTCAACGCATATCCCCTGGCTGTAACATAGACGGCTATTGGGTGCCAAAGGGGTCAGAAGTATCTACAAGTCCATTCGCAATTGCTCACGACGCCAAGTACTTTAAGGAACCTGAGAAATTTATACCTGACAGATGGCTTGATCCAAAATACGGCACCGTCAAAGAAGCCAGTCAACCGTTTCTACTCGGATATCATTCTTGCATCGGCCAGAGGTGTGTTTGCCGTTTTATTCATGTTACTATTATAAGATAAGCTGACCCCTTTCTTCGCATCTAGTTTTGCATACCTCGAGATGACTTTATGTCTTTGTAAATTGCTATATCGGTACAATATGAAGCTCGTCGATGAGTCTCTCGACTGGGAGGCATCATCCAAGTGTTATATAATGTGGTGGAAGGCTCCGATCATGGTCCTTTTCCAAGAAGCCGCAAGCGGGTGAGAGATAAGTGAAGTCATATTGTCGGCGCATGATTCTCAACTATATCTACCTCCTGATGTATTTTGAAGGGATATCCCACTAAGTAAACCACCTAATTTAAGATTGATGTGCAGTGATCTACCAATCTTATGCGGACACCCACTATTTTCCCACCAAAACTTAGCAACTTCATTATACTATTGCAGCCTTTAGAAAGATGGTAAAAATAAAATTCTTCTTGTTTTATAATATTTAATGATTAAGCTTTATAAGAATATAATTGTTTAAGTAATAGAGTTTGACCTTTACGTTGTATTTTAAGATATATTTGACAAAATTCGTGTTCCACCAAAAAATTACACTTTTTGTTAGAAGAGATATTCCTTTCCACTTAATTACCGTTTTATTAACTAACAAACTCAAAGAAGTAAAAAATATTATGATAGGGATATAGCTCTAATAAAATCTAATTACCATTAGGTAATTTCATATTTTTACCATTTAATTTGACGTTTCTATTGCTTTGTAAAGTAGATATGTTTTTGTGAGGCTATAGTGGGATGTCCGCATAAGAATGGTAGGTTATTGTACTGACCCAAACTCCCTCACTGTATCTCTCAATGCATTCTTTAATTAAGGAGCAGCACCCCTTGGGTGCCGTTGACGAGTATATGAGGTACCTAAGGCAACACTCATAATATAGCCCCTCTGTAATGTTGCTTTACGCTTCATTCGGCTGAATCTACTCTTATGGCTAAATGTAGCCGGGGCAGATATGGGTTACGCAACGCAACTACCGTTCGTGTATATACAACTTTAATGTATCTCGGATGGAGATGATCTTGACATTGAAAAGAATTAAGCTAGTTCTATTGGCCGTTTTATGTTGCGAAAATGCGATCGTGATGAATACAGGAGATAAGACAATTTGCATTATTTTGTAAAGGGGGTATAAGTAAATACAAGGTCCTTCCAGTGTCAACAATTGTGTAATAGTATCAAGAATAGTATTATGAGAGTGGCGCAGCGAAAAAGAAATGGGAATTATTCTAAACTTGCTTGTGGCTTTGGCCGCTGGGGTGAAATATGTAGTAGGCCAGAATGAATACGACTACGTTGTCGTAGGCTCAGGGCCGGGTGGTGGGCCCCTCGCAGTCGAACTGGCGAAGTCCGGTCACTCAGTGCTTCTGCTAGAAGCTGGAACAGACCTTTCTGAAGATCCGATGTATCAAGACCTCGGAAAAGCTACCGAAGCCAGCAATGATCCAAGATCTAGGTGGGATTTCTTCGTGAAGCACTCCGATGATCCCGAGAGGGAGCTGAAATACGAACACACGACATGGCGTACTACTAACGGTTCTTTCTATGTTGGATTAGACCCTCCTGAGGGATCAGAACACCTTGGGATCTGGTATCCGAGATCAGCAACCCTGGGCGGGTGTGCGATGAATAACGCCGCCATACTTCACATGCCGAGTGATGATAACTGGGACTATATCGCTAATATTACAGGCGATAGCTCGTGGAAAGCTTCTGAGATGAGGAAGATCTATGAAGAGATTGAAAATTGCCATTACTTACCGAACGGTACGGTAGGCCATGGCTTTTCAGGATGGCTCGAAACTAACCAAGATAATGGCTCCTGGTTGAGTAATGCCACCGACGGTGCTACAATTCTGAGAGCTATAGCAGAGCTATCTGATTCAGTAGCGAATAATACTGGTTCTATCATATCAGATGCCGAGCTGAAGGCTCTTCTAAATCGAGATATCAATGGAGCCGAGCCGAACCGCGACCAGATGACGGGTGTTTTCGCCATGGCTACGCATACAAATTCCATCGGTCGGCGTTTCAGCCCAGCAAACTATATCAAGAAGGCATTTGAAGAGAACCCAGATCTTCCACTGACTGTTCAGCTTAACGGATTCGTAACAAATATCTCGTGGGATCTTCTCCAGGAATGGGAACCTCCCGCCGTCATGTCGGTAGATTACGTTATCGGTCCGAGCGCGTATAAAGCTGATCCCCGGTACGACCCGGCTCGAAACGCTACCGCAAGCTTTGCCTGGGTTGGTAAAGAGTTGATCATCTCCGCGGGGACGTTTAATACTCCTCAAATACTGAAGCTTAGCGGTGTTGGTCCAGCGGAAGAGCTAAAGAAGCACAACGTCACTGTGATAGCGGATGTGTCGGGAGTCGGAGAAAACCTTGGGGATAACTACGAGTCAGGCGTGTTGTCTCTCGCATTAAACCCGGTTGAGGGGTTTGGTAAATACTATGCCGTGCAGCTTAAAACGGCAGCTTCAAAGAAAAATCGCGACATATTTCTATGGTAGGTACATTCAACTTCCAGGTATATCAATCTATGCCTATCGGAATTGCTAATAATTGGAATAAATAGGCCTACAAACTCCGCATTTGATGGGTTCTGGCCCGGGTATCCCTCAAATCGAGGCCCAAGAGCATTCACCGTTCCATTCGTCCATATGGACCCCCAAAGTTCGAATAGGGGAACAGTCACTCTTCGCTCTACAGATCCATTTGAACCACCAGATGTAAATTTTCGATTCTTTGAAGGCGATAGCGATGATGATTTGCAAGCTATGGTAGAAGCTGTCAAATTCGGCCAGGAAATAAAGAGGTTGCTTCCGGAAAGCTCCGGCTTGACCCCTTTCGAAGAACTTCACCCTTGTGCAAACGGAGCCAATTGCACTGACGAATATATCAAAGAATATCTCAAGTTACAGGCTTATTCACATCATGCGACAGGAACATGTGCAATTGGCAGCGTGCTGGACTCGAGATTCCGCGTCAAGGGAGTGAAACGTCTTCGTGTGGTTGACGCTTCGGTTTTCCCGAAGCCACCAGGTGCATTCCCAATCCTTCCAACATTCATGATAGCTCAAAAGGCGGCTAGAAACATATTAGAGGATGCTGATGGAATGAAGTAAATTAATACTTGTCGTTTTATGGTTTAAATCCCCTGGGGGCGTGGGCAGAAAGGGGGGAATCTGATATCTAAGGAATCAAGCAAGAATTATCTCAAGGCTTGTCGAATTCCATCAACAACCCAACTGCTCTCACCCACATAACGATGGATACCCTATAAACCCTGCATAATAAACTCTGTTTAACTCCCTGGGAGTATAGATAGGTACTTACCTCTGATGCAATAAATCGCAAGTTGTTAGTGAACTTAACGCCTAGCGCACACACCTCCGATATGTGTAATAAGCTCCTCAATACGATACGGCTTCGTCGTTACGCCGTCCTGGTACCGGAAGTCAGTATTGAATCCAATAGCGTATCGTATAAACTTGACTTGCCATGCCCACTTCCATAGCCCCACTGACCTGTTTACTGCGCACGTTGGCTGTCACTCCTAGAATTGGTATATGTCCTGCAAGTTCCCCATTGGCCTCCAACCTCCGAATCTCTTTCGTAAACTCTATGCCATTCATGACCGGCATTTCTATGTCGCATAGGATAACATCAAACGGTTTCTCCACGTGCGATACCCCGGGCTTGTTATTCTGGACGGCGTCCAGCGCGTCCTTTCCATGGTTGGCGGCTTTCACAACAAAGTTGCGGTTGCGCAGTTGTTTGCACAAGACCTTCTGGTTGACCAGGTTATCCTCAACAACCAGTACCTTAAGTGGAGTATCGCCTCGTGGCGAAGGACTAGAGTCTTGCGGTGTTTCAGGAACACTGCTCCCTCCGTCTTCCGATGACACGGGGATCCCATCTGCTGTTATACTAAGCGACCGGCTTAGTCTAACAACAGGCTTTGGGGGATGAGAGGGTTGACGAGGACGTTCGCGCCTCTGCGTCTTCACGTAAAATGCGAATTTGCAGCCCGACCCGGGTTTACTAGTAAGACCTATCTGACCTCCAAGCATTTCGGTGATTTGGCGAGAAATGAATAAGCCGAGGCCTGATCCTCCGTATTCGATGTGCGTCTTGGGAGACGCCTGAGCGAAACGGTTGAAAACTTGCGCTTTCTCACCCTCAGTAAGGCCTTTCCCCGTGTCTTTGACGGAGAGAGACAGGAATACGTCTGGCTGAGGTTCTTGAGGGTTATCGGGGGAGCTAGCATCAAATACGGGGGTTACAGCTGAATATCTCAGCGGCACATACTCCACTCCCAGTTCGCGTTCTGAAGGGCGATGCGTCGTGGCGGCCACCGTTATAGTAATTTCTTTTATTTTTGACGTCTTGGTGAATTTGATAGCATTTGTAACGAGATTGATTACGATTTGGAGAAACCTGTTGGGATCGAGAAACACATACTCGAGGCCAAGCTGAGACAACGAGCTGTGCTCGACAACCTTCAAGTCGATACCTGTCATCTTCAGCTCCGCATCGAAGATCTTTAATGACGAGCGCACCAAGGCAATCGGCTGTACGAGAATAGGTGATACCACTAACAAGTCAGAATCGAGCTTCGAAACCGTTAATACGTCGTCGACGATTTGTTTCTGGTGCTGTACGCAGTACACAATCGTGTTGGCAGCGTCCAGCGCACTAGTAACTTCATTCTGCAAGACGTCCTTCGCGGAACTGTGTGAACTAGCAGCCAGCTTGCTGCTAAAGAGTACATCGAGCGTAGCGGAACTTCTCTTGGCTGATTCGATGATTTCCTCGCTGCAGTGCAGAACTGCCGATAAAGGATTCCGAATCTCGTGGCTGATCATGTCCATGAACCGCTCCTGTTGGGTTCTCGAACGAATAGCTTCTTCCATCTTGTCCGTCAAAACCTTCACAGCCATCTTCTGACCGCTGATGTCCGTGACCCAGAAATCTATGTGGTCAACTGTTCCATCCTCCCTAAACTGGGAGAATCCTGTAGAGAGAACGTACGCGCCATTGGTAACGGTGTTGTCACCCCCTGAAATGGTATAAGTTTTATTGATTAGTTGAAACTCGACAGATTCGGGCCCGGGGTGCTGGTGGAGCCGATCAAAGAATTCTTTGCAGGGCTGTAAGTAATCTTCGCGAACCCATGGCATCCATGGCTGTGGAATATTCGGAGGGGGGTTCTCGGGTCCGAAGCCGTAGAACGAATGCCAGGCGTGGTTACCATATTGAACGTAGCCATCTCCATCTGTACGACATATTCCGAGAGGGCAGTGCTCTGCATAGTTTCGCCACTTAATCTCTGATTCTTCGAGCGCTTTTGAGCGGGAGATAAGTTGTTGTTCTGTCCACTTAAGCTCGCTTATATCCATCGTGAAGATCATGATGCTTTCCACCTTGTTATCCTCATCCAAGTCCGAATAACAGGCGCAGATCCCAGTCCGATGGTCTGAATACATGTGGCCTCTCCGAAATGGCTCCCTAGAACGAATTTGGAAAGTCCCCCCAGTCTTTTCAGTCAGAACTTTATTTTGCCATTCCCGAAGCATGTCGGCGTCTTCAGGAACCACACTATCCAACCAACTCAGATTTTGTTGGTCGGCAGGGTTTAGACCGGCAAACTTGTACCACGCGTCGTTCGCGTATAGAATCTATCAAAAACTCTTAGCTTCATTCTATAGGGTTGTTTGGTTAGGGCAGTTCCATTTACATTGCCTTTCGCATCAGTTACCGCAAGACCCACGACAGACCGCTCCGCGAACCGAAAGAACCTCATGTCGCTTCTTTTACGATCTAGTTGGGCTCTCTTGGCCAAGTCGTTATGACGTGCGACTTCTTCCGATAGCCTCGCTCGTGATACCTGGGGCGCCACGACGTCCGCTACCAGGTTTAAGAATTCGGAAAACTGTTTGCTGTATCTTCGGTGCGGATTTAGGCCCATTACCATGAACGCCGCTATTCTCGAGTTGTCTTTAATCGATACGACGGCGAATTGATCAGCTAACTTCTCTCCTCTCCAGCCGATTCCATTTAGCAGTTTATCCAGTGACGGGTCGTTGGCTTCTAATATCAGTACTGAGTCGCACTTAAGTGCCTTAAGCATGGTCGGTCCGAACCCGTCGATATCGTAGGAAAGGTCAATGCGTTCCTGCCCCATGATTCGCTCTGGGTCGATTCCAACGGTGCCTTCTAAGTGGCATGGGTAGTTAGGCGGACTAGTGGCAGAATCGATGCCCAATTCCTCATCCAGTGAGTACAATATCACAAAAGGGATGTCCTTGCTGTTAAATCCGAGCCCAGTTAGTAGCGTATGCCAAAGTTCTTTCATATTATTTGCTGTTACCGTATCGCGAGACAATTGTTGAATACATTTGTTCTGCCTTTCGAAAATAACTTCTTCGGTCCTGTTCAAGGGTATGCCGTATGAAGCTACGACCTCTCCATCATCACCGGTTACTGGAATGAGTTTCCAGTCGAAGTAGGTCTCCTCATGGTGGCCATTTCTTTTAATAAGCAGTGTAGTGCCATCGCAGGTTTCGGTTTGGCGAGTTTGGCGTTGCTGGGCGATTTTTCCTGAGAGTTGATCCCAGATTCCAGGTAATATATCAGAAGCGTTCATTCCCATTGACTCAGGATGCTTAGTCCTTAATAGTGGTAGAAACGCTTGATTGTAAATAACGCAGGAGGACTCCCCCCAAAACAAAATTCCTGGGCTTGTGTCAACTAAAAGGAAGCGAGAAATATGTCGAAGTTCTGAGCACCATTCTTTCCTTGCCCCAAAAGCAGTTTTACTCCAATCGACATTGGGAGCGAACTTTTCCAGAGCCCAGAGTGAGATATTAGAGGGTTCCCGGTCTTGATCTGGGGTTCCACTTGCCACTGTTGGCACCTTTTCACGGTCATCTTGTTTCTGGGATACACGCTCTTCTACAGGAGAGCCTGGGTTCTTACGGTTCGGAGCCATCACGACACCGCTGGGTGTTGTAGCTTGGGTCGTGGCTACGAAGCCAAATGGGCATTTAGCCGAATGGACAACGGGTGCTATCGGACATCCAATATGATAGTCACGATGGTACTGACATGATAATGTCTATTTTGTTTCATAAAATAAATGGCGACGTTGACGAGAAGATAAATCTCCCCAGAGAAGCCATATTGTACCCGTCAGCATGAAAAGGGACGAGAACATTCCAAGTTAGTTCACATTACTCGCCAGTTCTACTAGCTATAATTTAATTGGTATGAAGCATTAGGCTTAGATTGAACATTGAAGGGGGTAGGAAGCGTTGGAAGCGTTTCTAAGAAACTACGGGGTTTAAAACGGAGGTTCTGATATGCTCTGATCTCTCCTAATTCCCGTCACGGATGCATCATATATTCAACCAAACTGACTCGAATAAGAGACATAAGAAGTCCAAAATGCACAGTAGGCCAGTTTTACATTTGTTACTAGATACTGTATATATCACAAGTCATTGTTTAGAATGGCACTGAGCAAGGAATTCAAACGCATGTTTATTTACAGACACTTTTTCAGACACGTCTCTTTGTTTACATTGTGATTTTGAAAATTCATATCAAGCTTGTTAAAGCTCGCTGTAGGTACCTTCCTATCTAATGCAACGAGTTACATCGTCGCCCACAAAATACTTCGATAAGCTATAGATCTTGGCCCTATCAGGATCGCGTCTTTCTCAACTGCCGGTCTCCATTAGCCTGGATGCAGTCTGACTAGGATCACGTAAAAACTAGCGCCCGTTACGAGTCAAGCATTAGGTCTTTAGATAATTTTCCCAGTCCGAGGCCCGCCAATTCTATATCACGGAACAACTCTTCCTTAGGTACATTTGGAATTTTTCGATCCCTAAAAAATGGGCTCCCAAATTTCTGGGAAGGATCCTTGGCTAGCTCCAGTTCCACCCAAGGACTTTGTTACAACTATACGTACGGGAAAGATACGGCCTTTCGGAGGGGTTAAAGGTCTATCATCGGCGATTAACAAGCAACCCCGACAAGGCAAGATCCAACTCACGGTAGGGGGTCTCGACGGGGACGAACGTCAATATATCCATCACAAAAGTCCGGATAACGCCATCCATCAATATGATCCCCGCCATTATGAGGAATGGAAGAATATCTTACCGGAGCGAGCTCACAAGTTCAAAGTCGGAGCTTTCGGCGAGAATATCTCCTCCGCCCACCTCTCGGAGGACAACGTATGCGTCGGCGACAAGTTCCGTTTTGGGCCCGAAGCCATCATTCAGGTCACCATGCTCAGACAGCCTTGCTATAAGCTAAATCATAGGTTTGAATATAAGAAAATGTCGAGGCTTATCCAGAGCACTGGTTTTACCGGGTGGTACTATCGTGTTCTACAAGGAGGCCCCGTACAGGAAGGTGACGAGATCGAATTGATTGAACGTATCAATGCACACTGGCCCCTCTCTAGAATACACCATGTCCTCTATACGGACTTTAACAACATGGAGGCCGCCGAGGAAATTGGTAAATTAGAGGGTCTGAGTAACGAGTTCATTAAGCTGTTCCAGAAACGACTCTCCAACGGGACTGAGAACATGAACGGGAGGCTTCTGGGCGACTTTGCCGTGCCATGGCAGCTATTTAAGTTAGTTGAGAAAACCAGACTGACCCCACGAGTCCAAAAGTTCGTCTTCGAGAATGAAGAATCCGAGATAGACATGGGAGACCTGAATTTCGGGCGCTTTCCACATGTGCGACTCAGGTTTGGGCCAGATACCAATTTCACCCGGGCTTATTCGGTCGTGTCAGGAAACATGAAATCCTTCGAATTGGGAATTGCAAAAGATGACCATTCGAGAGGCGGATCGTTATTTCTACATGATAACCTGAAGGTTGGCGACGTTTTGGAGATAGCTAAGGGACACAACGCGGTCATTCCTATAATAAGCGATGATCAGGCCGATACATCAACGAGACACATCTTTATCTTGGGTGGCATTGGTGTCACAGCCTTTATTGGTGAGATAAAAGCACTTGCAGAGAAAGCTGCGAACTTCGAAATCCACTACGCTGTCCGCAGCAGAGACGAGGCTGCATACCTTGATCACTTACCAGCCAGTAAGACCACTGTTTACGCGAAGAATGAGGGCAATCGCCTAGATATAAACACGCTCATTCCGCCGCTAGAAAATTGCGTGGATAATTGTAAGCCTTTAGTATACTGCTGCGGTCCCTCGTCGTTACTTGACGCATGTCGGGACATGACAACGAAGCTGGGATATCCCCGGTCGCAGACCCATTTCGAGGAATTCGGCAGTGCTAGTACGGGCACTGGAGATCCCTTCGAAGCCGAAATTAAAAATATTGGACAGGTTCTTCAAGTCCCCGGAGAGAAGTCGTTATTGGACGTCCTTAACGAAGCTGGCTTCGAGATTGACTCTTCGTGCCTCGTGGGCAATTGTGGGACTTGCATGGTGACCCTCTGCGAAGGAGAGGTTGCTCACCAGGGAGTAGCACTCGAAGAAGAACAGAAGGAAGGGAATATATTGACTTGCGTGAGTCGTGGCAAGGGAAGGATTCTGATTGATTGTTAGGATTGTTAGGGAGATCAGACCTGTCCTCGAGCATTAGCGTTCCTTGATACCACATATTAGTCCAACTCTCATAAGTTATAAAAGAAATGCCACGTGAATCTATGAATGGGAACTTATTGGCAAGGCACTTGTCCTGTGAACATCATTGTGGAATTGTCTACTATATTGTCAGTGCCGAAACTCGTGGACTGCCGTGTTCTGGCCGGTTCGGCGCCCGGCAATCCTGACATTACGGCTAAACTGCCGAGATCTAAGACCACAACCACTGGGAGGAGTAAGATTTATTGGGCATCTCACAGTCAACACCCCCCACCTCCATATGACCTAGAGTAGGCGATAAATGTATTTATTATTAATGAGCAGCATGTTTTGGAGTCAAGATCGTACAAAAATAGTAAGCGACTGGTGTAATATAATCTAACTCGCTTGAGAGAAGGTATGTCCTTACCTTTCTCCATGTGCCATTGTGTTTAAGCCGGATATATAAGCCAAAATGAGGAGGACTGAGGCAAAATTCAGGAGCCCCTCATTTTCCGGCTTCGCTTCATACAAAATGAAGAGGCAACCTCAGCGCGACACCGATCATGGCCAGCCTAGCTGGAAATTGCACAATTCACATACCTTTGAGATAAAACCGAAGCAATGATCTATTCGTTACTTTTTGTAGGCGCGGGTCTCGCCTCGCAGGCCTTAGCAGCTTGCACTCGAGAATCGCTTCAGGCGGCCACAGCGGCGTACGTCAAAGCGCAAGCAGCGGGAGACCCGAATCTTCCCGGTCTGTCTAGCAACGTCAGCTACCTGGAGAATGATGTCCCGGGGGATATCAAGAAGGGCATTCTAAGCCAAGCCATCAGCATCGACTTCAACCGCAGCCTGTACGACACGACCCAGTGCGCCACGTTCACAGAGCTGTCGGCGGCATCCAACAAGAACCCGTACGTAATCCACACGCGGCTGCTCTTCACCGGCGACAAGATCACGACCGTGCAGTCGGTCGTCGCGGACCAGGGCGACTGGGCGTTCAACGCGACGGGCCAGCTCTACTGGACGAAGCAGGAGAAGTGGGATCCGATCCCGGAAAACAAGCGCGACAAGCGCGAGGTCATCCAAGCCGCGGGCGACGCATACCTCGACAGCTGGAGCGACGGGACGGTGAAGGTGCCGTACGGTACGCCGTGCGCGCGTCTCGAGGGCGGGTCTTACACGGGGGGCACGAGACCGACGGCCAACACGTGCTTCATGCCGCAGTTCCCCGAGGCTTTCACGATTGGAAATCGACGATATGTTATCGACGAAGAAGTTGGCGGGCTGGACATCTTCAACGACTTTCCGTTCATCGACGCCGGGAAACCAGACGGTACGCCGAGTACCAACTTTATCAGGGTCGAGGGCGGTAAACTCAGGTATATCCACGAGGTTACTGTGTGCACGACTCGGAACTGTGGAAGATGAAAGGGCTGGTCTAGTGGTGCATATATGTACCTAACCTAACCTAGCTTACGTAGAAGATTTCAGAAGAGGATGAGAGAACTGGTCACAAGGGGCCGTGTTAACTAAGTACTTTCGTTCTGTTACCTTCAATGGTCAATATCAGGTGCCTACAAATGTTTATTGTGTAGGGTTTTATTTATTGTTGAGGGTTCTGAAGGTACAGGTATAAGGTACCTAGGTATGTAATTCGTGGTATCTGCCTTACCTTAGGTAGGTGTGTACCTGATCTACTCTAGCGACAGGAAGGTTAAATATCCTAAAAACATACCTTAGGTAGTAACGTACAAGAACCGGGCTGGTCAGGTTGGTCGGGTGGTATTAAGTGGCAATTCACACAAGTAACGAAGTCAACCACCAAATATTTAGGAAATATTATTATAGATGGACGAATGGAAGAATCTTACAATTACTTTTTGAGTTCGGACCTAGCTGGCTAAGGAGAGCCAAAATAGGGAGAAAGCTGACGATCGCAGAGGAACATGAGTTGCACTAGGACCCGTTGATGCAGGCTACGTCAGATTGGATTAGGGGGGACTCGCTCTGACGGACTGGTGGGGTAACACGACATCGAATGTGTGGGGGAAGCGGAAAGTCTATTATTGGTGAGTCGGTTTTAGCGTCATGCATTCCCCCGTCAAACAGCTAAGTTAGGTTAGGTACAGGTAGGTCTAGGTAGGTAGACAGGGTCTTCGGCCTCAGTCGCTTATCGGATGCTTCTCACCCTCCAAACAATTTCAACCATTCAGGTCTCCATCGACGACATCTTGCAGCAGAAACACGGCGAAACGGCAGCATAAACGGGCATCGCGACAACCCGGAGTGGTCATTATCTTAACTCCCTAACTCTTCGACTCCCCGATCCTCCCAGCTTCCCCCAGCTCTCCCCAGCTCCCCCGCACTCCTATTATTATTATTCCGATTACGTGCATTGACATACATACCTGTATTGCATCACATCACATCACATCATCACATCTCATTATTTCCTTTCGATATTTAGTGATACATATATTAGAGGTACCTACGGCCCTACCATCGCATTCTTCTCTCTACTCACTTGATTGGCGCCCTTGTCTTATAAACAAAAACAAACTGATTCAGGTATGCAAAACCAACGAACTTGCTGTGAGTAGACATTAGTTTAGGCAGCAAGTAATTTATAAAGATACCTTTTTAGTTATTTAATTTCACTTGTTATTGAGAATACCTAGGTATTGCCTCGCAATTTTTGCATTTTTATCCAACATGGAAACTCAAGTTTTTATTCCTTTTAGTCCCCTAAAGTCCCATTCCGACGCCATGGCACAACGCAATATGTCCGACCCCAAGGAGAGATTCTTTCGATATTTCCAAGCCGAAATAACTGGTAAGGTGGTTTTTTTCTTTATGCTTGGGTTCACTACCTCGTACCACAAGTTTCCTTTAATAACTGACCCATCGAAAGCTATCCAGGGCCAAATCGATGACCTCGCAACTATGTCTCCCGTCGGCGGCGAGAGGCAAGACTGCGTCGACACGATTTTGGCTGGAATATCCCGCCTCTCTAACGAGGTTATGGATGCGGGTGATTACATCCCCGCCTACGACCAACGAACATATGCTCAGGTATTACTACCTACCTAGTGACCCCCCTTCATAAACAATAGCCCCTTTTTTCTCACATGTAGGCAGGCCATGAAAGCCCTCACCGACAAACTAAACGAGACGATGGCCATGTTTGCACCCAAGTCACGCTTCCAGTTTAAGTCGAAATCTTCCAAGCCTGCTTCCGGGACAGACCAAACTCAAGTTGATTCCCGCCAACGAACCTCCTTCAGCAACGTAGGATCCAAGTATTTACCGGTTCTCGATGCGGCGAAGCGCGACGCCGCAGGCACCGCCGCCGAGATAGCGAAGAGCTACAATGAAGAGCTCGAGCACCAGTCGGGCGTGAGAAAGCCGAGCTTTTCCAACGCCAAGAGCATTTCCATCTACGACCACTCGGGATTACACATCATGCTACCCTCCACGGCCTCGAGGGCCACTTCTTCCGGAAGCCTGACGAATCTCGAGCGGTGTGTTGTGGATATGACGGCCCCTACGAGCGCGGGGACGCCATTTGCAGGATTGGCGCTGAAGAATATCAACCAGAGCTTGATTATCGCCGGCCACGTCGCGGGACCTATATATATCACCGGACTGCGGAATAGCATCGTCGTGGTGGCTGCGCGACAAGTTCGGATCCACGAGTGCGAGAACGTCGACTTGTACCTCCATTGCTCGAGCCACCCTATTATCGAAGACTGCTCTGGGATGCGATTCGCCCCTCTACCGGAGCTCTATGTGAGTGCCCTTTTTTTTTCCTTAATTTTTTTTTCATTTGTATGTGCGAAGCGCTAACCAGGCGGGGATAGGCGACGAAGCTGGAGATCAAGGGCGAGAACCAATGGGACCAAGTCGACGACTTCAAGTGGCTGAAGAACGAACCGTCTCCGAACTGGTCCGTCTTGTCCGAGGAGAAACGCATCCCGGAAGACGTCTGGAAGAATGCCGTCTGTGGAGGCCCTAGTCTGAGTACGGTTGATATACTGCGTAAAGTTGGTATTCTCGATTCATGACGCTGTTGAGACAGTACTCCTGAGCACCACTCCGAAATCGTCTCTTCAAAATTTGTATAAGTCAGGGTCTAGCGTACGGCGTCGGTTTCTTTATTGTTTTATCAGGTATCCTTAACAATGTTGATGCTGTATTAAACAATAGCTTGGAGGAGGTAGTTCCTAATAATGATGAACTCTCATTCCATTCGTACTCTTGGTTCTCCTGAATACTGTCCTGGTGGTATCGTATCGTATCGTATCGCATCGTATGCAACCGTATCATACCGTATCCTGAACACCGAAACTCCACGCCCAAGTAAATAAATAGAGGCCTCTACACCCAGCGTCCCTCCGCGTTTCTCATCTCTCTTTTCCTCCCGTCTTTAGGTAGGTGTAGGTACTAGCATAAAACGGCAAGAGGCAATCATCCTCGCTTAGTCCACAACCATCCTATCGCCATCTCCGTCGTCCTGCTGCGCCGCCAACCGCGCGCCCATCTCCCTTAGCTTATCCAGCATGTCGCGCTGGCGCGCGAGCCTGGCCTCGAGCGCGGCGATCTCGGCCTCCTGGTCGGGTATGGCGCGTGTCATGTCCGGCAGGCCGCGGATGAGGGCGCGGGCGCGCTGGAAGCGGTGCTTGAGGACGTCGGCGGCGGGCGGGATCTCTTTCAGGGACAGCTCGCCGGTGTTGGAGGTTGTCGTAGCGCCGTTGTTAGTCTGCGCCTGGGACTGGTTCTGCGGGTGCGGATGCGAATGCGAATGCGGATGCGGATGCTGATTTCGCTGGGACGAGGGCGTGGGCGCGGGTGTGTTGCCTGTTGCGGTGCTGGAGGGCGTGCGGAGCCGGTTGAGGAGCACGGCGAGCTCGGTCAGGGTGTCGAGGGTGTCGGGGTTGAGACCGTCTGGCATGGCGAGGACTGGAGTTTTAATTGGCGCTGTTGTTGATGCCATTGTGAAAGAAAGAATCGGAACGTGTTGTCTTAATAGAAAAATGTGTTGTTTAATATGAGATTTCGGGTGTAGATTTACAACAAAGACATTGAGATCTAGGTAAGTGCCTAGGTAGAATCTAAACACCAAGAGGTGCCTACCTAATGCAAACACAATTTGCGTCAATGAGTTAGGTACCAGGTACCTAAGCTTAAAATGTTTTTTACGTAAAGGTGAACCTTGAAACTTGCATCGCGTCGGAGATCTGAGATGGTCTTTTCCGACATAATGTGGGGTTCGCGCATTGACGTCAAGTGAAAATTCACCCTCTCAGCTTCTGACAAGCCTCAAGGAGGGGTTATCCAACCAACTCCTCTTGATTATGTATACTGGTACTGGATTTTTATCATTAACATGATGCAAGTTATTTCAGTCCGATATCTTGAAATTCTTTCCTTTCGGCTTTATTTTTTTTTTCTTTACGGCCCTTTCCAATACGATATAGACTCATACATTTACAAATATGGCATAGTTCATACTAAAATCCATTATACCTAACGTGATAGAGTAATAGGTACATCACCTGAGGGTAATAATGGCGAGATAAATGTTTATCGATAGGAGATGAAACCCAATCAAACCCCCACTATAAGCCAATTCCTAGCTCATAGCAGCCCACCATCATGCGAAACGGGGAAACAGCTCAACAACTTCAAAGTCCCAAGACATTTTATTTTATCTCCGTTACAAAATAAAATCACTCAACATTCCTCTTTAACTTTTCTTTCCTCCTTCTCTAAATTCCAAGCTTGGAAGTGAAGTGAATTTATATCATCATTAGAAAGAAGAAGAAGAATAAATTAAATATTAAATAATAAACCATAAACAATGCCTGAGCCAAAGCAAAAGGCGTGTCTGAGTACGTCTTACCCTTCTATTTCTTCTATTTCTCTTGCCCCTTCTCCTCATATTATATCCCGAAATGAACCCAGAAAGCCTAATTATTTCGCTTTTGCTTGCTACTTCCTCATATACCTCGAGATTGGATGGCTAATTTTCTACGCCTTACGAACTTATAGTCGTGATTGATGGTTGGGGTATCGCCTCCGCCGACTCGCCCAAAAATGGCGATGCTATCGCTGCTGCCAACACTCCCGTCATGGACGATCTATCCAAGAGTGCAACAGGCTTTACCGAGTTAGAAGCTTCTTCACTAGCTGTTGGGCTTCCAGAAGGCCTAATGGGTAACTCGGAAGTCGGACATTTGAACATCGGAGCTGGACGAGTGGTATGGCAGGATGTTGTCCGAATTGACCAGACCATTAAGAAGGGAGAGCTCGCCAAGAATGAGGTCATCAAGAATGTATTGGAGAGAGCCAAAAACGGGACTGGAAGGCTTCACCTCTGTGGTCTGGTCTCTCATGGTGGCGTAGTACGTTAAACTTGTTCTGAATTCTTGGAACATTTCTCTCGCTAACTCGAGTATTTAGCACGCCAAACAAACTCACCTATACGCTCTCCTAAAAGCCGCCAAAGCTGCCCAAGTCCCTAAGGTGTACATTCACTTCTTCGGCGACGGTCGTGACACCGACCCCAAGTCCGGAGCCGGCTATATGCAAGAGCTTATCGACACCGCTAAGGAGATTGGTATCGGCGAAATTGCTACCGTTGTCGGTCGATACTACGCCATGGACCGTGATAAGCGATGGGAGCGAGTTGAAATCGCCCTGAAGGGTATGATCCTGGGAGAGGGTGAAGAAAGCTCCGACCCGGTTAAGACCGTTAAGGAACGATACGAGAAGGGCGAGAACGATGAGTTCCTTAAGCCCATCGTTGTCGGTGGCCAAGAAGCCCGAATCAAGGATGGTGATGAAGTTTTCTTCTTCAATTACCGATCCGATCGTGTCCGACAGATCACTCAGCTTCTAGGTGGCGTTGATAGGTCGCCTCTGCCCGACTTCCCTTACCCTAAGATTAACCTAGTCACCATGACACAATACAAGGCGGACTACCCCTTCGAGGTTGCCTTCAAGCCTCAACATATGGGCAACGTATTGGCTGAGTGGCTTGGCAAGCAAGGTGTCAAGCAAGTTCACATTGCTGAGACCGAAAAATACGCTCACGTAACATTCTTCTTCAACGGTGGTGTTGAGAAGGTCTTCCCTCTAGAGATCCGAGATGAATCTCAGGACCTGGTACCTTCCAATAAGTCCGTCCCCACATACGACAAGGCCCCTGAGATGAGCGCCGATGGCGTTGCCAAGCAAGTTTGCAAGCGACTTGCGGAGCAAGAATTCCCGTTCGTCATGAACAACTTTGCTCCTCCGGATATGGTTGGCCACACAGGTGTGTACGAAGCAGCCATCATTGGTTGCGAAGCCACCGACAAGGGCATCGGCCTAATCCGCGAGGCCTGCAAGAAGGAGGGATACATCCTCTTCATCACCGCCGACCACGGCAACGCTGAGGAGATGAAGTTCCCCGACGGCAAGCCTAAGACTTCTCACACCACCAACAAAGTTCCCTTCATCATGGACAACGCGCCTAAGGGCTGGTCGTTGAAGAAGACTGACGGTGTCCTTGGAGACGTCGCCCCGACTATCTTGACTGCTATGGGTCTACCAGTTCCTGAGGAGATGACTGGACAGAGTCTGTTGATTGTTGAATAAATAGATTTTTTTTTTTTCACGAAGCATTACATTAGACTACTGGTAGTCTAGATGAGGAGTTGTTGGTAGGGTTTAGGTAGAGGTGACATGGGAGGCGTAGAGATACCAACCGTATTAGACGACAAATATGGTTATTAAAAAAATAGAAATGTTTAATGAGTTTTTTTGTTTCTTGTTGATTTAACTGTGAAATGTTGAGTACCCGGAATTATTTAGAAGAGGTTTGTCGTTATGTTATATACTGTCAACTAAGGTACCTTGGTAGGAAGGTACAGGTACTCTACCTCTTATAGTTGCAAATATTTAATAAGTATATGGAAAATATATGGGATACCCCTGTTAATTGCATATACCTACTCGTTTACGTGCTAGCGCGCACACTGAGTTTGACAATTCCAAAACTTCAATCACTTCAACAACTTTTTGACCGCAGCCCCACCAAAACCGACTTTTTCCTTGAACCCTTCGACCCATCGCGAAAGGACTCGGTTCGACATCCCCCCCTCCTCCCCCCCCCATCACAACCACCACCTCCCAAGATGGATTCCGAAGACCCCCAAGAGCGTCCCGAGGACGTTAGCAACATTATTAATGGCCTGGAGCGATACAATCCCGAAGCTGTGGGAAACCTGGAGGATTACCTGCGCCACCAGTGCGAGAACAGATATACCGACTCCAACGCGAACCGGACATTACTAAAGCTGTGAGTGAATGCCCCGAAGTGAAGAGTTTTTACATGATGTTATAACTGTCTTCTTCGGTTGGAATGACGATTAAATCATCCACGTTTCCTATTACCTGACCATCAGCGACGTCTAATCAACGTTCGTTGTTTTGTGATGTTGTATATTTATTAGCTCTATCTGACCTCTCCAAGTTGACATTGGAATACTCGTCAAGATTAATATTCGTCAAGATTTCTAATATTGCAATACCACGGAAAGCTAACCATAAATAACAAATTTCTAGATATCAACTTAACCCCGACCGAGTTAAGGATGAGGTCATCACAAATATTCTAGTCAAGTCCCTCACTCTATTCCCTTCGCCGCAGTTCTCCCTGGCCCTCCACCTGATCCCTCCCCACCTCGTGGCGCCTAACCAGCGCGCCGAGCTGCCCGAGGCCATCTCCAAGCTGCGGGAGCTCAACATCCAACTGCAAGGTGCGCAGTACGCTCGTTTCTGGGCGACGCTGGACTCGGACGATCTATATGCCGATCTGACCACGGACATCGACGGCTTCGAGGAGCTGATCCGCGGTCGCATCGCTACCCTCATCAGCCACGCCTACCGCGAGATCGAGCTGTCTGTGCTGGAGCAGTGGCTCGGCCTCGAGGGCCAGGCCGCCCTGAAGTTCGTGTCGGAGACCGCTGGCTGGAAGGTGGAAGACGGCCTGGTCAAGATTCCCCGCAACGCCGAGAACGAGGCCAAGAAGAGCGAGGTCCGCGAGGATGTCAACGTGGACATGTTCTCGAGAGTCATCAGACGGGCCTGGGAAGAGACCGTATGATCTCTTGTTTCCTACGTAATCTACCTAGGTACCCAAGGTTCAAGTTGGTCAGAGGGGCTACGTCTTTTTGGCGGTTAACAGTGATGGATCCGGTAGCGAGGCTGAAAAAAAAAAACAGCATTTGGGGAAGACGATAAATTACCTACGTCTTTGGCGTTATGGATGACGAGTTCGGAATTCTTCCGGATTTAATGTGCTGTTTACTCCCTGCCGTCGTTAGATAGGCAGCCGATGAGATATCAGAAACGAATAAAAATCACGATCTGAATGAACTTGATGCAATTTTTTTTTTCCCTATCCTTTCGTAGTCTCGTTACTTTCATTAGTCTCTTACCTACTTCCTCCAAAGCTTTGTATCTGGACATGTAGTCCTCACAGTCCTCTAAGCCATGCAAGTTGAATTACTTGAGAGACCTTGTCGAACAGAAGCTGAGAGTAATAGGTAGAAATCTAGTATACTTCATGCATTTAGTCCCTTTTCCATGTCATTCAGTCCTAATCCAGGTACCTAACTAACCCCCCTTACTACCGTCGAGCACCCGTAGCAGTCAACTCCTCCCATTGCACCCCAGCCCACTCTTCCAGATACCCAACCTCTCCCTCTGGCACGCCACGAGCCTGACAATCACGCTCACACACTCCGACGATAACCGTGCCCCAATCCATTCCCTCGAGCGACATATCATCAGCCTCGAGCTCCGTAATCGCGTGCGGCGTCATCTGCACCTCGAAAGTCCGCGGGCCGCCGCAGTTCCCGCACCGCGGCATGCCCTTCCCCGCCGCAGCGGCCGTCGTAACCATCCCGTTGCCGGCGCTAGGAGCAGCGAATAGCTTGCCCACGGCGTCGGTCTTCGAGTACAGTAGGGGCTGCCCGCCGAACTCGTACCGGATCGCTTGTTCCGGGTTCTGCGCCAGGCGGTCGGCGAAGCGCTGGAAGGCGGCGTCCATCGAGGACTCGAACACCTCGCGGTCCTCTTTTCCGCCCTTGCCGCTGCCGCTGCCGCTCCCGTCGTCGATGTCCATGCGCGTGTTTTGCGGGATGGCGGGCGCGGGCGTGGGGTCCAGGGTCTCGTATTCGGCTTCGGAGAGGTAGGCGACGGGGTAAGGGGGTGGTTGGTCGGCTTCGGCGGGCCAGGGCTCGGAAAGGGTTGGAGGGGTGGTGGGGGGTTGTTGCTGTTGTTGGGTGTTGTTTAGGTTGAGGGTTTCGGCGAAGGTTCGCGGGAGCGACTTTACGTCGTCTGTGGAGGATTGTGTGGAGGATGATGGTTTGGGCTCGGGTGGAGGGGGAGGAGGAGAGGTGGTGGTGGTGGAGGTGGGATTGCTGAATGGGTTTCCGCTCGTGGCGAACGGATTACTGCCAGCTGAGGAGGTAGATGATGTGGAAAATGGGTTCGCAGAACCAAAAGGAGAGCCTATCGTCTTAGCGCCGAAGAGCGTCTCTCCTAGATTAGACGGAGGTTGCGATTTCGGTTTTTCTTCTTTGGGCTTTGGTTTCTCCTCCTTCGTTGTGATGGGTGCTGTCGCGCTTCCGGGGGCTATTCTGACACTGCGCAGAGCACGAATACTTCCCTCCTTCCGACGACATGTCTTCCGCCGGCAGGAAAAGACGTACAGTCGGCGCTCGTGGCCTGGGAAGCGATCTGGTAGTTCGCCGTCTAGCTGTAGTAGTAGGACCATGAGATCCTTGCAAATTTTGCATTGTGCCAGGGCAGCTGATGGCGCATTATTCGGATCCAACCACTCCTATAAACCAATGTCAATTTTTATTGTCCGTCGCAAGGCCAGAACGAAATTGCCATTATAACATACCGGACGACCACCTAATCGACTTATACTGTCATCGCCTGAATCTCTTGATGCATATCCTAGGAGCACGTTGGTCTCGGTAAAGTCATCTTCCTCGCCAGCTGACGAATCGCTATCATAAGGCGCCATCTTGCGATTATATGCGCTTTAGCAATTCAGATATGTATATTCTCGTTTCGCGTTTCGTTGAGTTTGAACTTTGTCGCAACTTTTTTTTTTCTTATCAATCTGGAGGGGTTTGATGGAGGGGCTTATCTGGAATACCTTGGTACTTCGTACGGTATCAATTTAGACAGTTCTTATTTATTCACACACTGTATTGTACTAGGCACCTACCTAGGTACTCTGTATAACACCAGTGAAGAGAGCTTCATAACCCCTTCATAACCCCTATCTCCCCCTCTTTCCATAATCTTCAACACAGGTCATTTACACCGTTCATATATATGAAACAATTATTTCTATTTCTCTATGAAATCTTTAGCTAACTGAATTTCTAGTCGTCATTTACTTCGAATGATTTAAGATCACTTAAATAATTTCAATTCTTGTTGAAAACCCGTCGACTTTCGAGAGTTAAAACTGAAAAGTAAAGGAACAATTAAGATATTCTTGTACATGTTGCAATTTACATGTAACGAGATACAGAAGTTTTCATAGAGAACTAGAGGGTGAATTCATGACTAGCCAATTTGAACCTCAAGTATCAGATGTTGATAAACAGATGTTGTGGAGTTAGTATGGACATCTCTGCGGCATCTGATTCCATCACTGACTATGAAATATCTACTATAGTAAGCCACTTCTAGCAACCAGGTGATGATTGGATACACGTGGACCCAAGCACTAACACCACCTAGAGGTGTGCATATGTTGGAGTGCAGATGGAAAGGATCCTAAATGTTTTTGAAAGCCTTTTTTTTGGAATAAGTACCTACGTCTAACACTTACCAGAATGAGACCAACTAGCATATCGACGTCTACCGAGACGTCTTCCTGCAACTGTATGTGTTAGCCAGAGATCTTGAAAGCCTGGAACCTGTCCCAACATTCCTTCCTGCCGCCAGCCACTGCTCATTTCTAGCGAATGGAGAAACGCATGTCTCATCAATACTATGCATCGGACTCCGGGAATGGCCGTTATGATAATACCACTAGATATACTTGCACTGAGGGTGTTGTAGGTAATGGTGGAGTGTGGAGAGATCCGTAACTTGGAAATCCTAAGCACGAATACAATGATATATACTCCCCCCCTCACCTCCGCCCCCGTCAACTTTTATCAAACTTATCCTACTAATGCAAACTACCGCCTGCTTCAGGTACACCACAACCATGTCACCAAAGTTCCTTATAAAAGATGTCCGTATCTTTGACGGTGAAAACGATATTTCATCTGGCAGTGTCCTTGTTGAAAACGGCTTGATCAAGCAAGTGGCCGAAGGATCCCTAACAGTGGCAGATGCATCTACTATTGTAATCTCCAAACCGGGACACACGCTGATTCCTGGACTTATTGATGGGCATGTTCATGTATATATGGACGAAGAAAATTCGGCACTAAAGCAAAGCTTGAAATTTGGCCTTACTACTATCTGTGATATGCATCAGGAGGCCAAGAATGTCAGTAAACTAAGGGAACTTGCTGAAGAACCAGATGCGGCAGATTACAAGACCTCTAGCCAATCCGCAACTATATCCGGAGGGTGGCCAGAGCCTATCATAGCAACCCATCATCATCCGGATGAGGTAAAAAATCTCTTAGGCTTGGGAACAATGGGATATGCTAATGCGATAATAGGTAAGGGCAATGACATCCAGCTGGCCAGACATCCAAAGCAATGATGATGTCGATGCTTTCATAGCAAATCGCCTTAAAGATAAGGCGGATTATGTAAAACTGATGCACGAAGATGGCCACGCTCTATCATTGAAGGTCAAAAAGATGCCAGTGGAGCTTCAGAAAGTCATTGTTGAATCTGCCCACCGGAACGGCCTTCTAACAGTTGCGCATGCTCTGAGTCTCCATGGGACAATGGAGATGTTACAGGCTGGCGTTGACGGAATGGCGCATACTTTCTGCGACCGATCTCCTACCCAAGAAGTAACGGATGCATATTTAGCAACAAATGCGTAGGCCTCAATAATTTCAAATTCCAAGGCTTCGCTGTCAAGGTTTCGGGTCTAACGAGTTGAATCTAGATTCTGCTGCCCAACCCTAGCGGTGATCGCTAGTCTGACTGGAGAAGGGCTGGGAGAACAGAAGAGATCCTGCCAGGACCCCCGAGCTCAAAAGTACTTGAACGATCAAGACGTAGAAAGTCTTCATAGATGCATAGGACTTGGTAGCAGCGAAGCCAAGGTGGAACATGCTTACGAAAGTGTGAGGCAGCTGAAAGCTACCGGCGTGGATATAATTTTGTAAGTTTACTAAAGAGAAAACACCTCATATGTGCTGGCAGCTAACCCTCCATCTAGGGGAACCGACTCTGCCCGTTCGGCTCACGGAACTGCTTTTGGTCTGAGCGCGCACCAGGAACTCGGCCTGCTTGTCAAAGAATGTGGCTTTACGCCGAAAGAGGCATTGAGGGCAGGGACTGCTGTAGTAGCTAAGAGACTGCGTTTTAACGATAGAGGAAGAATTGTGGAAGGGCTACGGGCGGATTTGGTCTTGGTAGAGGGAAATCCGCTCGAGGATATCGATCAAACGCTCAACCTCCGTGGCGTTTGGAAGAAGGGCACTCTCTGTTCAACATACAACGGAATCGCAACATAGACGGCCAAACACCATCCGATATGAAATGAGATGTCTCTAGGACCTAACGATCATACTAAAGTAAGATCATATCTAGAGTTTTACTTCCTACTCATCTACTTGATGGATAACGTCAAAGTGCAATATAGATGTCTCAATGCATTGGACGTCGTAGTAGTACTATTCGAACGAAGAATAACCGTACCCCAAGGCGCCCTAGACTTTATATCACTATGACCTCCCATCTGATAGATGCATGATTTGAATATGAGGAAAGCAAATAACTTCTTAATTCCCTAGTACCAAGGTCCCTGTTTAGTTGGTTCGAATTTGCACATATGCGAAGCGCATATAAGTGAAAACTTTTGACCACTTTTCACATCCGAATTGGTGTAGTGGCTAACATTTGACGCTCTCATAATGGCTATCCAGTCATAGGATCCGTCAAGCCCGGGGTTCGATTCCCCGATTCGGAGTTTATTTTTATTTATTTATTTATTTATTTTTCCTTACAAAAAATTATTAGTTGCTTTTCTTTTTTGTGGGAAATGGTTATTCTCAAACTCCGGTTTTTATTGTGGTTCCCGATACAACCGGGCAATGTTAGTCGGTAAAATCTAGGCGAATGTTAATCCCACTCGGAAAATATTTGTCAAATATCCACAAGAACTATTTTGTCTCTATGTCATATTAGACGTAGCCAATACTTTATTGACGACCGACACTCGGTCGAAATATGGGGAGAAAATTGTTACATGCACTGTCTTGGTTATAATATTGCATCCTAACCATTCTCTTGAATACTTGACACAGAACAATACCAGATAGTCTCTATTTACTACCTACCTTGTGCTTAGCTAGCACAGATCTCTCTCTTTTGAACACAAATTTCTATTCCTCTATAATCTCACTACTAGTGATACATAATCAAAATTTAATGGGAGAAAAGAAAAATGACAAATATTGGTAGCGGGCTGTGGATTGAATTAATATACAGTTACACTTCAGAGGTGCTTTTCCACCATTAACTCCTATAACCCAGGCCGTGGAATATCTCCATTCACTTTTAACTTAATGGAATTTGGAATTAGATTCTGTGACATTAACACAAGTTCAAAAGCGTCACTTGCAAGTTATACCCAACACCTATCGTCATCTATCACTACTTAGCAAAATCACCAACAATGAGCCCTACATCTACAGAACTACACCAAAACAGATTGCAAGATACGCGAGTTTTCTTACTTACTTAAATTACCAATCCCTAAGTCTGAGACTCCTTGGATATGGCGATGTCAGTAATGTCTTTTCTAAGTTACTAGCCATTTCCGGCAAAAAAAAAAAAAAAAAAAAAAAAAAGAAATCGTGTTGATCAGTACCCAAGGTATTACATACATACGTGCCTATACCTACTTGAATAGGTACCCAAATGGTTGGACACTTGTATGTAACTTCACGGTTTTTGTAGCATATCTGAATCGGTACCGATGCAATTTTGACATCCCAATCCTTTATGCTACAGACACTCTCCACGCTACTTAAACATGGGAGTTATCTATTGTCTTCATTCTCGTCGCCCTGTCCATTCCAAACGTATTTCTCCTGTTGATCGATATTTTTGATACCTTGAACCCTTTTATGCGGCCAGTCCTTTTCCTCGTATGAGTACATTATAGATAGGTACCTACTTAGCAAATTAGGGAAGAGACTGAATAGATGTATCTCAATATGTCGGAATATGAGGGATCGGACCCTACGGCGCGTTCAGCTCCCAAAAACGAGCTGCCTGGGCCAAAATTGTCGAACGAGGTATCGCAAGAAATGCTACCCAGCCCACCGCGCCTCCTAAAAAAAGACTCTCTGTTGGACCCAGCAGTTCCATTTACTACCATAATCCAACCGGGGACTACTATACTTCCCACTCTAAATACTCCGACCGGCATCACACCATCGTCCGTGGCCAGAATCACGACTACTAGCACGCCGGCAATACCGCAGCCCACATTCCCCGCGCCTTCCCAGACGCCGCCGAACACCCTATTGATTATAGTGATATCTTTCGGGGGCGCAATGGGGCTAATCTTCTCGCTTTGCCTTGGCTTCGCGTGCTATCGATCATGGCAGCGTCGCAGACGGCAGAATGCAGGCGAGCAAGCGAATGCCAGCCCCGAAGCTGGCCAAAACGCGCCCGCCCAGCCGGAGAGTAAACAGCAGGGTAGCAATTCGCTCGAGGCGAACGAGAATGGTGTTAGCCCTTTTAGATCGCCTTCAAACCATTCGACGCCGAGGGCAACTGGGGGGCAACACACGGGGGCTTCGCTGGGGACGTCTTCGGGCTCTACGATGCACGCTGGGACATCGGGGCGGACATAGGGGTTATGAAATGGTCATATGACTTCGGATACTACCTGATTTAGGCATGATTTAGGCATTTGAATTAGTTACTTAAGATGTATGGGGAGGTATTAATATCATGCATGCTTTTGACCCTAGCAGTTTATCTACTTAGGTCGAAAAAGACTCAGATGGAGTATAATATTTAATTTAGGTAATACAGCAATTTATTGATCAACTGGAAGAGATTTCTCTAGTAACTACCAAACATCAGCTTTGTGTTGCTTGCGTGTTGAGTGATGATGTACCGGTCGTATGGTACAAGTACGTACCTAATACGTTTTGTACCTAAATGAAGCAATTAAATCCCGGCTTTTGATAGGCTGAAATTTGTGAACCCCTGATTCAATGTTTGTGTACCCACTGCGGGTCGATCCGTCCCCATCATGTATGTACCCCACGTTACCGAGTCCCCGGTAGCTTCATCCATGCCTGGCCCTATCCAGCCTGTTGGCAATCCGCAAACATGAGGAAGTACAAACCTAAAGCGTTATGGAAGTACAAGATCAGCTCCTAACTCACCATTAAAAATTATTTGGTAATAAACTATAATTACCCGTGGATTGTTTAGTTACCAACGTAAGTGGTATCTGTGAATGCTTATTAGCTGTGAACACCACAACTTAGTTGAATAAGTACGCGGAATCGCATTATAGGTTAAGATGAGATAGTACAGACATGACTAGAGTAAGTATTAGGTTTCTTATAAATCTGAGTCACTAATAAATATGTCATGGGGTTGGGCACGACTTGCGCTTAAAAAAGTATATAAATATCGGCCACAAGTGCTGATGTTAGTTTCTCCTTCACAGTGCACTATCTAAGAGACGAGCTTTATTATTCCTATTCCTATAACTATATTAATCCAACGCCGACCAGGGAATTGATGCCATCTGCATCCAGAGACAGACTGATGTATCGTTTGTTCATAAATGACTAATGATGCATAAACATACGAAAAGTCGAATCTTGCACAGACAACCAGCAATCTGGGCTCCTGCGGGATCCACACTAGTCTAGCTCCTCCGCAGAGTCTGAATACATCGATCTTCCTGGAAAGCCGGCATAAGGTTGCATAAGGGACTGAAGGTACCGGACGCCATATTCTATATTCCTCTCAGTTAAAAAGCACGAATAACCTCATCTGGCGAATCAACGGAGGCGGGCCAGAATCGCTTCCAGCTCCGCAGCGACTTCTGCTTTATGATGTCGTTTTAAGTTACCCGGGTTGGGTGTCCGATTATGTGCGAGGGGTGCACTTTTGGGACTGTCCCGGAATACTTGCAGGCGGTAATCTCGGAGGCTCTCTTTATCGCACGGGTGACTGGTTGGCGGGGTCTTGGTAAAACGATGAGTTGGCTTGGGTAGAGCTTCGCTGCCTCTTGTTAGTCTTATTGACCTAGGCGTTCAACTCTCGTAAGGACGGACCAGAATTTACCCGTTATATGCTGCACTATTTGAATTATTAGCCATGGTGATTGACGCTTAGCGGATCCTTCCAAAGTGGGAGTGTATAATAGACTTATAACGAGGAGTACTCTTTATCATAAGGTTATCATAAGGTTGTAGGTTGAATAGTTGTGAGAAGAATACGCCGTATAAAGTAGGTATCGTCGTGAACCCACATGCCTATTCGGGTGCTACAGCATATGGGAGACTCAGCCCAAGCAGCCGCCTTTTCTACAACTACAGTTAGGTAGCAAAACCGAGTTTTCGGTCAGCGCATACTATGATAAACACATCGGATATTACGTATACTGGAGTCGCATAATTTGAACTTGAAACAGGATAGGAAATGCGGCTATGTGAGAATTCTGAAAAGTTACCGTATACATTGACCGTAGATAATTGCTTGGGTAAGTAGGTATAAGCTGAAGGTCAACTTCAACATAACTGTCCTGAAGCTTCTCGGTTCAACCACGCAACAGCCTTGGATAAAACTATACGACGTCGAGGCCATATGCTACGGGTCCCCAGGTTCCTTAGTAGCTGCCTACCGGTCATTTCAGCTTCGCAACACCCTTATGGATGTTTGCGCGCCGCGCTACGAAATATCTGATGTGAAATGGCTACCAGTGTTACGAGTGACGTACCTATATTGATATTCTTCGGGATGCTACACAGTGCCATGTGGTTTATCCAACAGAGGGTTCTGCCTTCGGGTGTCGTACGGCAGTAGTAGGTCTCGGCCGAGCTGTCAACTGAAAGCAAAGTGGGTAGCAAGTTCCTAGGGTGGATAAAAACATTACACATAATGGTAATACATAGATCGTTGCTGCAGGTAGTAAGAGGTAGACATCGTTTGCGCAAGGGGAACTTGATGGCTACTAGCCGAAATGTAGGCGACTAGGTATAATCGGCGATGATTCAGCAAAAATATATGAAGAGATTATGGAATGCGAAAGCAAAATCTATGTCTTTTAGGACGTTGGCTAAGTTAAAGCTTTTATATGATTCAGCTTTACTCACCAACCGGGCTCATTGTGATAGTGCATCATTGCCAATTTACTTATATTCCCTTATTTATACCTTAGGTACCTAGTACGTATGTGCTTTGCTTTAGGTAGTTTAATTCCCTGTGCCATTGCATTAGAGCGTGCATTAGGTTCTATGCATGCAAGAACCACTACCGCACCAGGTGAAGCATGTAACCAATCATTCGACGATGAAGTAAAATACCCGCTCAGGTACCTAAGCACTTTACATGCGGCCGGCTGCCCCAAACACAATACCTTCGAATTAGTTTACATAGTCGTTTACTTGCAGATATTCACCGAAACGGCACTAATTTCCTCCATGACATGCCCACCCAGCATCTGCCCTCCCCTATGCCCTCGGGTATTACACTCCGGGTCTCATAGGCTATGCCAAGGTCCGCAGACCGAAATATGACCTGGGTTTAACCTTTTGTGCATGTAGTTGACATGATTTTAATCCAATCTCGTTCTTGCCTTGTATACTAAACAGCAAACAAGCTTGGACTAAAATTACATATGCGATCTGAGCGTGTCGAGAACTAGGGACCCACCCATCTTGGTCCCTATCCAATCTAGGGCTAGTCCTCCCGAACCTGCGGAGCATCTTCCGGGAGTATCCTTAAACTAAGTTGTACCCCACTCGATCTCCAGATTCAATGAACGTCGAAGAAAGTTAGCGGTTAAAATTAAGAGGTGTAGCAGAATAGAATAAATGAAAAAGACGAAACTAGAATAATATAAAAGCAATAGTATTATTTTCTTCACTGGATATCTACCTAAGACACCTAGTATCTGTAGTTGTTTAACTTAATGTAATCGAGATTTAGGGTAATATTTAGATCTGACATTAGACATGGGCGGGGTAGGCGGGGTACAATAACGCAAAAGCAGCACGTCGCGTGTACAATTAGGTACCTAACATAGTACAAGTAAAATAGATAGATTGCTACCTAGCCTATAATGTAGGTACCTAGGTAGTTTACGCGATCACGCAAAGACGAACTCCTAGGTGCCACGGACTGCCCTGAAGTTGACAAATCCTTCTTTCCCCTCTCCGTCGCCCCCTCTCCTTCCTCCCCAAGAAGCAAAGACATATGTTAGGTAACCTAGATAGAGTACATCCTCTGCTCGGTATGTGACTATGTAATGAAGCAGCGAAAAACTCTTTGGTGTCAATTGTAAATGCTGTCCTTGGGAACTAGTCGATTTATGCCGCTGTGGTGTTATCTAAAAGGAGCCAGGATAGCTTCCACATCGGCAGCAAGATTCCTTTGACGTGTTTCTTGCATGTTGTTGGCGGTAGCCGACTGGACACTCGCGAGGGGGACGCTATTGGGGCCGTTTATAAATCTGTCAAGGCGATACCCTCCGAGACTTTGGCTATCGGTTGGGTGATTGGTTGGTGGATTCTCAGAAACAGAATGGCTTGGTTTGGATGAAATTTCTCTAGAGATAAATAAAGGTTCCCGTTGAGTAATATGAAAGAACTAACCCATTGCAAACAGCTTTATTCAACTCTTGAGTCGTGGTTTCAAAGCAAACTGGATATTCCATTTGAATACAAGACATGTACTTTGGAAGCTAAAATTTGAAGATGGTTTTAATATTGCTAACTGCGTGCGCTGTGTATACTGACAAAGTAGCTACATTGTTTCCTTTTCTTTTTTTCTTCTTTTGGCGGGCGAGGACGTCCCAATTAATATGGCTTGCGGTATACTATTCTCGTCCTCCTGAAAAACCGCGAGTACTTTGTACTTCATTTCAAGACTTGATTTTGGCACGCATTATCTTATTTTGCCTGCAAGCCTCGCGGCGAGGCATCCAAAATTGTATATATAGAGGGAGAACATGAGCTAAGAAGTCGATTGGACCGTCGATTACTGGATTGCCTACAGAATACCGTTTAGCAACAACATGAACGATGACCCCTGTAAGCCGACCCATATCGCCTTTCCCCCAAATAGAAGCTAATCCCATAACGAGATTATAGCGCGGGAGGTATGCATCGGTAAAGTTGTATAGACTGTTCATGATACGAAGTAGAGCGAAGAGTTGAATCTGTTGTTAACTTAAAAGATAATGCTGATGTGTGTGAATAAATAAGAGCTAGACATTTAGACTAACTCATTGAAGGAAATAAGAAAACATGACTTAATATGCCACACATTGATCCGTAAATCTCTTGGACATCTAATGGAAATATATACACTTACATACCTTAGGTACCTAAGTACCATTTAGCATGGAAGACGCATGTATCGACACCATCAGGCAGAGAGGAAAGAAACTAACATAACTCAAGAGTCGTGTAGCCTTGAAGTATGATAGCTGCTAGGTCTCGGTATGCTAACAATATTCGAGCGACTAGTCCCTTAATCAATCGTCAGCTAGAGCAAACAGACATATCAGGCTGGTCGAATAAGTAAAGCCTCGTTGATTGGATCCAATGAGTTTTACTAGAGAATAGTTAGAGAGCCCAAGGACTAGCAGAGGCGCATTCAGAAAGTAATCACGAGCCACAGAGATTTCGACGGTGCCACAAAGTGCTCAAATTGCTAGTTCTAACACGGTACGTAATGTTGAAGAAACGTTTAGCAACCGTAAAAATGATAGTGATAGTGCGCGACTCAAGTCAAGATTCGAGGTGGCGGAATAATTGGTGTCCGACATCCAACTAAAGCACATATCTGCGGAAAAAGGAGCGAAACTTTTTGCATTTTTCTGTCGCTGCCAAGAGGAGTCGATCATCGGTCTGACGCGTCCAAAGTAATCGTATGACTTCGATGCAAGCTCGCCTCACTTTCGTCTTCGTCAGCAATGCAACACACCTCGTTTTCGGAATCACCGCAAGCAACCCCTCTTCTTGAACATTCTCATCGTGAATGGTCGGTGAGAACCCAGGGATGGAGGTGGTACCCTAGGTAGGTAGGTCTTCATCTCGAGACAGAATCCGGATGACGAGGTTCGCCGAGTCCCGATACAAATACCCAGGCACCTAGGTAGGTATTCTTGATGTCATCACGTGATGTCAGCTTAAGCTTGAAGCGAGAGGGAAAAGAAGCCATCATATCTCAGTCCAGTGATGGTAGTAGATATGGAAAAGGAAGATGTGATGAAGGGGGATGGTGTATCAAAACTATAAGGTTTGATAGACATATATTCGTTTAGAAAGGTTGAAAAGTTGTCAATAGCAATGATGTTTTAGGTACAGCATGATAGGGGAGGCACATTTTAATGCTCTTCAGACGAACAACCTGAGGTTGACGGTGGTGGTAATTATATTGATCAGAGTCTTCCGATCAGAACCTTCGAAGTTAGAATCTTCATGGAGGTCATGCTGCCTTTATAATAGTTCGGGGTCTAGGAATCTATCCTATTAGTAGGTATACGACTATTTCTGTTCCGGCCAATTAAAGTCCTTAGGAATTACCCATGAGCCATGTCGCAATCTATATGCAACGACCCGCATATGCAAAGCGCCAACGCCGCCCCGATCAATGGTACTGTATGCCCGAAGTTTTTACGATTTACGAAGGGTTCCACATTGTGGCGAAACTTTATTGGCTGGGAAGAGAATTACAGGATTAGGGGTAGGGTACACCTACATAGTACCTGTTAGGGGTGAAGTGGCTAGGGAGAGGCCGCCGAACGGCTACCAAACACATAGCTCTTTTAACCACCGATCAGCGGCTTGGCCTATAGCTCTTTTGGCCTAGCTAAAAAAAAAAAAAAAAAAAAAAAAAAAGGGTTTAATGTTCGAAACAAGGTATTGAACAGGTGTGGAGTATCTTAGTCATGATCAGTATGATCTCATGTATTGTAGCTATCTCAGGCTATAACCCTTACCCCCTTCAAGATCACTCACAGATTAAGAAAAACAATTCCTGTCATCATCACTGGCCATATACTATCTCAAATCGTCCCGGTCACCTCATAATATACGCTCTTTTGGCCTCATTGCAGTATAAGAATCCCTCTTTAATATCATCGTAACCACTCACTATCCACGACCTCAACACCATGATTCCCTTTTCTGGCGGCTAGTTATCTTCCCGAGCTATTTATTGCCTACTGATCAGGAGATTGCATAGTCTTGGACAGAGGATATCTACCCCCAGGAGGCTTCTACCCTCCTATTCAGTATACGGCACGTATTTTCGAAAAAGCTGCAAAAGTGAAGTGAGAAGATTTCCTAAACCTATAACAATAGAGCTACATCTAATATAAAACATTTTATTCTCAACAATGCACCCAATTAAAATGCTTAGAATATTACGCATAGACAGCCTTAATCCGGACGAGCTGGGTGAATACGATATCCTGAACCGAAGTCCCGAATAAGTTCAAAGTCCAAATAACAGGTACCTTTTATGTGAATTTCACATATACGCCCAAATAAGTACGATTATCGTCTGTCATTATCTACTTCCGAAGTGCAAATAATTAGAGCGTTCTCAAATGAAACTTACCTAGGTATATCGAATAAGTCTACTAGGTAATAAACCGGGTTGGATCTATGTAAGGAGCGAGTTCCGGTAAGCACTACATATTTACTACCGATGTGAACGTATAACAAACGGTGCTACCGTTTTCAGGTACTTGCGTAGACAGCATCGATTTTTATTTTTTTGCTTCACTTAATATAGGTACATAGGTAGGTAGGTATCAAGTATAATATGATTTCTTCTTAGATAACTAACAGAACGCTGTCACTTTGCTGGGGGAAGAAATGGGAGAATAGCCGCAAGTTCTGTGTCGATACGTGCCGCGTGAATCGCCTGAATATTCTGAGGGTCAAGGTCCGAAGCGATGATGGTGCTACCAGGACAGCTGCAGAATTTCGCCAGTCTATCCTTCGGAAGAGATCGTGTATCGTAGGTGGCATGTGTGTTTTTCTCTCCACTAGGCCCGAACGATATATCTCTATACAACAACGTATGGTGATACCTTCATTAGCAGTGTCCTGTGTAGATAACCTCAAATCAAGAGCTTGCTGGGGATAATCTTACCCGTCAAATACCGCCCCCGTAGTTGACTCAGATGCCATCGCTAGATACGGGAGAAGGTAGCATGAGAGCGCAGAAGTGGCATTGTTATGCGCGATAGGGGACGAATAATTTGTAAGTTTCGTACAATAAATAGAATAAATAGGTGGGAGATATAATATCATAACAGCATTATATACGCTGTTTTAGGGCCTCTTATAGATTATATTCGAGACAATAGACTTGGTAGTAGGAAGATGTGGTTGAGAACCGGGTTTCTAGGAAGAAAGTGGACGTTCTTATGTCTTTATATATATATATTTTTCCCTCGCCTTGACTTATCCATGTTGTCAATGATACACGCCGTGAGTCGGGTAAATGATTGTTTCCAAATACCCATTTGTTTCTTTCCCTCCTTACTCATCATCCTTTAATGCCAATGTGGACTAGTATTCGCCGGGTATAATCTGATTGTACGTAGAACTGATTCTCCTCTAATGTACGCTGCTCCCAACAGGGCCTAAGGTGAATAAGATCAGATCAAGCCATTCATAGTACATCTTGAATCAGCTACGGGACATTAACTGCTGCCGTACAACGGTACCTAGCTTCAGATGATTACCTACTTGGAATCTCTGCGCAGGTATCTAATAAGGCTGAATAATCTGGGAATTCATGTGTGGTTAATTACCTATCATTCTGTAAGATATACTCCCATATCATAATCCACAAAATCCCCTGACGATGACTATCAATTTCCTGTTTCATTATTATCGCTGAATTGCTATGGTAACCTTGTGAATTTCTAGAATACAGGTACCTAACTTATACATCGCCCTCAGCCATCCAATATATCCGAGTGCTTTCTACAAGGAATTGTTGGTGTACTTGCCTTAGGTACCTGATATGGTGCTACGGACACAAGTCTAAATGGACCACTTGTATAAGACCCCCACGATCGAAATGCCATTATCCATTCAATTCACGTTCTACATTATCGTAAGAGTTCCTATTAATCGCCGAATATCCGATAACACCGACTTTGGTCTCACGACAGAGCCATTGCTGTAGTGATCAAGCCTTACAATTGTAGAACACGTGTAGTGGAACCCTAGAAACTTCCTTTGGCTTTCCGACTGATTATCAATTTTGGAATATTCCTAATAGCTAACCCATTATACTTACCTGTATTTAATTCTGCTTCTGTTTCTAGCTATCATCTAAGTTTTCAACCTACCTGGTAAGGAAGTAATAATAATTTCCCCTAATGCTCCATACTATTGGTACCTAACCTTCTGGTAAAAAAGGGGGCTGGAAGCTTCAATCTCCCTATATGCCTGCTACCTCAGTTTAGTTATGCAAACATGATGTTTTCCCGCTACTATGCCTTCTTGCTGTTTGCAAAGTGCAATATAGCCAATCAGTATTATCGTATTATCCATGTCTTATATTCCCGATTTAAGTGAACCCTCGTGAAGAGCTATTTACTGTGCAAAACCGAAGTCTTCTGCAAGTTTACGATTACCGACAGAATATTTCCCCCTCTCACAGAAATGTGATTTCCACGAATGAGTCAATCTGCTAATCCATAGAGAGCATGTGCTTAACGACCGTCTTACTGTGCACGTCCCGAAGTACATTGATCACTCCAAGAGGGACCATCTGTCAACTAGATGGGGGTAAATCGTAGTGTTGTTTGCTTTGGTATAAAGAGGTTACGATTTACTGTGTAGTAGTAAGCAAGTCTTGGGTGAAACGAATCAACGTTTCCACCCAATCTTAATCCAGAGTTAACGAGAATTCTCGGAAGGTCGCATGAAATATTCCTTTCGATTCGGAGCTTGAAGTCATAGTCCCTCTCCTGTACGCATATCGGAGGTGCCTAAAAGAGGCCCAATGTTCGGCCATAAACTCCTATGTTACACCTCATGCCTAGTCCAATACGATGCCCCGTCAACTGCCGCTGCTGTAGTTTACCGGTTGAGAAAATTGTCGACGTGCATTTTGTGATAATACCTGATAGGTAGGACTGGCGATGAAGAAATCAGTAGTCTCTGGAGCAAACAATTGAGTGACCCCCACCTCTTTCCCATATGTATCGTAGACCCGACGCTTCCTATCGAGTAGAACAATGTTTTGCCCGTGAGTCCCCCGGGGTCTAAGGCATATGGCCGGATTACCGCGTGGGTCTCATCGGCACCCGGGGCTACTGTCGGAGTGCAAGGGCCCGAGCAAGGAACCCATATGGGCATCAATAGTCATTGGCTTCGTTGACAAAACCAATGCCAAGATTTGAGCCTACATGAATTATGGTAAGAAACTACATGTTTTGACACCCCTATGAGATCAAACGAAATAGAAAAGAGTGCATAGAACGATTCATACTTGACTTCTGAAAAAATATACCCCAGCGCAGCGGGTAATGCTCTTTATATAGGAGTCAAAGAGAGTGTCTCTGTTATCTGGCTTACACAGGTCACTAAGCACGTGGGTAAGTAGTAATAGTCAGTCTAAATTTGGGCACCCAACTGTTTCCGGGCGAATGACATATGGTGATATTTGCATGATCGAAGGGTCAGTATTAGCACATTGTAATCCATCCCGCTACACTGTCCAATCAAATCTTTAATTATATCCCAGGACTCTGAGTTTGTAATACCGCTTAGAATTTCATATGTAGGCTATCAAATTAGGCATATATAAAGATGGGTATGATATTCAATGACAACTCCCGGAGCTTATTCCACTTAATAATGCAACATGACCACACGTATATGCAGCCATCCAGACGTTCACATTGAGGCTACACTGTGTTTTTCTATTAAGTTGGAATTATATACGATAGGTTGTCTTTCGATCAGGCCGTTGTGTAAAGTAGTAGGTATAAACAATGGCGGGTGTCGTTAGATTCGGGGTTAGCAGCTAGCTCTACATGATATTATAATGATTGTTTTGGATAGTAAAAGTCAAGTCATTGTACTGAGAATATAAAGTCGTTTAAGACATGATCTAGGTACCTAGGTGCCTAACCTAAGATACAATTATTGTCTTTGAGACGTAGCTTACGGCGTAAGGCGAAGAGGTCCCCATCAGAGTTACCGTCATGCGAGGAGCCGCACGGGGAAGCAATGCATAGCTTCCGATTTCGAACCTGTGGAACTGACGATGCATACTCGCATTCCACAGAAGTTTCACTACCCTATGCAAGGGGCTCTATGAAGTAATAATAGCCGCAAGTATTGGCTGTTTTCCATTTTTTCGGGAGACTATCGTGGTTTGGATACGACAGGCAAGTTTGGCCTCTTACCTCAAGTTAAGGCAACTAGGGGGCACATTTGTTCGCTACCAACTAGTTTACTTCCCCACCGCATTAGTATGAATTTCTTCCGAAGCAGTTGTAATATTGCCTATCTCCTAGGCATCTCGTACTTGGAGCTCAGTAGCTTGGTTGCCGTGATCAAGTCTAGTTTTTGGCTTCGCCTCCCCTTGACGCGCCCCGGGATTCCTCTCCACATCTTTTTCTTTACCCTTCTTTTTATCGCTGATCCATTCACCGATGACATGAAATAAGCCCACATATATCTCCTTCAACCTTCGAATGCTTTGTTCTATACTTGGGGCAATGATCCAGATAACTACTGGCCCGAAGACCAACACGATCACTCCGTAACCAAGGATGGTAGCTCCAAGCACGATATCCTTAAACATTCCAATAATGAAGGAGGTCAAGACAACGGCCCCAAACAGGATCAGCATAAGGCCGAATATGCCTAGGACAACCCGTCTCTCGAACTGTCTGTAAGCTTTGTACTTCAATACCTTGCTTTCGAGCTCCCTTATATTGGTCAAGACAAACATGATACCGAGCAAGAGAATTACGATGGCCACAAGGAGAACTACGACGCCAAAGAAGTCATATATCAGACTTCCCAGATTTTTGAATCGTGACTGCATGCTGAGTACACCGGCGGCGAGTGAGAGGGGCAAGAAAATAGTGGCCAAGAGGGTCAAATTCTGAACATTGCCGGATTGATTTAGCTCCCGGGTTATGCTGAGAAATTTGAGGCTCTGCTCTAAGCCGTCAGAAAGCCTTGAGAGCCGTAGCTTGATGTCTTTGCAACAACCGCGAAGGGCCTTGTCAAGGACTATGAGCTTAGCTTGCTGCTGGGAACAATTGTCATGCTTTTCTGTTATTCCCACAACTAGGTCAAGCAGCGACTCTATCGTAGCTATCAATTCGTTACCGGAATCCGAAATTTCCCGATAAAGCTGGGAGTCGTTCATTATTGCTTCCAGTTGCCAGCGTCTAAGCCCGGACAAGCGAGCATCGTAGTCTCGACTCCGACTTTTCGTGTAAGTCATTGCCATCAATTCTAAAAAGTTGGCAAATATGTTAAGGGTAGCATGTTGGCATTGCAAGAGAACTAGAGGCTTCACGTTTTCCCCCATTCTCAGGTTGCGGTATAATTCGTCAAGCTTTCTGAGTTCTAGTGCGAACCGTCTCGTAGGGTCATGAGAGCGCTCGTGATTCCGTGCAAAATACCTACGAACTGAAGGGGACGTAATGGTAGCACATGAGATAGAAACTTGAGGGAGTTAGCTTAATGCGACTTTCATAAATCACTGTCGCTAACCTTTCAAATCCCCCTCCCCAACAGCTGCACAATGTATAGCCCTGACCATGCGAGCCCATTTTCTATCAGGATCCTCCACAAATTCTTGAAAAGCTCCGAAATGGAGTCTAGATTTCCGTCTACCCGGACTAGAAGCTATGAATTCGTTCGGATCAAGGAAATCATAGCCTTCAAGTCGGTAATATGATTCCGGATTAGGATCCCACAACTCTGAGGCCAGCGTGGAGAAACCCCTTTTGGAATCGCGGGCTATATCATGGCGTTCATTGATCGTGATTGAAACCGTGTTCCTAAATAGACCCTGCGTTGTCCATTCTTCGCTGAAGCCACCAAGTGTTGGTTCAAACAGCTCCGTCTCATCAGCGTCTGGGAGAGAAACTGGGGAAAGGTTGATACCCGGGAAGAGAGAAAGCAAAGAGAAGGGATCCATCTTATTAGTTTTCAACCATAACTTCGATTGGATTCAATGATTGAAATCAAGTGATAGAAATAGAAGAATTCACGCGTGTGCGCGGTTAATGGAAATTAGATCTCAGGGTTGAGCAAGCCACAGGAGCATGGTTGTAGCCAGACAGACCTGTCACATCACATAATTGATAACGCTCACAATGTAACATATGATAATATAGGAGGTATCTATGGCAAGAGTTATTAGGCTATGACGGAAAGCCGTCTTCTCATTGACATCTAAATGGAATATATCTTATTAACAATACCATATATGCACTTTTGTTATCAAGTAGGTACCTGTAACTAAAATAGAAATGAAGCAGAGGAGAACAAATAATTGAGTCTGTATTAAAGGGTACAAGTCTTATAAGTCTTATCGATAACCCGCATTTAAGCTTCGACTAGGCTGCTAGGTAAAAAAGGTATCCACTAATTTATAGGCTCTCATTTCTGCTGCTGACGTAGTACCGTAGGTACGAAGTACCTACTATTTACCTACCTGTAAGGTAACTACGAAAATACCAAAGCTCAAAGCTCGAGTCATCAACCAATAATTTCCAGCTCTTTTCTTTTCTCTCTCTCTCTTTTTTAATACTCCCCGCGGTTCTGAGGGCGAAATCACAAAGCACACCTCACCCCCCCTTCGATGCCCCTCAACGCCGGTCTGCGCATCGCGCGCGTTCACTCCCCATTCCTCAAAACCAATGGGTCCTACACCATTGCGTCCCTCGTCGCCGCGAGCCCCGCCTCGAAGCAGTGGCAGACCATATCCAGAGTTAGTCCGCCGCGCCGAGCCTCATCTACGGCGTCGCAAGCCAAGGAAGCGCCCAAGTCGATTTCCGAAGTCGTCTCCTCGGAGCACTTGACGTCGCCCTTACCAGCGTCGACGATCCTCAACCCCCCAGCCTCGACACGCCCCCCGCCTCTCGACCTTCCGACCCGCGACCCCTCGTCCTCGGTCTTCAGGTACTTCTACAACCTGGGCAAGGCGTACACGACGTTCTACAAGACCGGCGTCCGCGCCATCTTCACCAACCGTAAGCTCCTCGCGCAATCCCCCACGGCCTCCGTCCCGCGGCCCCCGATCTCTAGCGCGACGACGACGTTGACCCGCTCGGACGTCCTCCTCCGCCGCCGCGTGCGCCACGACCTCGCGTGCCTGCCCACCTTCGGCGTCCTGCTGCTCGTCTGCGGCGAGCTCACGCCGCTCGTCGTGCTGCTGTTCCCGCGCCTGACCCCGCTGACCTGCCGCATCCCCAAGCAGGCCGACGCGCTGCGCCGCGGCTCCGAGGCCCGCCGCGCCGCCAGCTTCCGGGGCCTGCGGTACCGGCCCGCCCCCGTGCGCGGCGACGATCCGGCCGCCAGCGGGCACATCTGTCGCGCCCTGGGCCTGACGTACTCGCTGTGGGACAAGGTCGGCATCGACAGCCCGTTCTCGGCGGCGCTGGCGCGGCGCGCGGTGGACCAGATCGCGGCCGACGATGCCATGATCCGCGCGGGCGGGGGCGTCGAGGGTATTGTGGATGAGGAGGTCGTGCTCGCGTGCGAAGAGCGGGGTATCGATGTCCTGGGGAAGCCGGTCGACGAGCTGAGGAGCCAGCTGGCCGATTGGCTGCGTAAGACTGCTCCCGAAGGGGCAGCCTCGGAGAAGTCTGGTGATACTAGTTCGGGGGAGTCGGCGCGAAAGGAAGCTGCGGAGAAAATAAGAGATGCGCTGGTTAGTTTAGACGGGAGGGCCTAAACAATATTGCATCTGTAGTGTTCAGTCCATGGACATGTCCAACTTTGACCGACCCATCTACTGTATTACGCTTCAAGTATGCATCAAGCTATGTGTATTCACTTATATCACGAAACGGAACTTGTCAAAAAGGTAAAAGGTCAGAAAAGCCTAGGCTCACTAAAAAGCATTGTATAATATACGGCGGTCAGCCCAATTCGGCCAAAAGTCGCCACTATAGCCTTAATTTCATATCATTAGCGGTAGCCATCGTGCTTTCTATATGGACAGAGCGTTAATCCTTGAGTCCCAAAGTCTCATGCAAGCGCCTGCTATAGACAGAATGGTAAGACGCGACGGGAGGATTCGCCAGGTGACATATTGTAGGTTATATACATGAGAGTAATTAGTTCACTGTCGGTATCTCGCCAGCTGTGCCATGATGTTTTGTACATGCTGCGAAGAATCACCACCAGGAGCCCCGCTCGGCGGCACAGGTGGGTAACCTAAGTTGTGAGGCTGGCTAGGGCCGGCAGCACAAATGTGACGGTCTCCTCCTAAACTAGCGAGCACCGAATTTACGTCCACGGGCGCACCTCCGGCCGGGTGGTGGCTCTGTGGAACACCTTGTTGGTTGTGGAGAGATCCCAGGATCTTCTGCAGTGTAGCGTTATCTAGAGGGCCACTTGGGTTACCAGTGGGAGCACCGGCGGTAGGATAGGGCTGAGCAGCATATGGAGGGGGTATGTAAGAAGGCTGCGGGTGCGGGGCCTGAGCATATTGGGCAGGCGGGTATTGAGCACTGTAAGGATTGTGCGACTGAACTTGGGATTTGGCACGGCTGACTAGCTGCGCGGCAATATTAGGGTCGAGGTCCTGGTATTGATCGTATTGGACATTGTCACGTCCACGATTGAATACTTGTAGAGAGATGAGCCCTGTTTGCTGTGCTCGAAAATCCAGTTCGACGACCGCATGGACGCCTTCCATCACTTGACGCTGGATCACAGCTTCACGGGGGAAATGAGGGTGGAGGAACATGACCTGCACCCTCAAGCCTTGGTTGAGAAAGGCTCGCTCGGCCCAGCTTACGAAATTTCTTTCGACCCCCTGGAGTAATAGAAACTGCACATCTGGAATGTCGCCACCATATCTACGGGGGATATCGAGCTCTACCTCGGATGGATGTCGGTGATAGGGGCTGGGACTTCGGCGACGGTAATGATTCGAGTCGCGTCTTCCGTGACCCGGGGATCGCGAGCGGGCACGAGCGTTATAATCATCATAATAACCACGGCTACTGTCAAAGGAACTCTGCTGTCGATGACTTCCTATCCTAGGAGAAAGCTGTCGACTTGGGCGATAATCATCACGTCGTCCGCGTCCACTGTCGTGGCGCTCGTTTTCTTTCTTTATTTTAGTTCCTCGCTTTTCTCCGTCCCCATCTTTCTTTTGACTTCGAGAGAATTCAAGATCTATAAATGCGTTAGCACCCCAATACGTCGTTACATCTTGGCAAGGCAGGCAACTCACGAATTTTACGTCCCTTTACTTCTATCCCCTGTAAATGATCCATCGCAGCCTGACCTTCCGCCAGGGTGTGATACTGTACAAAACCGTAGGCCTGTTTAAGCGAGATTTGCGCCAGGCGTCCGTATTTGCAGAATATGTCGAAAACTTCCTTTTTGGAGACCCGGTCACTAGACAAGTTTCCTAAACAAATGTTAGAAACAAACAAGATTATATTAAGGTCGGTGAAACATGCCAATGAATAATCTAGAACCCTCAGGAAAACGGTCCCATTTGGCCTCCGACACGTAGCGGCGTTCTTCCTGTAGAAAGCTTTCCCATCGTTGGTGTTGGTCGGAGGCTTGCGACGGAGGGCCTGTAGAGACGGCACTAGGATGGTTAAATTGGGACACCGGGAACAAGTAAGATGACAATGCATTCAGAGCTGAGGCTGGAGAGGGTGGAAGGTTATTATGGGACTCTAAGGCCGTTCCGGGAGCCCTAGCAGAATAGGCACCAGGTGGTGGTGAAAGGCTAGAAAGGGTATTGGCATTATGATAGGATAGTCCCGATTGGTAATTGAGACTATCGTCAGGGTGGACATATGGCTGGGCAGGCAGCTGCGGCATTGGGGGTCTAGGTGGCAATGATACTGCTTGCGGGGGAGCAGGAATGTTTGCAGAACTCTGTGGAGCAGCTGTTTGACTGGCATCACCCACCGACGCGTTTCCTATAATCTTATCGACAAGGTTTTGGATGTCAAGCCGATCATTGGCAGCATTTGATGGGCGGTCTTCCTCAGCGGGCGCTGCTGAAGGTGGCTGAGGTACATCGGGGTCCTTGGTCGACAAGTTAATTACAGCCTGGTCTTGTGGCTTTTGCGGCTCTTGGGCTCCTGATGGGCTCGGGTTTGTGGCAGACTGATGCACAGACTGATGCACGGACTGGGCGCGGCTTGGGGAAGATAGGTCATATGAAGAAGCACCGACTTCAGAACCATTTGTCAAGGAATCAGATGTAACAGAACTAATACTGGACTCAATCATATTGGACATATCTTCTTGCTGATGTTCAATATCATTCTGCTGACTAGGGCTAGGGCGATGTGCGTATCTTTCATTTAGCAATTCTGCCCCCCCAGGCTGTTTCCCAGTGCCGTCAATCTCGTCAGCAAGACTGTCCCGACGTGAAGTTGCAGTTTCCGAACTATTATCATAATTTTGACTGGCACTAGCAGGTAGGGTGTTCTGGTCTGTTGCCTCAGCTCGTCCCACAGCGGCTACGGAGATGGAGGGGTCCAGAGCGCCGCTGGAAAGTGACATGGTGCAGAGTGTGTCAGCCTGATCTTGCAGGCTTGGTACTACTACGGGAGAAGATGGGTGAAGAGGCGCCGGAGATACTGGAGTGAGATCGGCAGTTGCCAAATGTTCGGGGGCCTTCTCGGTCATTCAGGTAGAATAATAGGACAAAGACAGTCTAGAAAATGTTGCTTCCTGGGAACTAATGTATGGCGCCTTGGTTGGAAGGCCTTTGCAGCTGGGCTTGACTGCAGCCAGAGTCGGCTGGATAGATTCAAGAGACTCCGGGACGCGAATCCGGGAAGGGAATGGAGATAATGAGAAGCAGCTGGCAAGGTTGTCCGAGTGCTGGTCTATGCGATATTGTAAGTACCTAGGCTACCAATGTTGGTGGATATCACGATAGCTGGATTAATAGGTAGCTTAAAATCCTGCTGGTAAGAGAGCTGGATGACAGGTGAGACAGGCAACGATGATGAGATGGGGATATGATTTGGAGGGGTGAATGCGGAATTCGGGTATGTAACAAGTATGCAAGGTCCGTTGATGGAGAAAATGCAGTGCTACACATGGAACGGGCGCAAAGAAAACAACACCCAGGGTCTGTCTTGTCTACTTAAGCCTATGAGGATTTGTTTGTATTGAGTGTGTATTTGACGTGTAGATTCTGTGGTGTTCTGTGATGTCGCAGTGAGTCCCGATCTTCAAGTTACCTAGGTTCTAGGTAGTAGGTATTGTCAAAGTGTTGAATTGTCAAGTCAAGAATTGAGTGCGATAATAACGCAACAACAACCAATTGAAAGCCTATAATGAGGCGAAACAAAACTATCAGAGAATGCTAAGAGGGGGGCTAAGTAAGCCAGAGAGAATCAATGGGTTGGGTAACAAGCTGGAAGAGATGCGCTTGCGTTTGAAGCTTTGCAAACAGACAAGGCTGGGCCAGTTCTGATAATGAAAGGACAGGAAATTTTCCAACAAGGAATTGTTTCTAACAAAACTTTGGTTGACGCATTAATTCTGTTTGATGCTATTGGTTACCTAAACTTGACGCTAATCGTAATCTGTGCACCGAATTAACCCCACTAGAATTCCTTGACTTTACGGCTCTGAAGAAAATAATTATGCTAGTTTAGTGCAAGGTACCTAGGTACCTACGTATCTGCCACAAGAAATCCAAACATTGTTCCATTAACACGATCCAAAGTACTTCCAAATAGGTGATATTTTTACGCATTTTAAAGTATTTTCCAATATTTAGAATGCTTCATAAAGTTTCATCATTTCTTTTCCCTTTCTAGCATGCGACAAATGAATAACTCACCCGCGGGAGGCTAAGGGCGAGAGATAACATTGCGTCCGTTTATCTATGACGCAAGTCCTGTCTCCTCTTTTCGCCGATTTCGATTAACTGCATTACAACAGTTAGGAAGTGTGGCCGAGGGTTTACCACCAATGTCATAATATACTTCACAGAATCGTGTCCTTCTTATATATATCTTTTGATCTCCCTCCTGCTTTACCATAGGTGAGCATTCAAAAGGAGTAAATGCCTAGTCAGCTATATTGATATGCGGAGAACTCTGGCCTAAATATAGGGACCATCCTCTATAGATCCTAAAATCATCTTTTATCTAAGGCGTATGGTTTTGATTTTTACATTTTTCTCTTAATGGAAGTAAATTGTAAAAACCTTTGATTTTAAGTACCTAACAGGCCTAAATCTTCCGCCAGTATACAAGCAGTTAAAAATCCAAAGCGCAAATATTAGGTACTTAGTTCACTACTCGTAAACCAATAAGCATATAGAAGTTGTAACATGCTCAACTACCTATTTCCATCGGGCAGGTTTTTAATATTTTCAATATAATAGTTATAGGATACCTACCACCTTAGGAGGTATATATTAGGTACTTTAGGTAGGTACCTATTAGAGGCAGCGTGGCCCTGGCCCCCGCTATTCGCCAGCGGAACATTCACGTACTAAGGTTTCAGCGCCTGTAGGTATTGTATTGTACATACTCGACGTGCCCTAAGGCTAGGTATGATTTGAGTGATATCAGACACTACTCGAAGACAACCTTGGATATCAAATAAGCCGTCTGCTCTTCATGGCCGCCCTACGTGGAATATGCGCCAATTTAAGCCTACCAGTTGCTTTTGGACGCCTCAATAAAACTTTCTGCCTTGTGCGCACTATACAACACCAGCCGTATGATGCCGCATTCGATCAAGCCGAATTGGCTGAAGCTCGAAAATGGTATTCTTCGTTTACCGAGAGTAGCTTACCAAAGGGTCAAACAACTTTCTCTAGGTCAAGCGGACCTGGAGGGCAACACGTAAACAAGTGAGTAGGTACCTATATCCGATAAATAGCGCTCTTGAGACGAGGCTGGTCTAACTCTCATAGAACCGAGAGCAAGGCCACGACAGTGTGGTCTATCGATGAGTTATCCAAGGGCTTACCAAAATTAATCCGTTCAGCATTACGCTCTTCGAAGTACTATTCAAGGCGGAATGATTCTATCACAATCCAAGCTCAGACACAACGCAGTAGATCTGCGAACACCGATGATAATCGCTTAAAGCTTACAGAAGAACTACATAGGATTTATAGAGAGCGTGTCCCAGGAACGACTAGTGGTGAAAAGATTAAGAAATACGAAGCCCTGTGAGTTATTCCCCTCTTACCCATGTCTCACGCTTTTCTTAAATGCGCAGAAGGTCGACTGACGAATGACGAATATGGTTTAGGGAGAAATCGGCTCGTGAGAGTAGACTGAGATCGAAGAAACTGCATAGTTCTAAAAAGGCATTTCGAAAAGGTAGAGGCGGTGACGAGTAAAGAGCGATCAAATGCTCAACTAGGCAACCTTTGCCCTGAGTAGCAGGCTTTTGATAGCTAGCCGGCTTGACTATAGCAGCCTGCCTGCGTACGTGTCATCGGTGAGCCAGTCAACTTGGAGGTAGGAGTTACTTGCTACTACCTTAGGTACCTGTCACCTGCTTCCGAAGAAATCTAACAAGAAAAAAATGAATGAAGAAGAGTAGTATGTAAGAAAAGGATAGGTCCGAAAAAAATACCTCTTATTATTAGAAGCGCAGAGTATTGTTTTAAGTCCGATACAACTAACTACGTGTTAGACGATATACTATGTAAATCCTTGGTGTATACCTACCTACCTAGGTAGGTACCTAACCTAAGGTAAACTTCCAATAGTATTTGAATTATTCCGTACGTATTATCTTTATAGAGCCTAAGTGAATATAAAAATTGGAAGAACAGTCCTTTTATTGATAAGTTACCTACCTCCTAGGTAGACATGTACCTAATATTCAGGTAGGTACTATTGCATGTACGTGAAAGGCTCCCCCTATTTCCCTTTCCCTCCCCACTGTCGCACTTAGTCTTTGTGGCTGACTAAAACGCCTAGAATGAGGGGCAGATATGTGGGACATAAGCGGAATCTTAGCGGTTCGAGGAACATTTCCGTTTAATCGTCTCAGCTTTCTTATTTTTTCGCAAAACGTAACATTTGTCAACTAAACAAATACTAACGATTTAAATTCAAAGAGATAATCCTTTGTAGTTATTACGAAGGAACTTCACGGTCTTTATATTTACACTTGTTGACATCTGTCAGTGTTCCACTGCTACGTGCGCTACTATTAGAAGCCCAGCGGATTTACACTTAGCCCCTCCCGATTGGATCGACGGCGCGCATCCGTCCCGAGGCTAATTCGATTCCATCTCTCGTTCGGAGCCTTCTCGTATACCTGAGGTAGGTTAGGTTAGGTAGTTAACCCCTTTGGCTTATTCCCTCGAATTTCAACTTGCCGAATTATCCTTTTTTTTCCCTTTACTGATGATAACAGGTGTGCTCGTTTAGTTATAAACTATTCGAAGCATGTGCGACTAAGTCGTTACCCATCTTTGGAACTGCCTACTTCGACGAAATCCCCTTTGATCGACATTCGGCGACCACCGAATCCGTTCCGCTTACCAGCCAAATCCTGTTCTAATACGCTATATCGCTCATAACGTACAATGGCCACCACTGCCACCGTTCCGAGCAACGGCTCACCTCGTCCAAATCCACAAATACAACCATGCCGATACAAAGTAGGAAAGACACTAGGTGCCGGCTCATATTCCGTTGTCAAAGAGTGCGTTCATATCGACACGGGTCGTTATTATGCCGCAAAGGTTATCAACAAGAGACTGATGGCTGGTCGCGAACATATGGTGTGTACCTAATTTTATTTCTTCTCTGTATACTTTGAATTCTATACAATCTCTCCATAGCGCATAAAGATTAATCGCATACGCTGCCACATCAGGTTCGAAATGAGATTGCCGTGCTCAAAAAGGTCTCGATGGGCCACCAAAATATCCTAACCCTCGTGGACTACTTCGAAACGATGAACAATCTCTATCTCGTAACCGACTTGGCGCTCGGGGGAGAGCTGTTTGATAGGATCTGCCGTAAAGGATCATACTACGAATCCGACGCTGCCGACCTAATTCGCGCGACCTTGTCTGCCGTTGCTTACCTCCACGACCACGGCATCGTGCATCGAGATCTCAAACCCGAGAACCTACTCTTCCGCACGCCCGAGGACAATGCCGACCTTCTCATCGCGGACTTCGGTTTGTCGCGTATCATGGATGAGGAGCAATTCCACGTCTTGACAACGACCTGCGGCACCCCGGGGTACATGGCGCCCGAGATCTTCAAGAAGACGGGCCATGGAAAACCAGTAGATATATGGGCCATGGGTGTTATCACATACTTCTTACTGTGCGGATACACGCCGTTCGACCGCGACAGCGACTTCGAAGAAATGCAGGCCATCTTAAACGCCAACTATAGCTTCCAGCCAGCAGAGTATTGGCGTGGTGTTAGCGATAACGCAAAGGAATTCATCCGTCAGTGTCTTACCATTGACCCTAACAAGCGCATGACGGCTCATGAGGCTCTATCTCACCCTTTCGTCGCCGACTACAGTTTGAGCGGCGACGATAGAGGCCAGAACCTACTCCCCACGGTGAAGAAGAACTTCAATGCGCGTAAGACGTTACATGCAGCCATTGACACAGTGCGGGCCATCAACAAGCTACGGGAGGGCCAAGCGCATGCTCACCTGATGGACGGTACCCGATCAGCGGAGCCGAAGCATGGCGCACCTCCGTTGGAAAAGGCCGATGCAGAGAAAGGCGATTCGGCCTACTCTAGTACGCAGAACGGCGATGTAGAGATGGGCGGCATGAGCTCTACATCGGATGTGCCAGCGAGCTTAAGACCTGGCGCCGCTGCTAACAGAGTGGTTGAGACGTCGAAAGGTCTATGGAGTGCTAGCCAGCCACGGCGGTGAGGCGGTATCGATTCGTTAGGAGCTGGGGTTGCATATCGTATGGGGGGTGGTCGGGGCGATTCTATTTAGACTGCATCTTGCGATAGCGAGCGGATCAAGAAGAGAGACTGAAAGGTCGTTTAGTTTTATGACGAGATGAGATGAACTACCGTACGTTCATGTACGTAAATGAGAAAGATAGCGAGAGCGCGTTAGCATTCGCATTATTTGAATAGTTAGCAGGCGAATATTGGCAAGTAAAACGATATAATTCTGGCGATGGATAGTATTATATAATTAATATAGCTTAAGTTCCGTATGGGATTATATAGCTCGAGGTATTGATATTGATATTGATATTAATATTAGTATTAGTATTAGTATTGGATTGCGATATCGATGCAGTATGATGATATATTAGATGTAAAATATCGTTCGTTATTATAGATGAGTCCAGCTGCCTTTGGAGTTTACAGCTATTAAATTTCGGAGAAACTTTTCTTGGGATGTAGTTAGCTATATGCAAAACCAAGTGATGCAGATTGCATCGTCGTGACGGAGTGAGTAATAGATCTCCTTAGTGACAAATTATGATCTCTGAACAGTTTGATAATGCAAGCCGAAAGATGGTACATATGTCTAACTTCTAGTCCCATGACCTAGAGCTGCTAGATCGCGTACCTACTTGAGTAATGGCATCACAAACGAACTTTCCCACTTGTATGCATATACTATATAGTAAGACACCTCCATAAGTCTCAAAGCTACCTAAGGTCGTGTACCTAGGCAGTTATGTAGTACTTACTGCGCGGTTGAGCTAGAGTTAGCTTGAAAATACGTGCATATTGATAGCGACTGGACTGGATGGATGGATCTTCTTTCGTCCGAGTGTGGTATGTATTAGTGTATCTGGGTATCGAGCAGGGCATGTGATGATCTTCGATATGATCATCTGAGATGTCTCTCATTCTTTGCTAGCCAACATTTACCCTTAACCAGCATCCCGATAGGTTGTCACTGTTGTTGTCTTTCCTACTACAACATATGTACCTACCTTCTGAGCCTAATGCATGTACGCAGTTCCAATTCAATCTCGACGAACTTATATCTTGTCTGTGTCCTATATTGCATGAGTAGCGTGGTTTTTACATCATGTTCATGTGAAAGCAGATGTCGTTCTCCACAACGCTCTTGATTCTTTAATGAGGCCGAACTAGTTTTTAGTTTACCGTGACTTAGGAAGAAAAAAAAAGAAAAAAAGTAGAGAAAAGCAAGAAAAGGAGATAAGATGTAAAGCAAAGCAAGTACCGAGGCCTACCCTGTCGATGCCCGGGACATCCATGTCCCAAAGTATGTACAATACAGAGATACAGGGATACAGAAATCTGTTGATGTAACACACTTTTTACATTGAAGTGGAAAAAGTAAAGCCTCATGTACGTAGCTCCGATGTACAATACCTACATCCCTTAAACCCTCAAATCTTAATAGTCGGTGCAGGAACTGATGATATCCGGGTTCTATATTGAAATACGGCCCCTATTTCCCGAGTGTCCCTTGCCGCGAGAAAATAAATAAAAATGAAAGATATGAAAAAAAAAAAAAAAAGAAAAAAAGAAATAGACGTCATCTCAATGAGAGCATAGTAATTCATTGTCGCGTGATCGGAATTCGCAAAAAGGAAAACGCAAGACGACCAAGGGTCACCTACACTAGACGGGGGCCTACAGGGCAAGCTTAGACTGACCGGCAGGGGGCTAATAAAGTCGGGCTGGTCGATTAAGTTTATCAAAGTGAAAGTGACAAGCAAGAGAAGTCTGTGGGTCAGAGTTAACCCGTAGGCAATCCGCGGAGAGAGTAGCATTTTCCCTCAGCGCATCCCGTCGATTCTGGTCAGATTCTCGGATGGTGCCACCTTGTTGATTATCACCCCCTCCTCTCGATGCTCCGTCGCGACAGTTTAGAGTCCCAAGCTTAGAGAATGCCACTTGTTACTGTGGCATTAGCATTTGATTTATGTGTGGACGGTGGATAGGTATGGCACGATGCTGCATTTGAGATCTCGATTTCGAAAATCGAAATTGGAAAAAAAAAAAAAAAAAAAAAAAAAAAAAAAAAAAAAAAAAAAAAACAAAACAAAAAAAAAAAAAAAAAAAAAAAAAAAAAAAAAAAAAAAAAAAAAAAAAACAAAAAAAAAAAAGAAAAAAAAAAAAAAAGAAAAAAAAAAAAAAAT